TGTCGGGGGCTGGGTGTAGTGCAGCCCCTGCTGGATCCTACGTAAAAGTGAGAGTGCATGGGAGGGAGTTTAATGGGTATGTCGTCGTCGTTATGACTAGTCTCCGAGCGGGTCCGTGTGGAAGAAGGGTTCCACACTCCCTGTCGCTTGTCAAGAGGTAATTGTGTATAAAGCAATTCCCATTACGACAAAAAAAGTTGGGAACACACTATTCAAATCCATAATCATCATACTATATTATTCGTTCGTCGTTATTAAAGTACATATATGACTAGATATATGGCTAGTTAGAAAATCGCATCCCTGATTAAATTTTATTCCCCTTGGAGGAAAGGTTGCTAACTTAAAACGGTAGACTGCAATTACTAGACAACTAATCGACTTTAGCTCCTCACTAGTAAATGTAAAAGCGATGCAGATACAAGAAAATATATCTATATAGAACATAATCAACACGGTTCAAGCGAATCTGCGAAATTACTTTTTAGATTTACTCCGTTCTTACTTTACTGTAGGACTTACAATCATAAATACCTATGCTATCACGCATTTACTAATGCAACATTTTTCAAATAAAGTACTCGTATTATTCTAAATGTGTTACGTAGACAAAGTTTTAATAAAAAATATTCGACTGTCTCCATATGTTAGGGACATATGTATACAGGGATGGAGTTCAATAAAGATTTTATCTCCATCTCGGGCACCTATGACTGTAGATAAGATAATTTACAAGTATCATCCCATCAATGTCCCCGCTGATGGAACACAGGCCTTTACTGTGGATAGAATCCCATAGGGACCCGACCATAGGGCTATAACTTACCACACCGGCACTGTGTGTTACGACGGCAAATACAAATACAATGTCAGTACAGTATAATAAAGTTTCTACTATAAAAAGGATATACAGACAGTATTCAAAACTTGTTAAAATAGAAGCAACTTTTTCATTTTGATTTAATTCAGTTTATTTGAATATTATTAATTTGTACGGAACCCGTTAAAAGTTAGTTAAATTGGGTACGTTTTCTTATGATATTCTTGAATCCTCCTTGCCATTCCACATATTTTATTTCATCCTTTATATTCTTGTCCTGCATAGGTTGCCCGTTATTAATAAAGAATAATAACTTAAACTCAATGTATTCCCTTAGTTGAAAAAAATATTAAATTCTTACTTAAAAAATCTTTGTATGTATGTATTTAATCACATAAAAATATAAAATGTTAAATTAGCCGCGACCTCGCCCGTGTAAATTAACGCCACAGACAATTTGATTAGCCACCACCATGCCCCACGAAATTCGTAGTGAAATTACACCATGCACCTCCATGCACTCACTATATGCTACACCAAGCAGTTTATTTTCAAAATTTCTTGCGCTACACTATGAAGGCAACTATGTAGTGACATCTAGTTTGATTACGCGAACTAAAACCTCATCATGAAATACTTTACATCGAAGCAAGCCGATTACCGAATACTTTAGCAGTATTCCACAAAAATGTTAAATTATAAAAATAATCAGGTGAATGTATCAAAATTCGTCTAAAGCTTTGCGCACAGATACTAACAGTGGCTACCTAGGCAGTAATAATAAAATAAAATAAAGTTATAGCGATTACATTTCCATCTACATATAGACCGTGAAAATTCTTGAAACGATGTTCAACGCAAATTGAATGTTTAGTTCTAAGTTCTTTCGTCTTTACCAAAAGCCTTACAATAATGATAGATTTCTGTAGATTACCAAAGCAAAATAACAGATTTTGTATTTTTATTAAAATTAACAGCAGGCAAGACTTATGTAATGAGAAAGTATTTCAAAATAAACATTAGTTCCCGAAATCAAACCAGATGTCGCTACCGTACGTTCTTGATTTCTCCATGACAACCGTTCCTGTTTTCTTTCATGTTTAAAAGGAACTGAGTTATCAAAAGTCAATAAACAACTCGTATTCTATTTGTTCTTTTTCGTATTTGTATTGATATCTAAGAGTCATATATTTCGGTTCAGTTTTTTAATATGTTAGTTAAAAGGAACGAAAATGCCTGTCTTTGGTCCATTCGTTTCCTGTAAAAATCAACTTTTGCTAGAGTCGCCATCTAGTTGAGGTGCTTTCTTTTTTTATACTTTACGAATTAAAATACAAGTGTTTTCACTAAGGATATTTAAATTTTTTTTTATAATGATAAGATGAAAGAACTAGACATATAGCCTCCGTTATGACTATCTCTCTCTGCTTGGATTAGCTTCTGTAGATATAACAATGAAGAGTCCACTTTAAAGGATAGTATTAAACTTTATTTTCATAATGATAGTTTCAGCTTTATAAGTCCTTTTACATAAGGACTATATCCATGTGCAAATTAAATAATAATATCGATATGTTAGATCTACATATCGATTACAGTCGATACAGGCGATATCGATATATCAATAGGATATTTGACAATATCGACAATAATTTGCACTTTGTGATCATTCTGATAGATAATAATCTAATAAAGCTTATTTCTTATCATCTGCAGAAAAAACATGTTTAGATTTCGTAAAATAACGTAATGAAAATGCAATATTTGTAGGAATTTATTCAAAGACGAAAACTGCCTATGATTGGTGGTCGTTACAACCAATAACGATTCCTGTTTACTAGCCTGTGACGTCATCAGCTGTCGTGTCAAAGTAGTGTTAGAAAGATACGTAAAATATCGATGCCTGTAGGTATCGAGTATTTTATAGTAATTTACAGATAACGGAATACTTTGCCGCTTCTGCTGATAAAAACTGCCAAAAAGAAATACAGAAAGAAAGAATCATTTAATAAACTTTTAGAAAAATCCAAGAAATAATCAAAACGCCAGCATTATAAAAAAGAGCAACTTACATGTTTTTCTCATTTCTTGAACTTCAATATAATAATTCAAAATTACAAAGTCGATTTTGATGATTTATGCTGTTCTAGAAGTAAAAACTAATTTTAAAAAATCATCGAGACCTGATGTCCAATTATCGAGTGCCACGCATTTAGTGGACAGATATACTACATGCATCTATAAAAAAAATAAAATAGTACATTCTGTTTCGTACTAATGTCTCATCCATCTGTAGGTCATAATATATAAAGAAGTCGTAAAATGTTTATGATATAGTAAAAAAACAAAAGAAAACCTTCAAATGTATCGATATGTAATAAAAAAAGTTTAAATTTTTAGCGAATCCTTACCTAATTTTTCCACCCATCTCTACTCTATGTAGCTACTAATCTATTGTGATTGTTAATCTATTTTCTTCTAGACTCAAAGTTTGTTTGTTATTTATAGAAGTATTAGTACATTGTAGCACTACTCACCACTTATAGCTCATTTTATAAAGAAAACAGAGCAGAGGAAAATAAAAAACCTAAAAAATAGGCACTACGACTTTAATTTCTCTTCTAGATCATTATTTCAATTTACTAGAAAGACAGTTGTTACTTATCGATTTGACATATTTACTGACCTGTGACGTCACGATCAGCGCCATTACATAGAGCAGCGTTTTTCGCGCGATTTTGGCTATTTAAATTTTAACAATTATTTTCAGTGTGTTTATAATGTAGTAAACAACGACTTAAAATAGTTTACAGAAAAATGTCAAATACCCTATAGACAAAGCCTACATATCGATAGTAATCGATGTAATTGTCGTTTTTCGCGAAATAAGTTAACGCAATTTGTTTCTTACATATTTTAATCAAAGTGGTTACCCATGTAACCAATGTATTATTGCCAGCGTCATCAACAACAGCCCTTTTACATCCTCACTGCAGGGGCAGGCCATCCTTATGGATGGTTAAAGAGGATGGGTCATGACCATCCACGCTGGTCCAATGCAGATTGGAGGTTATTAACGACTGCAAATGTAGCAGGTACCTATGGCTTAATGGGCCTTCCGAAGCACGGAGTAGCTCGAAATACTAATTTTTGGTCATCCATCCCGTGACTGAACCGTGAAAGTTGCTTAACAATAATGATCGTGAGCCGCAGCGCTTATCCGCAATGCCACGGAGCTAGTCATGCCAGTGCAATCTTATTGTTGCCCCTTTTGAAATAGTTTGCAGGACGGGATGCCAATTCTTCAAAGGCATTTTTTTCTGTCTTTTGGTAAATTAATTATTGGGCCACCAAGAAGTAATGTGTTCAGTTCTTTACATTTGATAAGAAGACATGATGAATTACACCGGTGCTAAAACACCAAACGTAACCATAATCTTTTAGGGTCAGTTTTCCACTAGGTACTGAACCAGTACCAATTTGCTGAGAGGTTGCAATTATCTAATAGAATCCTTTTTCGGCACAAATCTGTTGAGCAACGCAAGACTCGTCTCGTGAGGCCCCCATTTGTCAAGCTTTTTTACCCCACCAATTTAACGTAAATGGACTAATATTGTTTTGATATAACATCAAAAGCTGCAGCTAATTCAGCTATAGTTTGAGAATCACCAGCTTTCACAACCATCTTTTATTCATCATAGTCAACAAAACTTTTCGACTGACCACTTAGTTCATCTCTTATGTCTAACTTTCAAGACCAGAAGCTGGCAAACCAATAACGCGTGATGCGATCATAGAATATACACGGTAGTCCTACTTACATTTTTAAAGTATACGTGATGACGAAAAATGTAGAGATGCGATAAAAATAGAACTCTACCATTATAAAAGTGCCAAAATAACAAACAAGAATTCCATACCTATTTTAAAACAAAAATATTTTTAAATAGCCAATATGATAGAATGGCAATTTCATAGGAAAAGCTCCAATATTATAGGTCTTAAAGTAAATTTAAATGACAAGATCATTTTAGTTCAAATAAAAAAAAAACTTTATGTAATTAAGATTTCTTTATCGATATCGATATATAACAGTTATCCGATATATAATGCATCCCTAGGTAGTACTGGTCTGTGATCAACTTGTTCTGTATGTGTACGTGTGTGTGTGTGTGTGTTTGTGTGTACTGATCCGATTCTACTGTCTGATTTGACTGACTTGAATATCGTAAATTATTTGCCAGCTGGGCGGTTCCGATATTTTTTTACCTCCTATTATTATTATATTTAAAGTTCCTTTTGCAAGTGTATCAGTTTAATATTCTTACCAGTTGGTTTACGCTCTGTAAAACGTGAGTAGTTACGATTTCTCTTACTCATTAATGATTTTACATGTCGTTTCAAATCGATACGAATCGAGCCTCTTTGTATTTACGAAAGAATCAAATCTAAATAAAGTACATTAACCTTTGTGTGTTTCTAAATCCGGATGTAATTATTATGTGAAATAATCTTTTAACGAACATAAGTTAATTGCGTGCCGACAAATGTACAAGTTTACTTAAATTTATGAATGTAAGTATTTAGGATGAATTTGTGTTACGTTAATCAGTTCTAGAATTTATTAAAACCTTTTGAGATCCAGGAATCAAGTTTTAATTACGAAGTAAGACTCCTTTAATTGTATAATGTCATTAAAATAAATAAAAATTATTTACATTTACCCACTGACAATGAAAATGTTTATAGTATCATGGAACAGATAGGTATTCAAATTCTTTTTATATACATCAATAGCTTAGTGTTATCATATGATTTTTTATTAAACATAATAATGTCAATAAGAAATTATAGATTCAAGTATGCTTACATTGTAATTATATAGAGTTAACTTTATTATAGTGTTTGTTTGACTAATTCTATCAAACATAACACTTGGTGAAGTGGAAAGTGCACTTGCTTCTAAGTATATAAGTGATTTTGAAATGACATTTGTCAAGTCTTTAGGCAAGGAATTCACTAGGTAGGCATGCCTGTGGGCAAGTCTGCGGGCATGCCTGCCAGACCTCGTTACTTTAGGTCTGTGTCATGTCTGCCTAATGTAGGTCCATGGCAGACTGCCTATGATGGACATATGTGCAGACTCCCCAGTGGGCATGCCTGTCTAGTGAATTCTCCACTTAAATTAAACTCATAATCAGGTTGATGGATTTGGTTAATTTTAGGTTTAGAATATTTATAGAAATTCAAAGAAAGTTTAAAAAGTGACAAGATAGTCATGAATATTTAGTTAAGATATAGTAAAAGCAAAATTTTTCCATACAGCTGTTTGTACCTGTCATATGGTGAAATCAGAGAATGATTTGATTTAACTTTGACACATTGTTTCATTCTGTAGCAATGGTAATTTTGTTCAGCTACTCCTGTCAAACTGCATTTTCAATTTTAAAAATAATGACAAAGGGCAATTCACAAGTATAATTTCATCTCTGGGTTACTTATGATCATGGAGTAATGTTAAAATAAACTGGAATATGATTATTTTTATGTTTATTCAGTATTACAACAGATTTGGCACCTTATATTACCTACTTATCTTATTTCATAAACTTATATAAATTAATATCAATCATAAGTATCTCCTTATTAATCTTAAGCATTACTATTAATACTCAACATAAGCATTAGTAAAACCTGCTTGCTTAGGTGTATGGGACTAAATTAATTTATTACTGTAGTTATTTGGTACTTAAACAGGTGCCAACTTGTTTACGTTTTAAAAGTTTCAGTTGGTATCTTATAAAAATATAATAGATAAATAAACACAAAAGAATAGATAACTAAAATGTTAATCTGTTTGCCATAGTGTCTCTATAAACACCTAAACATTATGATTCATATTATTTAGTATAATTAAATAAAGTTTTTATTAAATATTCTTGTCACAGTTTTAGTTTATTTTTAAATACAAGACCTTTTTGTTTATTTTTAAATACCTAGGGTGAGATATTAAAACATTTTATAAACATGATATAGTAAAACACTATAAGACAGTTTCTTATTATTTAAATCAAAGTTATATTTCGTCCTATTGTTGCTTTCTATTAATATACTTATACATAGGACCTATAAAAGAGTAAGTTGGGAAACTATAGATATTAGAATATAAAATTCTTTGATGAAACAATTTGTTTTTGCTTAGCGAAATACATTAATTATTTATAAAGCACTGCGATTATGTATTAGGATTTATTTTGATATGTGACTGCTCTCTGCCCATTCAGTAAAACTATATTTCACAAAATACTTGTAACTATATATTTAACTTGTTCATCTTTATTTTATTATTGAACATACTTATTTATTTGCATTAAATTATCTTAGGAGTTGTGAACCATTTTCTTATATCAGGCATTTGCATGGTACTTTCTGTTGATATAATCTTGTATTGCATCTTAGATGAAACTTATTCCCATTGCTGGTGCACAGCCCTAACTACTGGGACTAGAAATATAACTTTAAAAACTTATTTCATTTAACCTATTCTTTGGTAAGTAAATAATTTTATAAAGATTTCATTATCTTTGCTAAATATTTTGATTCCAAAAACTTAAAAAAATTGTTGATAAATTGCTTAAAAATTATACAACAATAATTTTTGTATTTTTACTACAGACTCTTCAATTTGATTAATTTACAATGTTATTATTACACCAATTATCATACCAACTACTGTGTTCTGTGTTTTTACCTTTTTATGTTACTGTTTTCCCGCGTAAATTATAGGTAACGTCGCCCGCGTATAATGATTAATGTGGCTTAAAAGACTTTTTAAAACAATCATTACTTCCTCTTTATAATGTTAATATAGAGTAGCGACCGGCCCCAGTTTTGCACAGGTACAATTTAGTTATCATAATATCTCAGATGACTTTTTTATCTTGTATCATGTTCTACTACTTTGTTAATTTAAATAAAACCTTAAAGAATTATATACCCAAACTTCCTTATAAATTACGCCATCTGCTGGTGAAAACTACATGAAAATTATTGGACAGATGCGTTTGGCTTTGTTTCATTCTAATTAGATTTAGATTATTCATAAATAACATTCAAGCAATTATTGTTTATGTGGTGATACAGTATTTTTTAAGATAATAAACCTTACATTTTGGCAACACGCATAACAGGCAACCCAATAAATGTCTGCTCACAGATAATATAATATGGGTATATTAAGTACGATTAATATTATTAGTTGGTTGTTACTTTAAAACTTATTCATTTACATGATTTTATTTCATGAATTTAATGAAATCAATACTCTTAATTCCTTTTTTCCAAGACGGAACATAGCAATTTGTATGATGTTATTGTTTATACCAATGTTAAGTAGGTACTCTGGTTGTGAGTGCAAGTAACAGTAGTCGTAGCAAGCGTGCGGAAATACGTATTAAAAGAGAAAAAGCAGTATAGGTACATGAAAAATTGAATCTTCAAGTGTGAGATCACACTATCTGTCTGTATGTAGAGTGAGCGAGACGAGTAGAGGGTCGATGCACTCAATAGCACCGCGGCGCTATGACGGATAGATACAGTCTCGTCTCGACGCGCGTTTAGTCTCATGAATGACTACAAAAGTGGATAGCCTGAAATTTTTATTTGTACTTGATAAATACCGTTTCATCTCCAGCAACTGTTATTTGAAAAAAGAGACTCCCACCTTTATATTGTAGAGTAAACTAATTTAGAATATTTCTCTTAATTTAAAGTGTATAAAATTAAGAGAAATATGCAGTGCAGTTAATTATGAATATACTAATTAAACCTGGCCACACATGACTTGACCGAGTCTGATATAATCCGTTAGGAATTCCGTGATAAAAATTAATAAAAAATACAACTCTTAAATTATCAAGGTCCTTAAATTATAAAGCTAAAGAGTTTGTAGTTTGTTTATTTCAACGCGCTAATTTCAGGAACTACTGGTTTGAATTGAAACCTTATTTTTGTGTTGAATCGTCTATTTACTGAGGCAGGTTATACCCTTTATAACACCACGCTATGACTAATAGGATCAGCAATGAAAAATGTTACAAAAATGTATTTTCATCTAGCGTCAAGTCGCGGGAAAAAAGCTAGTTGACAACAAATTAATTTTATTTCATTATAAACGAATAAATTGCGTGCCTGAAAGCAATTGGATTTTCAATAGACTTGTGTATAACGCTTTCAACTGTTTAAAAAACGTATATTTACTGTCTGCATACACCTTTAAAAGCCTAAAAATTGTGTAAGCAGACAGCTTACACATGCATGTATTTGTGATATTTGTTTTTTCATGTACACTGCTCTGCGATTTCTTAACTTATATAAACTTGAAATGATTATAATATTTTTAAAGTCAAAGGCTTTATATCCTATGGATTTGAATCAGCTCAGTAGAAATAGTTATCTAGGTATTATTTTCTTGGCTGGCGCTTTAAGTTTTAGTATATTGTAACAATTTATAATATACTAAAACTTAGTCGAGTGTAAATAAGTTTCCGTTACTCTTAAAAGAAATTATAAGAAACTATCAATTTACTCCAATCATACCAGTTTAAACATCGCTTGAAAATAGCCAATTACATAATTTTAATTTTCGTATACAAAACGCATATCTTTAAAATAGTATAGAATTGTTTTACTTCTGACAGTACACACGGTTGCACTTCATGCTACCACAAAGTAGCCTGACGTGCCACATTGTTATGTTAATTGATTTTGAATTTTACCAACAATGTATTTAGGTTTAAAATCAAGTTGATAAATATTTTTAAAAAGTTTGACGAGCTGTTGACTGTACTTTGTTATCAAGAAAACAAATAATTAGGTACACGAAGTAGTAATGTTTAATAATCGAAGTTACTTGTGGAGTGAAAAATGCTTTTCTAATGTGTTTGAGAATGTTTGCATAAACGCGTATTTCAGTTCTTCACGATTATGGCATTATTAACTATATATTATGTATAAAATTTTATATTTTTTGTGTATGTAAATGAAGTTTACACTAAATCGTGAGTTTATTATAAAATTTTCACTTAACAGGAATGTTAATAATTTTATATGTATGCATAAATAAATAATATTTCTCATTGATGTTTAAAATTATTTGTAATTAACACAAAACGAAATTATTGATAGTTTAATAATAAAAATCACAGAGAATTTCGAAAATGATGAATCTTGCCCATTCAACTAGTCTCATAGCGGTCGTATCGATTATTATCAATAGAATTAGTTCGCTCTGGTGATTTTTAAACACATTGACTGTAACTATTATCGAATAGGCAGGTTGACGTTCGTTCTCAGTCGAGAGAATGGAAAACGTACGTGTCAAACCGGACCATGAGTCACGCTTGCCTACCTACGTGGTACGGCCCGGCCGTCCTCGGCTTTTTTTTTCAAACCGAAGTCAGAGGTGTGTTGTGGATGTGTGTGTGCCATTAAATGATTAGATTTCTGGGTGTTAGACGCAGCGGCTATTACCAAGTACATATTGAGTACAACTTTATAAACTTGTATTAGATTTACATTTTGTCAAGACAGCGAGCCAAAATACAACCTAATACCTACTTTAGTACAAAAATTATTGCCGAATTGTAGCCAACGGCTACGCGTGGTCCTAGTTTTCTACATATACACCTTCCTCTTGAATCACTCTGTATATTGACGAAAATAGCATTAAAATCTATTGTGTATTTCATAAGATTTTAGCGTACAGGCAAGGGGAAACGGCTTTATTTTATACAATGTATAGAAGCTGTTCTGTTTTCAATCTATAAATAACTTATCAAAAGCTTAAAGAAATCATTAAAAAGATTAATATTTGCTTTTAACTTTTATTAGATATTATAGATTAGATATTATAGAAGCACTATAAAGAAATTCTATATAAAATTATTTACATACACATTGAAATTTATTTCTCTGTAGCTTTTATCCATTTGTTACTTTGAAACATTCATTTTGCAAACGAATGCTTCACTTGAAAGTTTATCATAGAGATACGGAACTGAAATGAATTCCAACACGAATCGCAATATGAAAATATGCACAAGCTGCCAACAATCACTGAATTATTCGCTAAGATAGTATAATTTTATATTTTCAGTTAATGCTGGAGTCCACACCTGCCCTTGCGAGCGCAACGTAATTCAGAATTTCATATTAAATAAAGGTAAATGAATTTTTACAATGAAAATAAGTGCTTACCACTAATTTAGGTATAATATTATACATTGTATGTGCCACTGCATATCGTAGTAAAACGTCCTCACATTTTCCACGTAAGAAATCACCGACAACATTGTGGTCTGGCATGTAGCAATCTGCAAATTTTTCTTTGTTTTGTAGCTATGTAGAAAATCATTATTTGGCTACAATTCTTAATATTATTTTTTTTAATACTAGCACCAATAGCTACGATGCCGAATTGCTGACAGCTTCATTCTAATTAAAATAAATTAGATTAACGATAAAAATTTAAGCAATATAATTGTCCTACTATAAAGTATACCTAAAAATGTAGTGATTTCGAAAAATAATCGGCATTAAAAAAATTATACAAATTCTTATTGGAATCTATCAGCTATGCTATTCTATTAAAAACAGCATTCGACATCGAGCTCAGCTCTGTGTCGGCAAAGAGAGAACTTCAATTAAATTAAACTTACTTCAAAAGGTCATTTGTACGTACTGGTTTAATTTTAGTGAAGCACGTTGAATTCGAGACTTGTTTAGAATAATAGCACTGCATAACATTTTTTCAATAAATATTACAGTGCTATAAAACTTTTCTATTACTTTACAAACTATATCATTAAATAGTTTCGAAAGATAATTAATTAAGTTCAAATGGGGTTCGAAACGAATATTTTTTTTAAATTATACTAGTCTATATTATTTCTCACTGTACACATTTTTATCTAAAATGTTTTCTTAAATTTATATTCCGAAATGTATTACCTACTGATTAGAAAGATATATCTATAATAATATATCGACTCGACTCTTCCTACGTGCAGTGGTGCTTATATGGTTCTACATAAATAGATAACCATTGACTTCTCATAGTTTAAAAATATATTGCCATAGATAATAGAAAGAATTTATTTTGTACTTAATAAGTATTTCAATTTAATATGAAATATATAACTGAAATTGGATATTTTATAGACGAAAAATATGCAATTCCATTCCATTTAATAGGCTCCCAAATGAAATATTGTAGGTTCATCTCTAAACAGAAACTTAGTTATAATTGTATCTATTTTCGGCGTAACCATAAGCGGTTCAAAAATAGCTGTTTGCATCTCCCTAAGTATGCGTTACATGCAGTTTACCATACGCTATGGTATTAAGGGCCGTCCATTAATCACGTGAGGCTCGAAAGGGGGGGGGGGCGAGAGATTCGTCAAAAATCCCGAAATATCATAAGGGGTTTGGGGGGTGTAAGGTGCGCGATTATTAAACCGAAAAGCGAGGTCAAAAATTAAGATTTTTTTTTTGTTTCTTTTTTAAATACACGTGATTTGGTTGAAGGAGGAATTAACGGACAGCCCCTTATCATTATTGTTTTAAACCGAATTCGATTACCGTTACATTTGAGACTATTCTATGTTCACTATGTAAAGTCTTCAACGAAACTTAACAATTAAGGTCAAAATTAAAATTTGTTTTGCAACAGTAGCTATTATTGAATTGTTCAGACAAGGTTTCTCGTGAGTCACTAGCTTATAAATTGTAACTTGATTTGCTTGTCTGCCAAAGTCAACACTACTAGGTACTATGGCACTCTCGCCCCTCCGGCACTTGAGTGCTTTTCATACCACAAACAAATCAAGATGAGTATCGAATTGCCCATTGATTCCACAATATTTTCACCGAATTCGAAAAGGAGGAGAATCTGTGTCCGGCTATTTTTTTTTATATTGTATCGTTTGTTCATCTATTTCACCGAATGTTTTGAAATGTTAGCAGATTTTCGTTATTTTTTTATTCGGTAACTTCTATCAAAGATGGTTCCATAAAAATTAAACCAAAATAAATGGAAGAATTTTATCACCGGAGTCTAGTAATTTGCCTTTTGCTTTTATGTTAAGGTTAATTTTAATCGACTTCGAAAAACAAGTTTATTTTTAGACAAATCAAACGCTAATTTTAAAAATTAGTTAGAAATTTTATTAGTTACCTTAAACGCGGTTAATTTTATGAAACTCCTATTGATGTTACGCGGAATTAATAACTACAAAACCTCTGTCCGACTTTAAACGAAATTCTATAAACATATAAAACGTCTCTAAGATTATTTTTTACTTTTTTATACTTAACTAGTGGCCGCCAGCGACTTCGTCCGCGTTTTCCATTATTTCTTCGCTCCTAATAGCTGCAGCGTGATGTTATATAGCCTAAAGCCTTTCTAGATAAATGGTCTATTCAACACAAAAATAATTTTTCAATTCGAACCAGTAGTTTCTAAGATTACCGCGTTCAAACAAACAAACAAACTCTTCAGCTTTATAATATTAGTATAGATTTATGTTAAATAAATAAACGCTCCGGTGTTCCAAATTTTTACACAGACATAAATTTTTAACCCTCAGTTATTAAAAAAAACTTTCGTACATGTACCAAACTAGTTGAAAATTTCTTACTCGTAGAGCCGTGTCCATGAATAATTTAAAGCTTGAAACATTACAGAACTCATCTTTATTCAGGTACTTGTATTATGCATCAAAGAAGGTATTTTTATATTACTTTTATTAATTTAAGCTCAAAACTTATGATCACTTCCTTGATCCGATATTCGAATTTAGTGTCCTTCGATAAAATGGGAACATATTCTTATTACGTGCCTGTACAGCCCCATATGTCATACTCTTACACGTATTGACCCAATAGCTTACAGAAGGTAGGTGGCCCAAATGATTGGATCTTCCAAAATAAAAAAAAGCTACATCTAACTCGTAGTACTTAAATTATATTAATTTTGTTGTGTCAAATGGAACATTCTGATATTAATTTAAAAACTTTGTATAAATATAGGTATTTTATGTGTTTTCTACATTATTATGATTTCACATGTCATAGAAAATTTTAATATATTTATCATAAAGGTTATGTGAACAAAAGGAGATAATTAATCTCAATCAAGAATTAAATCATATTAACCTGTTTACTTTTCATAGTTTACGCTGTTTAGTGGTTTAAGTTTGAGCATGTGTCAGTTAAGTGCGTGCGGAGTGCATGTCGGCCGACGATACGCTACACTCTATGTTTAAACATAACAAAGTTGGAACAGTAGGTCGTCCTTGAATATAACTACAGCTTGCTTACCTGCTATCAGCATAAGTGATTGCTGTGATTGTTTTATGTAACGAAATAAGAAACACAGTTTTAAATAGTCACCGCCCTTTAATTCATTATAAGATATGATAAATAAAACATTGTTTGGCATAACAATACCCTCGAATAAGTAAAATATTAAGCTACCATTAACAAATTAATGCAAAATACACCCAATCATTTTAGTTGAAAAAAATTGTATGCTCATCAGTTGATAAAAGTAGTTTTTATATTAGTACACTACGTGTAAAGAGAGTGTACTGCTCTGTTGTTTTCTATGATATGACTGACAAAGGCGGCCTTCATGCTTAGTGGGCGGATGACCGCCGAGCGCGCGGACCACGCCGACTTTCACCTGCGATCGCGGTTTCATCAAAACACATTCAAACATTACTCGCTTCGACATCCCTTTTAGATGACCATCTCCTCTGTGTCGTAAAGTGTCCATATAATTAAATCACTACCACATAGATCACAGCAGTCATACTGTTTGTGCATGTCATGTGATGCATTATAATGTGTAAATGTTTTAGACGTCTGCTATTGTTTCTATTGGTCCTATATAAAGGGGTTCAGGTGAATTCTTTCATCTTTGTTGTCTTAATCCAGCAACACACCAAAATAGATTTCTTTTAATTAAAATTACATTATTTAATATCTTGAAGTTATTTGAATTGTATCTTCATATGTAACAGCTAGTTAATAATTGAATACTTAGTTGCTTTGGATTCAGTTTTGACTAAAAATGTCTCCATTCCCACCTGTTTCATTGAGTAATAACAGCATGCAGCCGTTTTTTCACATTAAAAGGTAAACTCCCGTTAGGTCCCGGATTAAAAATCGTCAAACGCGTATCCACGTGATGAGGTTAGAACTTGGTGATGTATGGAGCTGATGCCGTGACTGAACGTGTCTGGTGCAGAGTGGAGCGCGCGGTGAGCAGGGGCGCGACCGAAGCCAGTACTATATGGCAGTTCCCGTATCACCATGAAAGTGGACGCCGACGCGAGGGAAGCGCCCGCCGCGCCCGTCGTCACTCCGGGAACGCCGATCTCTAGTAATACAGAATCACCTGTGTCATCCTTGGACGGTTTGTTGGTCCACCACTAACGCACACTAACAACATTCAATAGAGGTATATTAACGCCTGCCTCGGTTATAATAAACCCGCACTCGCCTGCTTCTAGCATGACTTAACGCTTTGTTCACTAATTTATTTTCATATTTTTAGCAACAATGTAGCCTTTACTAATCATATAAACGTTTTATTATAAAATATGAAAAATTCAATTTATTCTATGACACTAAAATTATATTATTAACCGAAACGGATAGTAGGTATTTTGTTTGATTTTGTTTATTATAATTATCTATAATAGTAAAACCTTAATTTTACATTTCTAATGAATACAGCATGCTTTTATACGTAATTGACAGTAGGTACTATGTCTATTTAGTAATTATTATAATTTAATTAACGTATATGACGTGTAATTAACGTTTGGTTAAAATATTTACTAATTTTGTTTATTATTAGTTATCAAAAGTGATACGATGGACTATTAGGCCTATAATGGCTTCCCTATATGTTTTTACGAGATATAGATTACGAGCTTGATATCTTTATCTTTATTCCTTAATCCATTAGGCACAAAATGTCTGTGAAATGAGCATGAGTATTTGTCACCCAGTCAAAGGTTTTTAGGTATTTATTTTATGTTGTCGTCATTTAGTGAATGTCGCTATACACAAACATTGATTCCGGTCACTATATGTTTTTTTTTTATGAAAATTAATATGAATGTCTTAAGAGGCTTAATCCTTATTATACAAACATAGTAAATTAATCAATATACATCGGATCATCCAAAACCAGAGATGCAATAAATAGAAATATTGGTGTTCGCCGGAAGTCATTACAAATATTAAAATTGATTTAATGAATATTAAAATGTACGTAAAGTAAAATTACCGAGTGAACGTGAACCATTTAAGAACGCATCTGTGCACTGTAACTGTAAAGGATTATTCCTCTGACAGAAGACAGAGTGACTTAAAAATTTAAACAAATTAGTAGAGATGGTGGAGAGTGGTTGTCTTTTTATGGTTCCGTAGTAAACAAGGAACCCGTATAGTTTCGCCTTGTCAGTCTGTCCGTTCGTCAGTCCGCGGTTTAGCTCAAAAACTATTGGTAATAGAAAGTTGTAGTTTGGCATGAGTACTCATTACTCATTACTATTAAAAAAAAAATGGGTACCTACCCTACATGTAAAGAAGAGATAGTAATTTATTTTTTGGTCCTTCCCATAGTGTAGGGCATAGCGATTTAGTAAACCGTTTTTGACTTCTGCTTAAAAGAGCCAATTTTCGTTAGAGTCAAGTGTCCCTTTACCAACTAATCGGTCTTCGTTAAAAGTTCAAAACGTAAAAATTACGGTAGTTTTTTTTACCTATAAATACCGAAGTTAAAAGAATAACTATCACCCTTAAGTTGGCTTTACAAATTTACGAGTAATAGTCGACCAATTGTATATATGTAACTTGAAATTTTCAAACAACTCCATAGAAAATAACAAACGTGCTTTTTTATTATTGGATAGTGGTACGGAACCCTTCGTGCGTGAGTACGACTCGCACGTGGCCGGTTATTTAATATTTTGAGGTTATACTACTTTAAACTAAGGATAAGGAAATCAAAATTACCGAGTCTTTTTTATCCATTCCATTGCGGCTAGTCTGCATTAGTCACAACACGTAAGTCAATAAACTAATAACATCTATGTTAGCAAATCATATATTATTTAAATTGCAGTAGTTGTGCCATCACAAATATTTTTTGAATGAATTCAAAGACGAGGAGGTTCTATCTATTATATTATTGTACATGTATATTATTTTTCTTGTTAATCTAATTCTTTCTCTTCACTTACCTGTACTCCTGAGGTGATGTCAAGAATGTTTGTATTAAAATAACTGGAGAAATTGTGTCGTCGGAGTATTTTCGTACTTATTATAGTTACGTACATGAACATAATGGTTTTATATTTGTATTTATTATATTAAGTATCCCTAAAAATATCATATATTTTTGTAATTAAAACCGACTTCAGAAAATTCAACTTTAATTCATGTGATATTTTAACCGCCCGACTTCAAATAAAGTTTTTGAAGTTGTAAACTACTCTTGCATTATTAATGATCATATTTAGAATTTTTAAAGTCAGTTTTGGGTTTAAAAAGTCAAGTAGAGAAAACAAACAAAAAGAGAATCATCAACGAAGGTAGATATAGGAGAACAAACACAAAATCAGACGGAGGCTTTTATTATTAGCTTTTTGAAGTCGGTTATTTAAGAAAATGCCCGAAATAAGTTGACAATAATTATTGACTTAAATGTATCTATACTTTTTGAATTTATCAATAACATTAAAATTATGACGTCATTGTTTAAGAAACGCTTATCCCTAAAAAGTTGCAGTAGACAGTTATACAAATTGAACTTTAAAAATAAAATGAAACCTATTTTGTATATTTGAATCATAAACCTTTGCGAAAGAAATTATTTTTTCTAATAATTTAAAGTGTGATCGTATTATTTATATCTATGCTTAATGAGAAAAAAATAACCTTACACTATAAAACTGTCAACCAAATATTAATGTTTAATCTCAATATAATTTTAACAATACTTTCGAAGGAAGTATCCAAAGTTTACCTGTAATTCGCCGTGACCTTAACCTCAAATTGTTCATAAATCACGAATAATAGCAAATTCTATTTCAGTTCATTTATTTCTGGCACGAAATCAGATTGATCTATTAATGAAATGTGTATATCGAAACTTTTAAGTTGCCGTTCCGTATATCATAAAATTACCATACAGAGATAAATAATATGAACTATATGCTTTCGCGACTCAATGACTAAATATTTTAAGCAGCTTCGGTTTTATGAGATAAAGAATTGGCAAGCAGATATGCGCTTCTTCATTTCCTATTATCTAGTATCTAAATCCACCAACATCAGTAATCATCATATGAAAACCTCTAAAGTAGGTAAAGTCATACTATGCGCGTTTATTATATCTATCTATTTACAATTAAAGAAAACATTGTTTAAGTATCTAAACTAACCCAATTATGTTAGGAACGTTAGCAAGTCTTATCCTGTCACGATATTAGTTTTTGTCTATGCTGATAAATTTAATAATATATATATATATCTCTACCCATAGGGTTTTTAATCGTATAGCACTCATGAGCCTTTCCTGTCAAAAAATATGTACATTATAACAAAATGTTACCTATAACACCACGGATATAAAAATATGGAAATGCGGAGACAAAAATAAATAAAAAAATACTCATCGGAATTACGTCACAATTTTAGACTTTTGATCGGGCGAGCACAGCAGTACTTTTCTATTTTAGGCCTCGACTTTACGTCGGGCGCAATCAAAGAAATCCTACTTCAAAATAAATAAAGGTTTCATTGAAGCTCTGTGCTGTTTCAGTGTCTCACTCTATGAGTTTGAGGCTATTTTTATTTTTAATACCATAGCAGATCTCTAGTCACTCATTGCTAAAGCTAAAGCAGTGCTTCTCAACTTTTGGACCGCGAACCACTGTTGATCCCTGGACGCATTCCATGTGGTTCGTGAAGCGGCTATTTCGTTTTATTATGCAAAAACAATTAAATTTACTAAATTAACTCATCCAAAACGTATATCGACACAAAATTTTATATTTAAATATATGTACTGCAGTCTATTATTTATGTTATGTTCGTCCTATCATCGCGACAACACTAAAAACCCACACCGCAACTTGCAGCACACTTACTAATTCAATTCTTCCTTAAAATTTGAAGAAATCGGCATCAGTCATATTTTAACATACACCTTACACAAAACCATATTAGCGTAACATAGCTAATGGCACAGTAGTATTTTACTATTTATGATAATATTGTTGTGGGTACAGACTGCCAGGTGCAAGAAAGTGACGCGATTCCGACGCCCGAAAGGGCTTTACTCGCCAAACTGGAAGAAGAAAATAGAAGGATCGAAGCGGACGCCAAGTCCCTCACTACAGTACACAGCCGCAAGAGCTCTGACACATCACAGATATCACTAGCCTCGGGTAAGTTCTTGTGCTGTTACTAATCGAAATCTAACTAGATGTAGCCACGGTACGTTCTTGATTTCTCCATAACAACCTTTCCGGTTTTTTTTCATGTTTAAAAGTAAATTAGTTTTCAAAACTCAATAAACAACAAATGCTAGTACAACGATAAGGAAACGCTTTTTTCGATAATTTACGATGCAACGGAGATACAATTTCGAAGATACGAACTTCTCCAGCTTATTATGATAGGCAAGTTCTTGGGAAGAGAAGCGTTGGAAGGAGGGAGAAATACGAATTCTTCTTCCATCTCCCGTTTACAGAAATAGATAGTGCAGTCGTTCTGATGGTTAACTAGGGTTGCCAACATTTTTTCAACCACAAATAATATTTTTCAAAATTAACTATAAAAAATGTAGTATAGCCCTTGAAAAATATATAGTACCGAGTAACCCACGGAAACATTGTATTCCAAATATTGTAATAAGAAATGTTGTATTCCAGGATAACAATAACTTACATCGTATTCTAGAATATATCTCTACCTCAAATTTCATCCAAAGCTGTACAGCCATTTTTACCTGATTGAGTAACAAACACCCGCTCATCTAGACTTTCTGAAAACTCAATACAATCTTTTAACATTGGCAAAAATTTAATTTATTAAACAAAATTATTATTTGGAATTAAATTTCCATTACTATACTTACTCAATTTTTCATGTAAAACAACTGTTAATATTACAAATGCGTTCGGTCGTCGTATTAGTCATGTTCATGAATTTTAAAATAAAGAATTTATTTGTTAAATATTGTCGGATGGAAATACAGTATTTTTGCATTCTTTATATTTTTCAACAGTACAAACCCGAAATATTATAGTAAAATACCATATATTATAGTACGGTTGGCCTTCTCTAGTTGGAGAGGCACTTTAAGAAGGAGATACAACCTCACAATGCCTCTGATGCACAGATAATCTTCACGTATATGACTAACAAAATTTAAAGAATTTTCGTTCGAGATCAAATAGAATAGGCCCTCACGTGTCATCTTCATTCACACAAGTTTATTCATAATTTTGACAAGCAATATCTGATCTATGTGATTTAGTTTTAAAACTAAATAAAAAGTTGCATTTGCATCTTAGATTTCACTTTTTTTATATGAATTTCTCTCTTTAGAAAACGCTATAAAGAAAGAACACACTATTCTATTTGCCATATTAAATGTGATTTATTTTTAAAGGGAGTGTTATGTATGAATAAGGATACTCCAAAGAGAATAATTTTTATAGGCAAATTTTACTCAAACACAATACCACAGAATATATGTCGTCGTGCGTAGTGAGTTTTGCTAGTGTACTATTTATTATAGTTAGGCAAATTCACGTCACCAAATTACGCAAGTTTGAAACATATTTGTTTTGTTTGTGTATATATTATTTTGTTTTTTGTGTCATTGGATAGGTTTAGGTATAAAACGGCATTTCATCAATGCCGAAATCATCGCAAAATATTATCTATTACAAATGTGTAAAAAATATCATTACAATTAAAATATTTTAGTTATAATTAGTTTATATTTACTTTCTTTCTCTTTCATTCTCAACAATAAATCCAACAACTAGATACGAGTGTCACTACTACGATAGTGCACAAGCCAAAGTTGATAACCATAGCGCGACTGCCGAGCATAGGTATAAAAAATTAAGTACATACATTTGATTACCTTTACCTGGTTTCTGTGCAAATACTTTGTTTTGACACTGCACTATGCCGTAATAGTTATGAAATTAGTCACACAATCTTTATTACGATACGTCCAACGTCCAAGTTTACCTGCTTGAAGTTTGTTTTAAAAACGGTAAGTCTATTAGCGAATGAACGCAGTTTATCTCTTATCTATCAGTGACAGTGATAACTTTTTTAAACTATACACATTACATTGTTGAAGTATGAGTTAAATGAGTGAAAAATGGATGAAAATGAACCATACTACACGAAAAATGTATTGGAATTCTATTTTTCGATGATTTTGGAGAATTTCTCACAACGTATGTATTCAAATTATTAAATTTGTTTCTATTAAAATGTTATCTAAACCAATGGCATCTAACGCATGACGAAAATGTTTCACAAGTGTTTTTGCTCCATAGCTTACTCGGAGATAAATCATTTTTATCAACTTATAAAGTTATAACTAGTTATATATTATATAACTACAACCTATTGAAATATTAATATATTAGAATAGTATTTTTTAATACTTCCTAGGTGGATTTACGGTCCTGTGAATTCTTATATTGTGAATGCGACATCTATCATATATATTTTATTTTATTATTTTCTGTGTTGTGGTGATTATAAGAATGAATTCTATATTTAGGTAAAGACAAATGAAGCTATCAGGATTGCAAAAGGTGGGCGTAAACTAGCGAGTTCCCGAGTTTAAAAACTTCGTCATAAATTAAATCATAAACACACACAAAAACACACTTAAAAGCGATGTCTCTTAGTCATTGCGTTTTTAAGAGTTCTTCTTATATTATTAATATGATAAGAAATAAGCAAACTGCTTATACCATATGTAACACAAGTTTTATTATAGGTATGACGCACTAATGTTTGTGCCTTGCTTACTCTGTATAATTTGTTAATAACAGAAATACTGACTAAAACAAAAGTATATTGATCGTACATGAATTACTTTAAAAATATAGATATATATTTGTCTGTTAAGGCTCTTAACAGACTCAAATGCCGTTACATCTTTACATCGACGACAGCGTCTGACGTATTTTGTTTTTGTATGGTTTCCACTTCGTCTTTGAAGATTATTTTTTATTTATAAACGATATTTAAATGTTTGTTTTGGAACATCTACTGTGATCCTATAATTTTGCTTATTAGCAACGAGTTCCAGTCATGATGCGGAGCCCCGTGTCAGCAGCGGCAGTAACGGTGAAGAGGACCTCTGGGGCCTCTGGGGCCGAATCGTCAGCAACTGGGAGACAGAATGGAAGCGACGAAATCAGTTCGTACGCGACCTGGTACGCCAGGGTGTACCACATCACTTTAGGGGAATTGTCTGGCAATTGTTGGCCGGAGTAGATACTTCACCAGAAAAGAAACTTTATGCTACGTATATTAAGGTATGTTTACCTGTAAACAGTCAAGACATTTATGTATATAGAATATAATGCACTGCACTCCATGGTGGTTATATGTTTCTCCTTGTTTATTAAGGCAAAATCGGCTTGTGAGAAAGTGATACGTCGCGACATTGCACGTACTTATCCCGAACACGACTTCTTCAAAGAGAAAGATGGACTAGGCCAGGAGTCTTTGTTTAATGTTATGAAAGCGTATTCGTTGCACGACCGAGAGGTTGGATATTGCCAGGGCTCTGGATTCATCGTAGGATTACTTCTTATGCAAGTAAGATCTTAGTTTATTTCACAGATATTTATTTCACAATTGGGCTGTATCTTAAATAATTATTTTAAAAAGGTTTTTTTTATTATTCGACATTGTACTAGTACGTACCTTACGTTCAGCCATTTCATTCCAAAAATCTTTAGACCTTATGCTACAAATATTCTTGACTTTGACTTCAGTTTATCATTATTAGCCACCAGATTTTAATTAAGTCAGATTTTAATATTTTTCACTTTTCTATTAACATCAAATTATTGTTTTAGTACACTAAATATTTTATCTTTTTTATAAAATTCTCATTCCCTACATTTGAATTTGAAAAATTTATTACAAAACTTGTAACATAAATATGCAATCAAATATTAATCTACCATTTATTTGTTACTCAGATGCCAGAGGAAGAGGCTTTCGCGGTTCTTGTAAAAATAATGCAACAGCATCGTATGCGCGACATGTTCAAGCCTAGCATGGCGGAGCTGGGTCTCTGTATGTTTCAATTAGAAAATCTGGTACAGGAACTATTGCCAGAGCTACATGTACACTTTCAGTCTCAGGTAAATCCAATCACTATTCCATTATAATGTCTTAACTTACTGGTTTTTAAGGGTTCACAATTGTAAGACTAATAATAAAAATATTATCTTAATGTATTTATGTACATATATGTATTAACAATCATAACTGCCATATAAATCATATCGCCAGGCTGCTGAAAATGTTATTTATAATGTGTATTTACACAGCTGCATTTTCAAAAATAATTGTACTGTTTTATCATGAAGTTTTATGTATAGTTATCGTATTATTCTTCATCACTTTATCTGAACTAAACGACATCGGAATTTTGTTATCGTTCCAGAGTTTTAGTACATCTATATATGCGAGTAGTTGGTTCCTGACATTGTTTACAACTACGTTATCGTTGCCACTCGCTTGCCGTATTATGGATGTATTCCTTTCTGAAGGGATTGAAATAGTGTTCAAAGTAGCCCTAGCTATGCTCACGCTTGGAAAAAATGATCTGTTATCACTCGATATGGAAAACATTTTAAAGGTGAGATTGTTTACAGTTAAAATGCTTACTCTTCAAATTAAATACTTTCGACTCTACAGATCTAATAGAAATACTTAGTCATTATTCATAATAATGGTAAGATTGTCATAATCATGTTTACGAGTTAACAGGTTCGACCAAATCAACATATTTGAAAATTCCTTTCCTAAATGTTAACCGCAAAAAGATTTATACAGCTGCAATAGCTGATTCACTTGAAAGAGAGGAAATCAGTTGACTAAATAAGTTATTCTGTTACTTTCTTCGAACAATTGAAAGAAGACCTTATGTATGTTTTCAGTATAAATACAGCTGATTAAACATAATAAAGATTAACTCTTTGACCCTATAAATTCAACCTATTAAGATTCCTTAAAGTTTACCTTGCAGATCCCTGTTTAACAGTAATTAACTTAACACATTGAAAGTGTTTATGAATATATGAATATTATTTGCAGTACATACAAAAAGAATTGCCAGCGAAAGCGGAGGCCGACCAAGACGCCTTCATGAATTTAGCTTACTCAATCAAAGTTAACCCAAAGAAAATGAAGAAGTTAGAAAAAGAATACACTGTGATTAAAACGAAAGAACAGGGTGATATTGCTGTACTTAGGGTAAGTGTACAACTGATACATTACTATAAAAAGTGAAGGACCTTGATATCGTATGTAAAACCAGTAACTAGTGCTGTTCAATTGTTTCAACCGCGCAAAAGATCTGCTGTTAATATCCTATTAATATTATAAATGTGAAAGTTTCTTTGTTTGGATGTTTAGATGTTTGGATGTTTGTACGTCAATCACGCCGAAACTACTGACCGGGTTTGATGAAATTTGGTATACAGATAGGGTGTTAGCTGACTTAGATAATAGGATACTTTTTATCCCACCAAACATTTCCCTAGGGTCCACGCGGGCGAAGCCGCTGGCGAAAGCTAGTATACAATAATATTAAAGTAATAAAATAAGTAGTGGTCATATAAATGATTCTACTGACGTCTATCAATTTTTCCCTGTCGTATTAATAAAGATCAAGAGTTTTTATTTCCAATTCTAATCTTTATTTTTCTTCCTGTAGCAATATAGGCTGGATAAAAACAAAGCTGCCGCATCGTATTCATAAATCGTGGGTATGAAAAAAGTTTATATTTTACAGTGTTTACGTCAAGAAAATCGACTACTGAAGCAAAGAGTAGAATTATTAGAAAAGGAAAGTTCGTCTTTGGCTGAAAGATTAGTGAGAGGGCAAGTGGACCGTGCAGAGGGAGAAGAAGAGACTTTTGCTCTCGCTCGAGAAGTCCAAGCTCTGAGACGTGCTAATATGGATGCACAGCAAAGGCTCGCCGTCGCACAAGACGAGATACGCTCTCTAGAAATGACCATAGCAGAGGTAAGATATTATACTTTTCCATGATACTAATCGGTTTTTGTCTTTGCAACATAAGGCTCAAATAAAATTGATTTTTGCAATATTTTGTCTTTTTCATTTAATTAGAATTTACTCTTGACATGACCATTTTTTTAAGCGACAGCCATGATTTTGTTAATACTCATATTTTTTCATAAAATGCTTCTAAATTCGTAAAATCTCCTCTATCAGAGCGAAGCATGAGGATAAAACGATTTTTGTTTACAACTTGGAAATGAATGCCAGATGATATTAGTATTTAGTGCGTACATGTGTGCAGTGGTTCATATATTCTTTGTATTTTCATACAAAAAAAAAAACAAAAGTCTTGAAAAACAAATTTTACTGTATTTTACAAATCTAATAGCTCATCGTATAATATGTTGGCAAAACCCAACATACATTTTACATTGCAAGTTAAATAAAAGCATTTGAAAATAGTATTGTTTCGTTAGGGTAATTCCCGTCAGTCATCATTGGAAGGCACCGAGGGTGGTAGCACTGCGAAAGGCGAAGAACTAGCCCGATGTCTCCAACGAGAGTTGGTGAGGGCTCGACTCCACGCGGCTGAACGTGAAGCTGCCGAGCGGGAGTTGACCGCTAGAATATCGGAGCTCGAGAATGAAAACAAAAGCTTACGCCGGCAACGAGTAGACAACAACGTCGCACATTTACAGGTATTGTGTTTTAATTAAGGAATATATTTATAATATTGTTTGTGTGGAAATAAGATTTAATAAGATTTAGAATAATATAAATAAGATTTAGATTCAACTTGTCTGGTCATACTTGTAAAAGCATACTTTCACACCTATACTTTCCAAAGTAATTAAGATAATTACATATTTGTATTCAACATCTGCAAAATATCAATATTTTACAACTTAACCACCTATTATGAACTTAAATGACGATATGGCAATTATATATTTCTGAACAACCTTTTCAGTGATAGCTTTTTCGAGTAATTAGTTTTTTAAGCTTAACACAAATTATAAAATAAATGGATACTCAATAAGTATTTATCATAGGATGAACTTATTGCTGTGAAATTACGCGAGGCTGAAGCGAACCTCTCATTGAAAGAGTTGCGTGAACGGGTCAAGGAAATATCCGAGGCGTGGCAGAGGCATCTTCAAGTAAGTTGTTATATATTGCTATGTGATTGTTCTTAAGATATTTATTATATTTATATCTTTCGGAAAATATGTCGCAGGTCGGGTAACTTTTACACTTAACCGATGATCCGTTAGTCCTTCGACCGTATTAACGTATACTTCAATTTTGTCGATGAATCATGTGCACCGACCCTTAACTAAGTATTTATTTTACAGGACTGTTACCTCACAATCTGAGAATAAAAATTTCATGTTTAAGACTGCCATGTCGTGTAAATTTTTAAACGGCCACGAAAACATTTTTTTTTATAATAATGTATATGTCAGTTGCCGATCATGAACTCAATGGAATTTCCAACAAAGTAGATTTTTTAAATTAGATTACCTTTTCTAAACTTCTTATTGTGAGGTACATTAATGTTCTTTTATGACATCAGATTTTTTTTTATTTCAGTTCATTTTTTTGGACATTTACATCGACGACTTCTTTGATAAACATAAGATTTATATCGTCTATCTATATAGATATTTGTTGTGTATATAACATCTATAACTGGCTGTTTTATTTATTAGGAGCATAGACAGGAAGCGCCTGCACCACCTGTACAGTCCAATGTCGTGTCAGATATAATGGCAACACCAAAAAAACTACTAAGAGCGTGGGAGGGACGATCGGCTGACACTCAGAAACTTGAAGAAGATTTGATGACCACTAGGATCAGAGAGGTCGAGGCTCTCACGGAATTGAAAGAGCTAAGGCTCAAGGTATTCTTACATCGTCAAGATTAACTATTTTTTTAACAGTTTTATAGCTGTTCTACAAAATAATATCAGTTTCATTAAAAAACACTTTCTTGTAGTAGATTTTTTTACGATAGAAGTTTTTGGACGGATGAAGACAAAGTTTTCGCTTTAAAAACAAAGGTTGTGCCATGAGAGCTCTTTCATGAATCGGTTTATATATATGATATATTTTGATTTATTTTACCCCTCTAATGTATCACCAAGATTACATCAGCTCGTGAGCGTAACGTCGTCCTTTCATGAATGAATAAAACATAGATCTATAAGTGTCACGACAGTACAATGATGTTTTTATCAAAAATAATTTGAGTTATCGTTACACTATAATAGGCTTGTGCCCAACAAGTGAAAATACAATTTTCTGTTATATGTTAATATGAAAATGAATTTTATGACACTTATTTGGAAAATATTACGCTTTGAAAACTTGAAAAGTAGGATAAATATATTACCAAAATTTGCTAAAATACACATGACATGTAATTAGTCACATAAAACGTACTTTAACTTTCCTTATGACAGCTATTTACATAAACGCACAATTAAAAAAGATATTGTGTGACATCACTTAGTGCCCTGAATTTGTAGGGAGCGTTTTCGGCCAAGTAACAGCAGTTTCACAAACACCGTATCTCTGAACCTATTCATCGCAGACATGCATTTGCAGACATTCTACATTATTTCTTAGATATTATTGGACGATTTATTTATAAAATAAAAGAAAACTTGTCAACTAGCCTATTCTAACGAGTTTTACAAATAACACTGTATATGCGGCATCCTTAGGTTATGGAGCTGGAAACTCAAGTGCAAGTTTCTACGAATCAGCTTAGGAGACAAGATGAAGAAGCGCGCCAACTACGGGAAACTCTTGACTCGGCATTACAACGCGAACGAGCGTTACAAGCACGCCAAAGGGAATTCCAACACAAGTATGCCGACCTAGAGAGCAAGGTATTTATAAGTCGCTCTTTCATTTTCATTGTTTTGATTATCAATTAATATATTGCGTCAGTATTCAATTTCGATTAATGAATGTGTTTATGTTATTCTTTGATACGATACTGTGTGCCTGCGACTTCTGATGAATAAATTATAGCCATACACCGGGTTTCTGAATTGAGAATTTAAAGTTAAACGCGTCTCAAGCCATAGTTAAACCTTTTGATGGTTTAACTAGTATGCGGAAAAATTTAAAGAAATAAATATTTTGACTGTTGCCTCTCAATACATCTTTGAAAATATTATGTACGCAAGAAAACATTACGATTCCTTCACAAAAAAAGTACTGTTCATAATCTTAACACAAGAAATAAAAATACACTTGCCATTCCAAGCTACAGACTTCAAACACCAGTGAATCATTTCAGGGTAAATGCATTGCAGTCTTCAATAAAGTTCCACAAAATGTAATTGACCTACCCATAAATAAATTTAAAATTCATGTAAAAAAACATTCTTATGAGTAAAGGCTATTATAAAGTTGATGATTGTTTTAAGGATCACAATGCATAGAATTAACAACCTTCGCTTTGTTTTATAACGACTAATTATATGTACAACCAATGACCACAGACTTTGAAAGTTGTATTTATTATTATGATAATACATATTATTTTGGTAATGACATGATTTATGTAAATGTCATTACTTATGACAAAGAGCTGCTAAGTTTCTTTTGCTTGTTCTTCTTGTCAGCTAAAAGACGTCCTGATCAAATGGTAGGCGAAAAAAAATTTTGGGACGATTCAAAAGTGCTTGTAATAAGCCTACTTCAATAAAGATATTTTCATTTCATTTTAAATAAAAAGAATACGAAAGCGAAAATAATATTATTAAACATTTATCATTACCTAATGTCACATGAAACTTATGTATAAAGTATGTAGGCAAAATAAAATTTCCATCATTCCTGTGCCATAACAAATCAATTATGTCAGTCTTAAAAAAGATATAACGTAATAATAATAATTTTATAATCATAGTAGTTGTTCTTCTGTGTTTTTGCGGATACTATGATTGTTCAAACTATATAGGAGCTTGCCACGTGAAATGTAAAAACATTTCACGTGGCAAGCTCCTGTTGTTATTGAGTATAATCAGTTGAGATTTTGTACTTTTCTAAATTCAAAACCCGACTGTATATCAACTCTACATATGATGTAGCTACCCGCAGGTGAATGAATTTCTAAAATCTGTCCAGTAGTTTCAGACTTTATTTGATGCAAACAAACAATCAAATCTTTTTCTTTTTCTCTTTATAATATTAGTATAGACTTGCTTTCCGCTAGCGACTTTGCCCGCGTGGTCTTATATTATACATATAAACCTTCCTATCTAGAATCCAAACTGCAAAAATCGGTTGAGTAGTTTAAAAAATCTCAGCGTACAGACAGCGGTAAACAGCTTTGTTTTATATATTTTGTATGATATGTATAAGCTTTAGTGCTTTTCATGATCTAAATATTCGATAATTGAAAACATTTTTCATTTATCCATGGTTAGCTATAACCATGGATGTACATTATTTAGTTAAGCTTTTTGTTATAGGCTAAATATGATTCGATGCAAGCTAACATAAGAAACATGGAAGACGCACAAAGGATAGCAGAGCTTGAAACAGAAGTGTCCGAATATAAAATAAAGGTAATTTTTTTTAACATACATATATAGCATGTTTCAACTCTATCATTTCAGTAAAACAACGTGTACTAAGTATTTTTAATCATGATAAATTAAAAAATAATCTGCAACAGAATGAAGTAATGGCGACAGAAGGAGAACTCCGAAGCAATAATATGGATGACTCTGACAGAGTGCGCGAGTTGCAAGAACAGGTCGCTGAACTAAAGGCTGAGGTAAAAACGCAATTAATATTACTGGCATTAAATACACATTTGCCAATCACCACTAAATAGATAATCACATGCATCTTTGTTATTCAAAGAAATATAATTAAACTGTATATTTAATATTTTTATTATCAGCCATATTCTTTAAAACTACATTTGCTACTTAAGCAATGATAAAAAATTGACAATCCAACCATAATAATAAAAAAACACTTACCAAATCCTTGGCTTTGCATCACTAATGAAACTGTTATTTCGTTTTCGGTTTGCACATTATCCAACTAACAAATATAATTCGTCTGGTGTCATGATCATGATACATCTATCATCATATAAGCACCGTGTGATCGGCCACTAACGCTTTATGGTCATTGTTTAAGCATTCGCTTTGTTCATTCAGGATCACTCTGTACATATCGTGAAACCTGTGGACGTCGGTATACATATTATTTTCATTTGGTGAAAACGCAGAGACAACAATACCTATTTTATTGATTTGTAGAATACAAGTACATAACCTGTATATTAAATTTTCATGTACGCACTTTTGATAGTTATCGAGACTCGTTCATTTATATAGATATTCCTTATGAAGACCGACAGACGATATTTATAATACAGTTTCTATTCGATCGTCGTGCCCTCACAGATTACTAATAATAGAATATTTGAAGCAGACATTCCCTGGTCCAGAGCGAGGTAATACCAGTTACCAATTACGTTGAAGCCGTTGTTAAAGTTACTATTGTTAAATGCGCTTAATAGATGTCTCTGATACGATCTGTTTGGCACTGCACAGTTTCCGACACCAATCACCACACCGGACACTGAGCCCTGGAAATGGCTCCAGTAAGTGAAATCATAATGAGATCGATCTGTGTATTCATATGGTAAATATTTAAATTTATATAAATATACATTATTAATAACATCACATTCGACATACTCAGTATCACACCCGTTCATAGTCTACACATTTACGTTATTAGTTTTTACTACATGAGTACATAGATCGGAGTGTTGCCACATGTGTTAGTCCGTTGTGTATGTGTATCGGGTTGACGAACAGACACGCTGCATCGGCTTCCCGTGTTTTTTAATACTTTTTTTTTAATTAACATTAAATTTTATTCGTTGTTGTGTTGCTATTGCTCACTGCTGTATGGCTTGGTTGAAAATTCTAGTTAAAAATTCAAATACTTTTTCGGTATAATAAATGTGCTAAAGATTATTTAAAGTTTATTCTGCCATCGAGTCTGTGTTGACTTCGTAATTCAAATAATCGTAATGAACAACATGGTTCTTTAATTGTCTTTGCTATAATCATAAGTACTTACCTACCTTTATCAATATATTTTAATGTATGCATCGATACCTAACTTTTTCTGGTCCACTGAATCCTACAGAATCAAAAACATTTTCCAAGGAATCTTATTAAAAAAAAATGTGAACTCTTATATTATAAAAAATTTTTGGAGTGTAGGCATTTTCATAAGGAAACAAATTAATTTCATTACCTTCAAATAAGAAGGCGATATATTTTGCAACCAAATTAATTATATTTGGGTTAATGTAATAATTCCGCTGGCGGTCTCTGTTGCTGTATTTAATTTATTTAATTATTGTTATATTTAAGGCCACACCGGTGTGGAGACATAGATACATACAAGTAACTTATTTGACCATAATCAGTCTTATAAATAATTTAATACCGATCCTGGTAGTACAGCAGATGCAGGCTTGTTTGAATTGGGGTACGCATGTAAACTGGTCCCAAACCTTGCTCTACTTTTGGAGAGACTAAAAGGTTTTTATATATAGATTAATTTTAGATAACAATGCACAGTAAGCATAGTTACGTCGTTTTAAATCTAATGTGGTGAACGATCCAAGATGGCGACCTAATTATTTTTAGAGTACCTTTGGGTTTTGTTCTATGTTGTTTTGTTTACCAAAAATACGAAAGCTTAAAAACCGCAGCCAAAAATAGTTTTAAATATTTTCATAATATGGGTATCGAATGAGGAAGGGCTGAGAAAATAACAATAAAAAAACTACAGCGTCGCTGTCGAGAACATACAAAAAACAAAAAGCAATTTACCATAACTAAATCCACGACAGTAAATTAAGAACGTGATAAAATGGAAATCAATAATATATATTTTTAAATAATGCATTGTTAATGATACACTTCTAAACACAAAATGACGTTTGAATCCAGTTTGCATAATTACATCCATTCAGTTTTCACCGCTTTTGCATGACTAATCACCACGACTTTTCATTAAAAAGTATATTTTTTGCTATAAAATAACTTTATTTATAATATAACTTTATATGTGGCATTATTATGTAGTTGTTCAACCAATCTTATTACGATAAAAGTTCTTAATTAATAAATGTTTTTCTATTGCATTGGCATGTCGTTGATTAGTCAATCATAACCTTTTTAAATTTTTCAGTCCTGTAGTTTGTTTAAACTCTATGACGTTTGATTAAATGTGTGGGAGTAACTACTGACTATTCAGGATTGCTCTCCCCAATCCTAAATCAATTCTGTTTGGTCAAATTGATCGGCCAGGTCTTCATTCTCACTTTTAAATCGTTGTTCGGATAGTTACGCGGCAGAAGGTCGGCTGGTCGCACAATTTCACATTTCTTCGAATACCCTTGGATCACGCCTTTTTACTTTCACATTTTTTATTTTTTTACAATAAAAAATCCGTTTTGGCATTTAAAGTATATATTAGAAACTGTAGATACAATATATGGGTCTAATAAAAAAGACATACTTATAGGTATTGTCTTCGTATCCCTTTTAATATCCAGCTGAATAGAAGATATTGGAAGATATTGAGATCTTTTTTACAATTTGTAATAAATATCTACGACGTAGTCGACCACCGATACGATTTTTTCAGTTAGTTAGTCATGTGTAAAAATAAATATGTAACTTTCAATAAAATATTGTTTTTGGAATGATAGTCATTAAGTAACTGTACTGCATAAAACTATTTCGTGATGACGTTTCAGCAAAGTAACCGTAAAATTTAAACAAACTTTCTATGCTATCCCGATCTATTACTAGCACTTTCTTCTTGAGACACATTCTTCATATCGCCATGTTTGTTTATATTTTTAGGTGCTACTGTAGCGATGTACTATTGACAGCACATTAGGTTACTAAAAAAAGACCAAATTTCATTCGATATTAAGCATTAATCTGTTGATGGTTAAGTTTAAAACCGATTGCAGAAAAATTTATTTAATAGTAACGTAATGTACTGGTGTGTGTACTTATACGATATCGATCAGCACACACCAAAAAGAAATAAAGAACAAATATAGTCTGTTCCTAGGGTAGGCTAGAGATCAGCAACTACACGATAGCAAAACGCAGTACTACCCGGAAACAATACGGAGTGTATTTTGAAACTTATCGTTTTCTATGTCAATACAGTTTCATTGTCCCTATGCTAGGAACAGGTTATACTTATAATTTCGTTATTTTCAAGCTAAAGTAGACGTAGAATTGGTAAATTAAATTAACCGATTTATATCGCATCTTGTGGTTTGCGCTGATTGATTGTGAATATGATTTAGTTACTAAGCGATGTAACGCTGTAGGTCATGAGATTAGAGGCTTGGAGAGCGCGTGCGCTCGGTCACACGGAGATGAGTCGCGCCATCTCTGTAGAGGAGGATCTCGAGGAGGACGACAAATTGAAACTTATTCTACGCCGGGAATCGTCCGCCTCACTAGACTTGCCACCCACACCGCGGAAGACGACGTAGCAAATATATTAGGCGATCGCGCTTCCAATTGTTAATTCAGGAATGCTAAGTTGGGATATAAGTGTCAATAGACCATAGCAATTGTGCATACTGGAGACTGTTTCACTTCACATTTTATGAAATATGTAAATGTGAATTAGAATCGGCAATTTTAACGCTCTCCTTTCGTGCAACATTTTGATGTCGGAACAGCGGGTTCGTTAGCGGGACATGTTTCAATGACAATTTTAATGGATTTCGTTCCTGTAGTGATGAAAGTAACGTTTTATTAGTAAGAAGACCTGTTATCGATACCTTCACATTTACTATAATAATTATATCAAAAATGTCATTGAATTATGGACTTTTAAAAATGCACCCACTATTAAGACTCCCAAATGCGATGTTTGTAACTTTAAAACCATTATTACAGATTTTTATAAAAAAAATAATATTAGAAAATTTATTTGTATTTCTGTTTACATAACTTTCATGATTTTTAATATCGTTAGTATTATTCGTAATGTATTATTTAAAATGTGCTACTTATAGAGTTTGTTTCTATTGTAATAAAGAATAATATAATTAATATATTCATTTAGTCATAAGCGTATACATTTTGATTTAACTTACTTGACGTTGCATTAACTTACTTACTTGTTGTTCAAGCAAAGTTGAATTGAAATACAATAGCTTCCTAATACTTTATTATTGACTTCGTGTGTTAACTTGGAGTGACATATATTAAGAAATATAAAATTGATATCAGAAAAATAAAATTTGGTAATAAAATCCCTCCCTAAATGTTTCTATTTACACACCTATTATAATATTACTCTGTGGGGGTTACATATGTCATATGTGTGGGTAGCATATGCGTTCGAATAGTTTTAAAATTTTGGGTAAAGCATTAGAATTGTAAATACCTATGAAATTAAATAAGGTAATCGAATGTGTGCAATAGTTTTGTAATGCATTATAAGATATAATAGGTATACCTACCATAATTTCTAAGCTGTCTGGATTGAAACCAGCAGAGCGATTCCGTAATACCCGAACTCGAATTCTGGAAAACTTAAATTCACTTCGAAAGCGAACTTACTTAACCTTCAAATAATTTTCTATACTATTCGTTGCACAAGATAGTTTTGAAATGACATTTATTATTGAGGTTAATATAAATTTTGTATTTTTATACAAACAAAAAACGGAATCATAACAATATTCTACACTAATATTGCTCTGTGGCGGTTTTATCTATATAATTTAAACTGAAAAAAAAAAAACGTTTAATAACAGAATGTAGATTGCTTTTTAATTGAATAAAATGTGATTGTTGGGAATAAGTTTGTGACCGAATAGCTATAACGCCAATGTCGTTTTTAGATGAAATATAATAGTGGACTAACGTCAAAACCTCACTTGTGCATTTTCGAGTTATACAGAATACGAAATATGAATTTCACTGCGGATTCAGCTTTCCCATGTTCGAAACGTGTTTACAGAATCGCCCGGCTGATTTTAAATATTATGTTTCTTGTCGTATCAATATTTGTGAAACTAACATAGACAAGCTAGGACCTAACAAAATGCAATACCCTAAACACGCTTCAATAGTGTCCAAAAACTCTTGATGCCAACTACTAGATCGGTGCACGATAGAATGAATATTTTATAAATGGTTGTAATTGAAAAATACATTTTAATATTTCGTACATATAATATTAATACTAAATAGAGCATTTTGTAGTAATTCGGTATCTTCATAATATTATTAGTAACAGTTAATATTAATGGTCTAACCATAGAGTAGTTGTGAGATATGCCAAATCGATCATTTTGATCTCAAATACCAACATTTTATTATTTGCGTTCTTTTACTACTATCAATTATGTACACTTGTACGAAATAAATATAAAGCACTATAATACGAGTATTCTAACAGTTCTTTGGATGTGATTTATTTAGGCTGAAAAAGTTAAAACTTATAAACATACTCGTATGAAATGTAATTTAAAATTTAACTATAACCAATAAAATATGGATGATTATTTTAAAATATAGACACCATATTGCACACAAATGTCAATACATTCGCTTTGAACATTTATATCGTTGTGACCAATTTATTGTATCTCTTTTTTGTTTTGAAAAATGAAAAAAATAACAGTAAGTTAGATTTTTTTAGTTCATGACAAATATGATATGTAATTTAAGCTTAATTTTGCTTCTATTTACAGAACTATTATACAAGAAAACTTTTATATTTATACTTTTAGATTATTGAAAAACCAAATTAAATTGCGCGTATGTTTATCTTATCAAATCAATACATTGACTAAAGAACGCATTTACAAGTTTTCATCGATATGCCTTATCGATATTAGCCATTGTACCACACTTTCGCATTGTTACATCAACAAAAATTAAATACAAAGTAACAGCGCAACGAAAACATAATGATGTATGGCTTTTTAATAAATGTAGGTGTTCAAGTAAAATTAAAGACTATTGAATATATAACTAAAGGTTAATGGAACGTGTACATTCCAGATAGTGTATTATTTCTTTGTTAATATTTTATTTAGTCACTAGGTACCCTTGACACGGAAAATCACGAAGTGCTGCATTTGTTAAAAAATATTATTTTCGTAATTACGAAACGCTATTAAGAAAACATTATTTATTAACATTTGTAAGATAAGAGGTACGCATTGCCTCGGACGCCTAAACATTCTGCATTGATGGCAGAATCGATGTTAACGATATGGGATCATTTCGATGTTATTCGATAATTTAATTTTTATAGGAACGTACATACATACGTATTAGGTATGATTCTGTACTTAAGGGTACAGAACAGAATATCACAGTTCGAAATGAGTTCGTATAAAGCACAAATGTCAGATATTGTATTGGAAGTAGGTTTCTTTGCTAAATATAAAGAAATAACATATTGTTTTCATTTTGGTCGTCATGCTTAGGGCACCGATCTGTTCTCTTTCCAGCACTACAGTTCAACCTATCTCCGTGAAATGAGATTTGGAAAATATAGAATTAGTGCTCTATACGATTTCGATTTACATAAAAAAAAAATTGTTCGTGCGAATTGTCCTATTGATACCATTGTGTCGTTTAACGCTTTCCGTGCTTAGGTACCGGTGATATCAAGATTTTTATTTTATAGTGCGTGGTTTTGAACTCGAATAGAATGGCAGTGTTATTATATTTGTACTTATTTAAATTAATGATTTTATTAGCACTAAGATTGATTATTTACATAATTTTTAAAACTTAATACTCATTTCGGTCAAACAATTCAAATATACTTATTTTAAATTGACATACTGACGAGTTAATTCCTAATACTAATTGTAATCATATATTATTTTTAAATATTTATTGTGGCAGTTAAATTAATTTAATACTAGTGATTTTTTGCGAGTACTTTATTTATTTATAGTTGATGGCAACTCGTAAATTAAAAATTTAACTATTCTTATTTACCCAATAATAGTACTTTTAAATTTCACTTCATTTTCAAAACCTTTTATATATGCACGGCTAGTTCTTGGGGATAACTATCGCATGTATTATTATTAATTTGATGAGGCAGCTTGACAAATAAATTTAATTTACTATTATCCTCGTATAGACTATACGGGCTATGAATAATATATTGCTTTATATTTCACTCAAATTTATATTATCTTTGTTAATATCGTTTAATGAGGAAGTATTTAAAAAATGTAGTTCTCGAAATCAAACTATGTGTTGAAACATGTTTGGTATTCATATTTTAAGATTTTCCTTCTGATGAATTAATATAAATTTTTAAAAATTAATAATAAGTATCCTTAATTTTTTTTAAATATTTGCATCATCTTTTCATTTCTAGAATTGATAGAGAAATATTATGTCGAACATAGATTTGTTACAAAACTATTTTCTCTTTCTTTCTTATTTATTTCCTATCAAGAGTCGAGATCATAAACAACATAATACAGCACAGTGGATATATGTAAATACATCAACGCAACATAATAACTATAAATGTAATATTTTTACTTAAAAGATTATTATTAAAACACTGCCAAATCATAGAAGGTTCTTCTGTGATAATAAGGAAGAAATCGAATCAGGCACCACTATCTAGTAATATTTATTGTAATACCTGCCTACTTTATTTTTTTAATACTTCCTCAATGACCACGATAATTTTTCTAAGTCTAATAAAAAAAAGTATCGAGATAATGCCAAAAATATACTTTGCTGAACATCAAATCAGTTTGACAAATAATACTTCTCCAAATAATTTACATTGTCTGATTGTGAAATGGTAGCTAATAATTGTTCACAAAGTGTCGTGTTACTTATTTATTATTATTCAAACGACAGACACCTGGTATAAAAATAACAGTACCTAATAGGGACGATGACTAATTTTATTTTCTTAATCAATTAAGTACTTCGATATACTGTATTTAAATGGCACGTGACATCACGCTTTTATACATTTTGTACAAAACTATGACGTAGCGAGCCCTCAACTTTATTGCCTATTATCTAAGCCATTTCTTGTCAATGACATATGATGTATGTAATATTTTTATCTTATAGACAGAATTTCTTTTTTAACCCAGTCATCAACCCTATTAGAATATTATTTTGTATGTCTGTAGTCTTATTTTATGACTAAACTAGCTATTTTTATACTTCCACCCTATAAATACTAACTGTTTGGTTCAAGTAAGGTGGTGCCACCATATTGCAATTCCACAACATAAAAAAGAAACATTAAGACACATAATTGGTAATTGAGATCAATTTATGAAAATGCTGTAATGAGAGATGATCAAGTCAGTGATGTTTTGTACTTTCTTATGTATTTATTGGAATCGATCAATAAACTGTAATTTCATGTATTTTAGTAAATAAAATTACTCTGTTTAACTGTCTGTTTTATTGTATTAATGAATAATGCTATTTCCCCGTATCCTTTCTGAATATTTACCTACTCATATTCCTAATGATAAACTAAAGTCACTCCCCTATTCTTCATATCCCTACTGACAAACCCCCACTGGTACTAAGATTTTTTTCCAATTATAGCTACCGGTAGGGATATATGGTATCTATAACTCCACATATCTACATCGATTTACACTAGTTGGGATACTTGGATTGTTATTTCCATTTATCGCTACCAGTAGGGATAAGTTTTTTAATATAAGGTATAACATATTAAAACGATTTTAATAATATTTAATATTAAATAACTTATCCCTACTTCGCTCCAGAAATCTTTGGAGGCAGCAGTGACCAAGTTTCCAATGGAAACCGTTCGTAAATCCATCGACGAATGGCCCGACCGTTTAAAAGTGTGCTTTAAAGCTAAAGGTGGACACTTTGAATAACAAGTTTAGTACGTTGACATATATTTTTCACTCTACATAATCAAAGATAAAATAGTAAGATGTTAATAATTCTATAGTTTATATTTAAGGCGCTGCTGGTCTCATGTCAGCAATATCACACAGCTAAATTAACACATAAGTTTTATCCCTAAACTGGACTAGTACCTACCTAAATGAGGACTGCACGTGTAGCTTGACGAGACGATGTAGAAAACGAGAGTGAGATACATGTGTCCATACATAGGTCCCTATGCATAATCCATATAATAATTATTATGCATAATTAATATGTCACTGTCTCGCTCTCGCCATTTTGTCAGTCCAGTAGTACCAGACTGGGAACCCCTTATATAAGGCAATGAAAGATTTGTCCACTTTCCACACATTGATTGAGCTGTCGTTCTTTTAAAGATCGCGTCCACCCTTCATTAGTTATAATTTAAAATAGTTTTTGCTTAAAAAAAATATATGTAACATCTTTTTTTTTGGAGACCAGTGATTCGTAATTTGTAAATTATGTTTCGAGGTTGTCAAAATTGTAAATTATGTTTTGAGGCTGTCAAAACTTGCGATATAGCGTTATGTACCTCTCTTTTTAATAAGGATGAGTGAGGACCTCATTTTCCCTCGTGAGGGCTCGTGAGTTACCCCTCATTTGAGGTGAGGATAGGTATTGTTACAGTAGCAGTGAATGAGTACGTAGCGAGGTAGCGAGCCACGCGCAACGTTGCCGTTTGGTACAAAATGAGGGAGGGAGTCGGTAATGCTAAACAAAACATATTTTGTCTTTAGTTTCTAGGAAATAAACTATATTAGATTATTATTTAACAGAATGACCCCAACACGCAACTAATTTTTAATAGTGTCAAAGTTCCATTTTTGAAATCGATTAATCATTTATATTTCGAATAGAATAATAATCATTAATTAATCGATTTTAAAAAAGGAACAACGGAATATAAATATATTTCTAAATAAAACCAATACATTTTTATTAACTTTGGTTTTGTCTTAGACTTATTAATATAATTTATCTATAAAAAATATTGGCGAAGAAACACATAAATAAACCTGAATTGTTCCAAAAAACTCATAAAACTTAACCCGTTCCCTCAATCTTGAATATATTAAGTATCGAGTCGCCTTTTAATTCTAAACAACTCGCTCGCGCCTCATGCTTGAAGCGTCAAAAAGTTTGGAGCTAAATGAGGTGAGGTGGTTCAAAATTGAAAAAGAGTACTCCCTCATTTTGTCGAAATGAGAACCTCAAACGAGGCACCTGGCGAGAGGGGTTCATCACTATTGCGATAATTGTGAAGCTACTTTAAAAATTAATGCATTAAAATCAAAGCCTTTTATAGTTTGACTCTACAAGTCAAAAGCTTTTTATAGTTTGACTGACTATAGTTTGACTTGATATATGGAAAATTTTTAAAAAATAGTTGTGAATGTGCACTTATTAACCTAATAATGAAAGAATATTTTTCTTTAGTGGATTGAGTACTAATCGTATTGCGGTAGAGAAGCAAACAATGATTTTAGGGTCCGATCGCTTTCGGGTGGTTAAAGTACTATTTAAAAATAATTATCAGCCTCGCAATTCTTATCCTATTTTAAAATTACTTTCCTGATATAAGTACAAAACAAACTACATTTTGAGATATATCACGTCACTGGATGCATAAATAAATAAAGAGAAACAATTTTATTATTAAAGAAGTTAACTACTGTACGTATTTTATAAGAATTTTCATCTACAAGAGCTACATCATACGTCTCTGCCATTATTTACGTGAACGAAGTCGTGGAAAAACAGCTAAAGGTAAATAAAAGAAGACATTTGTGTTAGTTAAATATATTACTTCATATGTATTAGTAATTAATTAATATTAAGGCACCATCATACATTTATTAAACATTCTTTACTTTTTATATACTTGTTAATAACTGTTATTAATAAACACAAACCATATTCTTAAAACTACTTTCACGCCATATCTTTGTACTTTGTAAAGAGATTATACAAAACTCTCAGTGTAGATTTTAAATCGAGATTCACAATATCTGAAAATAAAATGTTGGTATATTAAAACCTTACATAAAACATTAAATTTAACCGAAAATGAATATTTCTAATACCTTCAGGACGAGCTTTAGGTTTGGCCAGACCCACATCTTGCATTAATTCAAAAGCAAATGATACATTATGTACTTTCTGATCAAAATCTTGTGGTGTTAAATGAAAATCGTAGAGAGGCACAAAGAATCCATCCAACAACCCCATCAGCAAACAAAGATACACTCCATCGTGGAATTGTGTATCTAAATCGGTTACATCCAGATTAACTTTGCTCAAATGTTTATTAACGAAAGTAATGAGACTCTGCAAAAACGTAATACATCTTAATTCTCATAAAATACTAAAACAATTCCTGTGACTACATATTGCTTTTAATGAAATTACCTTTTTCACAACTTGTAATTTATCAGGTGCATGATCAAAGAGGGCATCAAAAGCATCTCTTTCACATTTCATCCCAAGATCATCATAGGTTTTAGTGATGTCTTCTGTATAAGACCTAAAATTAATGCAGTTATCAAAATTACCTAAATATACATTTAACAGGAGTATCAATTCACATAAAATTGTAATCAATGCACAAAGGATAAGGGTCCAAAAGTGGCTCCTCCGGTAAATTTCAGGTTGATCGCATCTATGAAATTTAGTATTCGGAACATATGTATATTATAAGCTTTCATTAATATCTTTAATCCCATTTTAATACTTTTTTTTCCTTGAAAAATACAGTTTGCATTTTTCGCTATAATTCATCCTTTTTCTCACCTCTGAGAAAATTTTTATAAATGCAATAAACCTGAATTTAAGTGATTTTCAGTACCAGAACAGCCCTTTATAGACCCGCATCCACTTAATAATGTATTTATTATGACTATAAATCAATACTCGTTTCTCTTTATACCTACTAATATAATAATTTATTCATAAATAACATTTGGTCAGTATTATTGTATTTAAAGTTAGCGTATAATATAGCTTATATTGAAAGTTTTATATTTTATATAAAAGACAACAGATGAAGAATAACACACTAACGAATTTGAGAGTCTTATGTAAGGCAATAAATGTTACAAATAGTGATACATAGCATATAATTAGTGACACTGTAAATTTAGAGATATAAATATATCTTAGTGTGCCCGCATCTATGTAATTTGTGTATATGTAAGCTAGAAAATATTACCCTTATTTTGGAATTGTCGTTGCTTTAAGCGTCAAGTTAGCATGTACACCAATAATTAGAAATGTTTCGAATTCTATTGAAGTGAGTGAAATGAAAGTTCGTTATATAGAAGTTACTAAGATAGTAGCAAGGACACTAACAGCCTGTTGCACAAACATCCATTAAATTTGTCATTAGTTTAAAGTGGCATTACCCATACAAATTTGACATTCATTAGACCTTAAAGGCGTCATTAAACCCTAATGGACGTTTGTGCAACTGGCCGTAAGATATTCTAATATCTACATTAGAAACTACAATGTTGTAGTAGTGTCCTATTTATCACTATTTACTCACATTTTTTATTATTATCTGTTATTAATTCGTTGACATAAATAAGACCCCCAAATCTGTTATTGCGACTGCTATCTTGATGTACACTAAAAGCTGTCTTTCTCAACCCAATTTTTGTCGATATGCCTACTACTACTTTAACTCAAAATAAACATGAATGTTACCAATATTGTGTGTTATGTATACTTTATGTATTATTTATTGCTAATCTCTACTATTATTGCAACTGTCTGTTAAGCTGACACATCTAAATCGAATCTACGCAAATTGACGAAGAACCAACACCGACTTACAGGTCCAATTTTGCAGGAGACTTAAAAACATTTTAAATATTTTTCTACAAGTTTTTTTAATTTTTATATCTGATCATTTAATGGCAGGACATAGGCATGGGAAATAAGGTGTTCAGATGTATTTCAAGAAATCTTCATTAGTTTCAAAATTAGTGTAGATAGCTAGTAATAATTAAAATATTTGCGTATGTTCATGCAGCCAACTGTAATATAGATGGTGTTGGCAAACGAAATAATATAGATTAAAGACTTTAATCAAACAAAAAACTCTTAGTTATATCAAATTTTCAAACGAGTATTTCCATACAATTATTACGATACGTAAATTAAGTAGTATAGGTATTTTCTCATAACTCCTTATTTATTGCGTACTTGAAGTAATCGATTAAAGGAAACGACGCGTAAATTAACCATGAAAAGAACTGCATTAAAAAGTGAAATTCGCCAAAAGTGTAGATATATGGTCTTGATTCTTAAGCGTCGAAATCCGGTTAAATTTAATTTCTTCTTTTCACCGTTAACATTATTAATATTATTATTACCGTAAAATGTCTTCATAGTTTCTCTTTCACTAATAATTCGTTTTATTTTGGTTGACGACACGCCATCGAATATTTACTATTTAATTCTTTAGAAAAAAATAAGTATCAAGACTAGTCATTGCTAGTTACCAGTCAATACAAAAACACTAAAACCAAAATCTTTTCACGATTTTTTTTTTATAAACATTAAAAAATATATATTATAATAGCTTTTAAAACATCAATGGCATTTCGGTAATTTTCACAAAATAAATTAACATTCTCACAAATATTTACAAAAATTTACACTTTGACATCACAGTTGTGATAAACATTTCCATATAAAATTCAAGATTGTTTCTTTTTGTTTTTGTGCCATCAGAATCTAGTACCCCTAAAAAGGTGAAAATTTGGATGTTTGTTTCTTCTACATGGGTAGAGTTTATAATACTACAGTCCGCTTAAAGCATTAAGATTAAGCTACAAAAATAAAAATGTATTTAAAACTACATCCATCCGAGGTTTATTAAAGTAGGCAATATTAATCCTTTATCGAATTGAGTATGATTGTCTTCAAAAATGGGATGTAAATAAAATTGATTCTTTACACCAAACAAATTGTATGAGTAGATTTTATGACTATGTTTTTGAGGAAGAAAATTACCCACATTGCCGATTTTCTACATACTATTTCGCTTAAGCAACTATTTTATTAAAATACTAAATTCGAAAATGAAGAGGTTCTACATAATGTACGACGGGTTTGTCTTTTTTAAGACAAGTATTTGGTGTTGTGGCATTTATCATTATCAATTGCAATATCGGTTTGTTGATGCAGAAAATGGATCAAACGAACAAAACATGCTCTGTGTAACATGTATCTTTAGATGTTATTATTATAAGTCAATCATTTTTATTATGACTTAGATTAAACAGGGGAATATCCATTGATTTAGCTTATTTATGTATTAGCATACCTGTGTGAAAGCTGGTTTGCTGCATCTTTTTTTACAACAACAACATTAACCTTGACATTTTCTGGTAGCCTAATAGGAGCACGAAAATGACGAGCAAGCGCCACCAATAAATGTAAGATTGACACAACGTCTTTTGAATGAACAGAATCAACACTCCATTTCTGAACGGGTCTCGATGTTCCATATAAAACCTTGCAAGGAATCAAAAATTATTAACTTTCTATCTTTACTAATGGGATACATAGTTGATTAATTTCTGGTAACAAACACTTACTCTGTTGACAGCACTTAATACCACTGCTAGTTTTTTCCGCTGACTATCTTCCGATTGTGTAACCTCGGGTACATCTAATTTGGTCTCAGTTAATTTTTCCAACAGTTTTTGCAAAACTTGTCCATCATAAAGATCTTCACTGATGTCTTTTACAATTATTCTTTGCGCTGCAAGCTCATCATTTATCCAGTCTATTAAAACCTGAATTAGCTCCCTGACCCTTGGGTCTTCAAGAGATCTTGGTTCAATAATTGCTCTTTCTTCATTGTCATCTACAAAACACGATTTATTTTTGTTAATAATTAGGTATCTGAGTTTATTTCATTTTATTAATAAATAAATAAATAAAGTATCTACAACAGATCCTGCTAAAATAACATTTGTTGCTTGATATGATTTTCCATCTCTTTTTAATACCATTCTTTTTCTTGGTATATGAATTAATCCTAAAATCCATACAAAATTGTTTCGAGTAAGCAGATTTCATAAATAACACTGTAGTAGAAGATTAGTCATGAATGGCAGACTTTTCTGTATATGATAGATGAGATGATTCTATATATCATCCTACAAAATCCAAACAATTAATAATTCTATTGATGATCCAAATTACACAGAAAAAGAAGGCCTCATACTACACAATTTTATTTTCCCATTTCCACTTTATACTCTTGTACCGCGTTATATCTTTGTCACTTTGGATGAGCCTTCAGGTTTTTTAATTGAATGTAAATGATGTTATTCATTATTTCCTTAACCAAAACCAATGTGAAGGAAAGGAAAACTCTTTGTACTTTAAATTAATTTGCTTTGATATCTCACACATTACATGAATTTGGAATTAGTAATGCAACTTAAGACTAATTTCAATCTAATCATATTAAAGTGAGAATCTAATTGAAGTTTTAGCAATGAGAAAGTTAACTATTTTTTTTATATATAAAATTAAAGAATACGCATAGTCAAAATAAATGTGAAAAAGAAATTTATATTGTAATAAGTAATTTGCAAAGACTGCTATTTATTCTGTAATGTAACAAGCTTAAGTGTGGTGCTGTGACATGACAGGCAAATCAGAGGCCATGCGGAAACACATTTTTTTAAATAATCTAAACTTGGTCATTTATTAACAGATTATAATTTTGTTTTCTGGTGTATTTTAGTTTTGACCAATATTTTGATTATATTGTGTTAAATGTAATAATATCAACAAATTAGTTGCATTAACTAAAAAACAAACAAAAAGTAAATGTTTTTGATAATCTAGATTTCTTTAAAGAACTTAAGTAAAATCACTCACGTAAACTGTATTCTTCTGGTGGTATCTCTGGCGCATTGGGGCTACCAGGTGAATCAATGGCATATTTCCCTTCTGCTTGAACTTCTTGTACTGATGTAAATAATTATTAAACATCAAAAATATGAAAAGTAAAAAAAAATTAAAACAGACGTTGACGTCAGTACTATTGCTATATAGGTCACAGTAATAGAAATGTCTTATTCAATCCCACGCAAATTGAGACTCGCAGATGTTTACAAAATTATAGAATTTTTTAGTACCTTCTTTTATTCGCTTCTTACGGCCAATGGTACCAAGTTTATCCCAAATAGACTCCTCTTTGTCTTCTTTTTTGGGCAAAACGGGCGTTCGAGGCGACTTCGGGCGTGGTGAAGACATCCTGTTTTCAGTATGTAAACCAAAAATGAATCATCAGTTTCTATTTTAAGAGGTGAGATAAAAACATACACTTACAAACGTATAAAGGATTTAACACATACCTTGCCGATACCTATTGACACTCACAAGTACAAATACGAAATAAAATAAAGTTATATTGAAGACATTCGAAATCTATGAACTTTCGTACTATTGGTACACTATTTTTCTGAAGTGAGTGAAATAGAGTAGTAGTAGTAGTTTCGTCCATGGGACAGGCGAAAGAACTAAGCCATACAGCCAAATCTTGGGTTATATTCTTGATTATATTATTTTATAAGGCAATGCCTAGTCTTTTCTTCTTGTCTTCTTTTTATTCCGTCTTGTGTTACTTTTTAAAAAAAAAAAAAGGCTGATAGCCAGGTCTTTTGTTTTAAATTTCTTAGTTTTGTCCAGGGTTATTATTTTGCATATCCTGGGAAGGTCAAATCAGATTTTTCCAAGAGTGGAGCTATGTAATATAGTCATAAATCGGTACAAAGTTTTCTGGGTAAGCTAAGAGATCCTGAAGGGAAGGCGGGATAGTCTTGTATCTTTTCATGAGGTGATGAATTAGAACGAGTCGCTGGATATTGTAGGTTGGGCATGAAAAAAAAGATGTGTTCAAGAGTCTGGTTTTCTCGACTTGAACATTCGGTGCATACTGAAGATGTTATCATATGCATACGATGTATTGTAAGTGATTTTATATGGTACAAAAGCAAAAAGTAAAGTTTATTAGACAAGCCAAACATCAAAGTTTTTATTATAAAAAGGACAGCTCGAGAGTATGCAAAAAAGAGAGCCCACTTTCTTGTTCTGTGGCCGGAGCCACTCTGTCATTTTTCTACATTACCCAAATAAACCTTGAAAATAGGTACATGTAGAAGTTATTTTATTTAATTTAACCACTTGATATTGGCAGAATTGTGCGAAACGCGCTGATAAGCCATTAATAAAAGAAGAAGGTTGATCATCCGGTTTGATACATCCGTCATTATTGTTTTTAAAAAATAATAAAATCTGATTGATTTTTTTTTAAATAGGTGACATCAGAATACAAATTCTATATAGATTTTAAAATTAAAAAAATATCAGTTAAGAGACACAGTTAGTGGCGTAGCGTAGTGGGGGCGCGGTATCGGTCCGCCCCGAGTGGCATTTTTTAGGGGCGGCAAAATTTCACAGTAAACACTCGATTCGTGAGCTTCTTTAATTGCATGGCGACAACTAAACCACTCGACCAACCGTGCAGTCAAAATCTAACACGTATAATTCAAAATAATGATGACACTTCATGCCGAATAATTCTTTTATATTAATGTATCGTATAATTATATAAAATACATGATTAAAAGGAACGGCAAAATTGTCTGCCGCCTTAGGCGGCCCACACCCACGCTATGCCACTGGTCAAAGTTTGTATGGAATATATTTATGCGATATAAATAAACGATATTTCATATAAGATACATATTAGTTATATTGTATAAATAAATTCGGTTTGTTATATTGTATAAGTGAATTCAATACAAATGATAAAATAAACATTTCTTTTAGAATTCCATATTAAATGAGGAAGTATTTAAAAAAAGAAAGCACTCATGAAGCACTTCCACTAGATGGCAACTCTAGCAAGAGTTGATTTTTGCAGGAAAGGAATAGACCAAAGACAGTCATTTCCGTTCCTTTTAACTAACATTAAAAGCTGAAATTTGAAAAGTTCAAAACTTAGATATCAATTCAAATACGAAAAAGTACAAATAGAATATGAGTTGCTTATTGAGTTTTGAAAACTAATTTACTTTTATACATGAAAGAAAACCGGAAGGGTTGTCATGGAGAAATCAAAAAGTATTGTAGCGACATCTAGATTGATTTCGGGAACTAATGTTTTTTTAATACTTCCTCATTACCAAATAGGAAAACGTTGTTGAATACGTTGTTATCGGCCAAGTACAGCGAACGACTACAACATGTTCAAGCTTAACCCTTAAATGCATAGCGTTTCAAAAATGAAACGGTAAATTTATGCCCTTGTAGAACAAGGTATTTGTTATGTGCGGACTTGGCTGTATGGTTATTTGATGCCTCAGTCCATAATTAATTTGAGTGAATTAAAAAAATAACAGCCATAGATTAGCGTGCGGCGCGAAATGTCATTTTAAAAAAATTTGGAGCTTCTTTGGCGCCAACTACTATTTACTGAATTTGCAGTTTGTGATTAAAATTAAATTAAAGAGTACTTTTATCCGTGCAAAAATAAATTGTATTGGTAAGTTTGTCTATTTTTTTATTATGCTTCTGCTTTTTGGTTATATACCTGAATTATATGTTTTTTTCTCAAAAAATGTAATGTTTCAAAAATGATACAGTATGCAATAACGGTATGATGATTGGTGTGCTATTGTATGCGACAATTTTGGTGGTGGTTGAATGTTTATGCATGGTTTTATGTGCTTTTTACAGTGATGGCTTCAAAAGCATGCTCAGATGACCAAATAGAACATATTCTTCGAAGATTGGAAGCAGGTGACATATCAGAGGATGACTGTGAGTCTGAAGGAGACGATTTGGATTTCTATCCCACGAGAGAAGAGTTACTACAGGTACTAGAAGATGACTTTCCGCCTACTAATGATGATGAGACTGGTAATGATGAAGGCAGATCAGATCCTCCACTTATATGTGATGATGAGTATATTCATGTCTCATCTTCTGCCGCAGACCAACGCATCCCAATCAGGCAAATGATATGGAAAAAGCAAAGCTTTCCATTCGATGAAAATAGAATGAGATTTCAGAGCGACACGCCTCTTTCTTCAGATGTAGTTAATCTAGACACTCCTTTTAATTTTTTTTCGTACTTTTTTACAAAAGAACTTTTGGAAGAAATAGTACACGAGACCAATAAATACAGCGTACAAAAAAATCCAGCTCGTCCAGATACGATTACCGTTACAGAGTTGCGTCAGTATTTTGGTATTCTTGTATATATGTCCGTCTTTCGGTACCCAAGTGTACGTTTCTACTGGAACACTAAGCATGCTTTTACCCCCATATCAGAGACTATGGCACTAAATAGATTTGAAAAGATTAGAAATATCCTGCATTTTAACGACAATGAAAAGCATATGCCACAAGACCATCCAAATCATGATAGGCTTCATAAACTAAGACCAATAATAGACCACCTAAATAATAAATTTGGATCCATACCTTATGACCAACGTCTCTCAATAGACGAGCAGATGTGCGCCACTAAGTTAGCTCATTTCATGAAACAGTACTTGCCCAACAAGCCCCATAAATGGGGTTTCAAATTATTTGTCATGTGTTCTTTGCAAGGATTTGCCTATCAATTTGAGATTTATTCTGGCAAAATGATTCATGATCGTCTTTCGACTGAGCCAGAACTTGGTGCAGTTTCTGATACAGTTGTCAGACTAACACGAGGTGTGCCTTGAAACCGCAACCATATAATTTATTTCGATAATTTTTACACCAACATACCGCTTATGCATTATTTTGCTCAACACGGAATTTATTGTCTTGGAACCGTTCAACGTAACAGACTAGGTAAGAACTGCAAATTACCTTTAAAAGCTGAGGTTATGAAGAGTAATGTACCGAGAGGTGATTACGTTGAAAACGTCTCCAGTTACGAAGGAACACCAGTAACCGCCGTTAGCTGGAAAGATAATAAACAAGTGATACTCCTCTCCACATATGTTGGAGCAGATCCCATTGAGACAATCGAGAGATACGATAAAAAAGAGAAGAAAAAGGTGACTATCCCTTGCCCAAGACTGATAAAGGAATATAATTCGCATATGGGTGGGGTCGACCTAATGGACAGTTTTTTAGGTCGATACCGCATTCATATGAAAAGCAGAAAATGGTATTTGCGTATCTTTTATCATCTTTTAGATATCACCATTATAAATTCCTGGGTTCTTTATCTAAAAGTAAATAAACAAAAGGGAATCCATCCAAAGAACCTTATGAACTTGGCGGAGTTTCGCGCTGACTTGGCTGAAGCTCTGTGTAAATATGGAACACACAGAGAGAATAAGAGGGGAAGACCTAGCTCAAGCATTGAAGAAGCAATAGCCAAAAAGAAAAAAAATTGTATCATCCCAGCGAAGCCACCCAAAGATGTTCGTCTTGACAAAGTTGGACATGAACCAATAACGACTGATAAAAGAAGGCGTTGTCAGTACCCTCAGTGCAAGCTTTTGAGCTCTATAAAGTGTTCAAAGTGTAACGTTATTCTTTGTTTTAAAAAAAAATGTAATTGTTTCGTCCTTTTTCATAACAATTGAAACAATATTCTTACCTTATTTTATAATAAATATATATAATACATTTTTATATTAAAAATTCATAACTTTTATTTTTTTACCTTTAATGCATACTGTCTCATTTTTGATACACTACTTTTTTTCTATAAAAAATACTTAAAATGTGTATTTAGATTTTTTTTATTATTTTTCCATTAAAATACCCATTAGCCTGAATATAATATATTTTTTTCCATTTAATATTAAAAATCATGCATTTAAGGGTTAAGTCCAACAACAGTGCGTCAGTTTTTGTGCTACTATGCACTGCTGAATTTTGGATATACCCATTTTGGTTGTTTCGCCCATAAGCTCTAATTGTTCAAGCTGATTTAGCCGATGAAACAATTTCTGCCAAAGTATAGTAAATTGTGTCGCATTTCAAGCGTAGTAAAAGATTCACAAATATCAGAGGATGACACAAAATGTTCCTCAACCCAAAATCTAGCTATCGGCGGTACCTACCCGATGGAATTCCACATGCCACATATTGGAAAGATTTGTGACATTACAAGAAGCGTTGAGGGCCTGTATACCAAATTTGAATGTAGACTTACCTGTGATTCTCTAAGAGGAGTAGAATTATATATATCAAATTCCTTAAAGCCTTCGAAGATGCGACTAAAATAATTAGCAGTGAGACGTACCTCTTAGCAAGCAAAGCTCTCGTTTTAATTAGTGGACTGCATACGGTATGCGACCAACTACTGCAGCGCAATTTTTATGACTCTTATATTAAATCTAAAACAGGGAATAGAAGCCTAATTTGCAGATATTTAAAAAATCAAGAAATTGGACTTTGTACTTTTAAGATCTCCGTTTTAAGCACCATGCATTTGAATATCAAGCCTTAAGGTTAAAGGCAAATATTGTCCTACTAAATAAAATAATTTCATTTCAAAGTAAAAAACCAGAATTAACTGCACTTGTCGCTTCACATTGTAATCCTCTGCCCGGATCATTGTGGGGAAAATCTGACGAAAATATGTTATCTTCTCTTCAACCACAAACAGCCAGAGAAGCATCAATAGGAGAATTAAATATGTACTTCAAAGAAAATATACTTCCTCGCACAGAGTGCTCTATCAAATGGTGGAAAGAGCACCGGACATTTTGTCCTACGCTTTATCGGTTATTTATTTCGAATTCAAATATAATGGTCACATCAGTACCGTGCGAAAGAGCTTTCTCTAAATCAGGGTACATAATTTGGGACAGAAGAACTAGACTTACTACAGCAAAAGTAAAAAAACAAATTTTTCGTAATTCTTAAAAACAAAACTAAATAAATATGCTGTAAATAAAGTAAGTAAAGAAGAAAAAAAATCATGTAAATAGAATCAATGATCTTTTAAGAACGCCTGAATCATTAATTACATTTGTGTAGTAAAATAATTTAAAGTTACGCTTTATTATATTAATTCCAGTCTCGTCGAAGGAAAATTCATTAATTGAAATAATGTACAGAAAAATTTATGCTATCAATATTTTATTTACTTACAACAATTTCGTTTTATATGGTTTTGTAGCTTTGAAAAAATATTTGTTATAATTTATTTTATAAGCGCCACACCCCGCGATCGTTTTTGAAAGGTTCATTCATGGGATGGATACCAAAATTCTTTTTATCTCGGGCTACTCCGTACTTCGGAAGGCACTGGCTGCATTGGTAGTCTTTAATACTCTCCCAAGGAATAAAGAAAGGCATAAAGAAACACGGAAAATGTGTCTCTTTAAAGCAACCCAAGAAATTATTTAAAAAATGTCCCTAAAATCAATAAAAAAAATGATGAGTATGAAGCAAATATTGATACATAAATAAAAAATGAACATAAGTTTCCAAAATCAAACTAGATGTCGCTACATATGTTCTTGATTTCTCCATGATAACCCTTCCGGTTAAACTCAATAAACAACTTATAGTCTATTTGTAATTTTTCGTATTTGTATTGATATTTAAGTTTCGAACTTTGCAAATTTAACTTTTTAATATGTTTGTTCCAAGGAACGGAAAGGACTATCTTTGGTCCATTCGTTTCCTGCAAAAATCTACTTTTGCTTGAGTCGCAATCTAGTGAGGTGCTTTCTTTTTTTCTTAAAATACTTCCTCATTGAATAATTGTAATTAATAAAGTAATATCTGCGTATTTTATTTATGCGTGTTTATACATTTTGAAATATAAGTGTAGAAAAGGGAATAAATGGGACCTAAAATTATTGTTACTATTAAAAGCAGAGACTCTATCCATACAACTGCATCACTGTCTGCATGACGTTCAATGGACGGACAGGGGCGCCCTCATTTATTTTCTATTGTTTGTGTTGCACTGTACATATTCTAAGTATACAAAAACATATGGCATATTTTTGGCACTTTTTGGAGACGGGTTTGGTAGATTTCTAGGTAGTGTCGGGCATTTTTAGGTTTTTTTAACATTTTTGAAGCTTCTGCGTTCCACGTTATAAATTTTAACAAAATCTCATGCATACATATGTCTAACGACCCTTTACTGTGTTATAATTAAAATAACAAGGCAAAATTACACAAATAGTTTAATTAAAAACTGTAAAATCGTATAAGTATCAGAAACAGAATCACATGTATATAAATTTAAGTGAATACACATGATTTGACTTGACATTCACTTTACAACCAATTAGGTAATTAGTAAATAAATAGCTTTATTGCCGTTAGAAGAATGACTGAAAATACAACTACTGCTCTGCGATTCTGTAATAATTCAAACCCGAATTCGAACTCCCTCAGGTGTCCGAATTCACTTCAAAAAACACCATCCGCTCAACTTTGAATAATTGGTAATAACGTTTCGTGGCATAAGTGAAGTGAGTTTCGAAATAACATAGGAATATAATGTCTGAGACACGTATATTCAATCAATTTTTTCTATTTTTATATGAAAAATGGAATCAATAGAATTTCTACACTAAATTACGTGAATTCGGATACATGAGTGAATTCGAATTCGGGTCTGAATTTTTACAGAATCGCAGGGCTGATCTATTGATTAGAGCATGTCTTTAGAGTCAGTGCCTACTAGGGGATTAAATCGAAAAATAGACCAATGAGAAACCTTCCCTTGTTAGTGTGCAAATTAATTTTACTTTTAAATATAAATTGTGCTAATTCCCCTGTTTCCCAATATATCAATATTACAAAGCGTTCCTGCAAATCGGAAAGATTTTTCATCATGCAGATCGAAACTTTCAAACTATTTTCATGAAATCATGCTCTAATCTAATAGATTTTTTACATTTTAAAAGTATAGAGCTGAATTTAAATAAGTACCTACCTATGTGTTATTTATTACCTAAGATTATATTTGAGAATTATAAACTGACGGAGATCCTGTGATAGAATATAACAATTATAAATATGTATTTAATACAGTCAGAACTTATGACAAGGATACTAAAGGAATTTGGATCCATAAACATTATTAAAATATAATTAGAAATAATTTAATAATTTTCGGACGTGACGTAACATAAACAGGCTTTTTGATTACCAGTGAGAACAAAAACAGTTCCTTGAACCCCTATTGCCTATTACGCTACACACACTGCAGATTTTTTTAAATGATAACACGTATAGACGAATGCAAAGTGAAAATTTTCTAATAGTAGTGCATACTTTGCTTTCTTTGACGTATTTAAATCTTTCTTGCCTCTTCAGACAGAAGGGAACTTATTTAATGTTGATTTAACACAAGAAATTTGTTTGTTATGTATAAGAATTAAATGCTATTCACGTGATTTACATGATTAAATAAAGGAGCGACTTCGCACACAGATAATATAAAAATATTCCATTAAAAATATACATAAACATATTTATAATTTTAGCATTCATCAAATTCGACATGCTATCTATGCTCAGCTTACTTGACCCAATGCTACTTTTCTACCAAAGGACGGTAAAAAACAAGAAACCGAAACCGCATTAAACCGGGTATATTTAAAAATATAGCCGGATTTACAGCTTTGGTATTCTGCATTAGAGATTTAATTCAATAAAATCTTATTACCTTTTGAAGTATGTTTTATTTGATTTAAGCTCTAAGTCTGTAATAGCATACAAGTGTGTTCAACGCTGTATTTTTACAGAATACCACTGCAGATCTGTATTACTTATGCTCTACATATGAACGTATAAATTACATAGACATAATAAACATCGAATGAGTAACATTGAGAGTCGGTACAATTCTGACGGAAGATCTGTAAAGCGTCTCAGGGAAGTGTACGTTAATACGGTGTCGAGTGTGTAAAGTCTGCGTCACCGCGATAGAGACTGCATTACCGTCTCTCGAATGAAAGGCTTTCTTATGTCCACGATCGCCAAGCAGAGTGGCCTCTTCGAGTATACTCTTCGATTTTCTGTAAGGTCAATGTTACGTCAGTAATATTATAAATTGCCAGTTTTAAGGTTCCGTTACAGACGACACGCCACGCATTTTCCGTCAGAAATGGACTGACCTTGATGTCGCTGAATACTACATAGATAAGTATATTAAGTTACTAGAAAATGTCAATTTCCAACAATTAAACAAAGTTTTAAATCAATTGTAAAAAATTTACACCGATAACAACTTGATTTTTACTTATATAACTAACACAATTTATATACTAACACATTGTCTCATCCAGTTTGTAATTGTCAATCATATAATTAGATTGTGTTACTTTAATACTTCAAAAGATTTAATTTCATAGAATGGATATAAACTGATATTGTTTCTTCATATCAAAAGGCAGTGCTTTCATTGAATGGAAAATAATTTATGCTTATATAAATAAAATTGTAATAAAAAAAATTGTATAAACCCGTTTATCTAATATAGATTAAATAAGAAACATGTTCCAGCGACGTATTTTCACATATAAAAAGCGAAAATAAATTATTTTTAATACACACAGTCATACTAAAATTACACAACCAGAAAATATAACAATGATATAGAAGGTATAACATTAAAATGAAGTCAGTACAAGTTCATTAGTCATCTAATAATTAGGATAAATACATTTATTGTCACTAACATTTTTAAACAGCTGTCTAGTTATTATTACAAATACTAGTTTGGCAAACGACTATTTTATTTTTTATTAAATAAAACCCATTTTTAATGTGACAATTGTTTCGATGTTAATTTAAATATAAACGGCAGTTTTAAAATCAAGTGCCGATTCTGGTGTCAGAACAAAAACGAGTATAGAGTCTACCTGTTCATTTTGTCTCTATTTATTATCATATTCAGTGGTAGGAAACACCAGAGTTGACACCAATATCACAGTAATAATAAAATAAAACAATATTTCTAGAAGATATGAAAGTGGTAACATTGTTTATATCACTACTGAAATATGTAAAAGCTGCATCTGTATAATAATAATGTTCGATTCTATTTACACTTATGTTAAATTAAAGCACACATTGCACAATACAATAAATAATGTTCCATGCAAAATAAATAATGGTTTGTTGATTATGAAAGTGTCAGATATATATTATCACAAATATAAATTACAATGTAAAGTAATGAGGTTATTCAAGTGTTTACTACAGATCTAATGTGCCTACATGAAATTCATACAATTACGAATACCGAAACAATGAGAATTGTATATTAATAAATTTTATGTAGTTTTTTTGTTATATTAATAATGAAATAACTTAACAACTAAATGATTAAGTAAAAAAATTATCCTCCATTTATTAGTCCCATTACGCTATTCTAAATCTTAGTACCAGTTTCGTTCCTTCAACATATGAAGAAGTGTTATCCATTTGCAATTTGACAATTACATCTTAGCAATTTATCGTCTATAACGACCAAGATAAGCATTGCAATGAGGACACTTGTGGTGTACGTCCATACAGCTATCAATGCAGCAGGGGATAAGGCAACATCCGCAGAAACATCTGAAAAACAATATAAAAAAAAAACACATGGAATTTCTTATTACAACAGTTTTCAATTAACAAGGGGAATAAGTCATTGATGGCCTAAAATGTGTATATTTGAAAGCCGAAAGCGACGCAGTAAGTTTTTAACATTATATTTAAGTTCATTTCATTATACTAGATAGCACTTTGATTAAGAATCCGATCTGTTTAGTTAGTATCATAAGTATGGGTCATAATTGTTGCCATCTAGCATTGAAACAAGGTTACCAAAATAATTCTATGAATTGTTTGATGTATGAAGGTGACATAATTTCTAGTATAGTATTTGTGACTAGTATAATAGTAATAGTTTTTAAAATTTGAAATAACCATAGCACTTATTTAAATTCTTTAAGCTATATATAAATAAATATTGCTTAAGCAAAACCATGATTTATATAAGTATATTCTCAATGAAAATTAGATTATGTTATGTGTATCGGAGGAAACTTACCCCACCAAAAATATGATGGCTCCAGAAATGTAAGCAATAAGACCAGGTTTTGTTTGGGTAGCTGTGTCAATTTCAGCATGGCAGCTTGGACAAATCATATGAGTGGGATGTGGTCCTACTGGAACCACAGTTGTAACTATCTGAGGACCTGCTGCTGAAAAAACAAATAGACAAATTATTATTGATATATAATAGTGACAACTTCAATAGAAAAAAGAAATTATAATATTTTTAGATATACAAAAAGGTACCAATTCTGTTGTACCACTCTCTAAAGTGAAATATAAATGAAGTGTAATTAATGAACATGATACCTGTATAGACCAGAAAAAATATATATACTTGATAAAATAGTTAACAGTTAGGAGGGGGGACCAAGCCAAGTAGGGACACTTGCTTCAGACGCCAGTGCCAAGTGGGCGCCACAAAAGAATAAGCTTCTCTAATAATATTAATTTTTCATGCACATTACAGGCTACAATGGGACCGATATGCTTCAAATCCCTAAATAATATGATAAAAATCATAAATATTATAGAGCGTGAGGGGAGGGGGGGGGGGGATCATTGTTCAGCCCCTGTTAAAAGAATCGTGTAGGATCTGGGACTGGATTATTTTACTTCACTGTCTCAAGTAACTCAAGAAATATATAATTATACATAAGTATACTCCATTTTCCAGATAGGTTAAAAGAAGCGGTGATTCACCCTATCTATAAGAAAAGAGGTGACCGTAGGAAATGCTCAAACTACAGACCGATTACAATACTCCCGAACTTAGATAAAATCATAGAAAAATGTAAAATGGAACAAATGATTGAATATATCAGAAACAATAACATTATTAATAAATGTCAACACGGGTTTCAAAAAGTATAAGCACATTGTTGTCTAAGATTAGTGATGAAGTTAAGAGCCATATTACATCGCAACTGTGATTTCTGCGTGATTTTTCTCGGAAACAAAAACAAATTAACAATTTTGACTTGTTGAATAGTGAAGAATAACTCTTGGTATAGAAATTAGTGGCTCAACTTTTTGGAAATTTTGCTCATCTTTTTAATTAAATCCAAAATACCAGAGAAAGTTTTTCATAAAATGCGCAAAGACACTTTTTTGAAGTCCTGGATTGAGCTACTGTTCTTAACAAACGAAATAAAAGAAATAGAATGATATCTCTTATATAGTCGTAAAGTAAACAGTAGCTCGAAATTTTGAAATAGCACTGATTAAATATAGAAAAACAATTATATTACAAACCAAAAAACATTAAAAATTGCTTGAAGTTAACTTTGAATTTCTCTTATCCACAACAATATTATTTAACAAAATTTATGCCAGATTAATGACTATTTCATAAGGAACAAAGTTATTATAATTTTAAAGCATAAATTTATTATATTATTTCAATAAATACGATAAATGTAAACGCAAAATCACTACAAAATAAGATGCAGCGGCCGTCTGAGCTCAGTACCGCGCGAGCGCTCCTCAACGTTAGACCTGTGTCGCATTTCTTCGCGCCATTTTTCGATCTAGATACGTTCGAGCGAGCGTAAATAGAGCAGTATAGTGGGACTTCCAACTTTGGTCACGAAGTTCGATTTATATGGAATTTATATAGCTTATTGAATTATTTCTAATACACATTTGTTATTTTCAGCATAGGTCGAAAGACCCCTAGGTATATTTGTATAAGAAAGTTAAAATATATATTTATATTATGAAATGCAAATAAAGCAAGGTACTTCTTCTCTCAATACACTTATACTAGTACATAAAATTGGAGTGCATATTTGTAATATTAAAATAACCGCTTTTCACTAAATACATTTGTGTGTATACATGGTACATATACAAAAATAATATATTTTATCTGTCTGTCTGTTAGTTCTGGCTAATCTCTGAAACGGCTTGGCCGATTTTGAAGAGACTTTCACTAGAAGTTGATTTACGTAATGAGGATTAACTTAGACTTATGGCTCGATGCAATTCGACCGATATCAAATTTATCGGAGATCCGCATATGAAACAACTTTTTCTAAATTCAATATATTTTTAATCCCGGACGCAAAAACGACGCGGTGTTATAAGTTTGACATGTCTCTCTGTGTGTGTGTGTGGTGTGTTTGTGTCTTTTTGTGGCATCATAGTTCCCGAACGGATGAACCCATTTTGATTTTGTTTAAAAGGTGTATTAGTCGGGAGTGTTCTTCACTTTGATGAAAATCGATACAAGATGGCCGCCGCCACAAAATGTCGGATCACATATTTTATCACCATTCCATCAATATGGGTATCAAATAAGAGGGCTTGAGTAGTAGAATACTGAACACTATGACAAATTTCAAATCCAAGATGGCCGCCACCAAAAATGTTGGATTACCTACATATTTTTCACGACTCCCTCAATACGGACATTAAATAAAAGGGCTTGAGTAGTAGAATACTGTTTACTATGACAAAATTTTACATACAAGATGGCCGCCGCCACAAAATGTTGGATTATTTATTTATTTATTTTGTACACACATACAATTTCATATGAACAAATGTAACAGACATTAGTACAAGGGCACTGCTTATTTCAAATTGAAATTTCTACCAGCAGGCCCAAAACAGGAAAAAGAAATACAATAAGGTAGTCAGTGTGTACCTCCTAAATAAATTAATATGGAATAAAAAAAACAAATTCAAATACCGGGAAAGAGAGAAAATAAAAATACATAAAGTCTAGAAGAATTAGAACTGTAAGAGCTTTATTCTTAAGAAGATAATATGCTTAAGAAGTTTAGAGAGAAGGGGAAGAATAGAAATAGGACGAAAATGAGATGGGACTGATGGATTAGATACTTTAGGCAGTGGAATAATGTGCGCCATCTTCCAAATTTTGGGAAAAGAACCGGATTCAAGTGAGAAGTTAAGTATGTGAACAAGTATAGGAAGGAGAAAAGATAAAATAGGGGTAAACATTCTTACGCTTAGGTTGTCCTCGCCAGCAGCCTCGGAAGAAATGGCTTGAATGGTATTTTTAATGTCAGTTTCGGATATTTTTGAAAAGAAAAAAGATGTGCAGTCTGGCCTCGGAACCAGTGAAAGTTCTGCGAGCGTAGAATCCTTTATGTCACCATCGATAGTAGAAGGAGGAAGGGAGAAGTGTCTGTTAAGGACGCTTAAATCTACATTAGTAGACACAGTAGCAGTAGATTTCCCCACTCCTACAGAGCGCAAAAAACGCCAGGCATCAGTAGGATTGCGATCAGTAAGAGAGCTATGGAAGAAGCGTCGCTTAGCATCCCTACACATACGACTGCAGCAATTTCGAAAAACCTTAAAACGAATAAGATTGCGGTTAGTTGGACGTTTCTTATATGCTCTTTTTGCCTTATCTCTTTTTTGACCACCAAAAAAATTGACCACCCATCCAATTGCCGGCCTTTGCAATCGTCGCTTAACCTCCTCAATCGCAGATCAAACGAGCTATCCGGCACCATCGAGCTTTTCATTTGTTTATATACGGATATTGCCGTATTTTTTTGTAAAATTCAATATATTTTGATGATATGGTAAGTATGAGCAAATGAATCGTTCCTCGATATTATTGAACAGAAAATCAAAAGCAGATCGAGCGTTCTACCACCTTCATACATATGAAGTGATACCGCAGACCATGAGATTTGTGACCGATATTGACAGATAGTACAATCTCATGAGCAAACACTTGAGTTTTTCCATACATTTTATAAGTGCATGCTATTCGTGTGATATCGTTCATTCATATCGAATAACATCGCATCTAGCCATGAGAAAAGAACCTTAGGTTACTTTCCATTCGCATAAAGCCGCGGGCACAACTAGTTTAATATAATTCTAATTTACTACTTTTCCAAACAGGAAACAGTCCATGTTTCCTATGGATGACGAAAATATTTCGAAATCGTCGACGAAAAATAAGGCACGAATATTTTTTAATTAATATTTTAATTTTATTGATATATTGTCATCGCTATTTATATTTATAGCCTATGATTTGGCTAAACTTGTTTCTTTTAATTTTTGTCCGATCTTAGCAGTCGTGTTTTTAATTTTTAAATAATTTTTATATTTTATTCATTTTAGTGAGCAGTTAATTTTGTATACAGATTATATATTTTTAATGGACCTTTAATTTGATACCCATAAAGTTATGATTACAAAAAAACATACTTTTTAAATGGCGTCACGCGTCCCCATACCTATTTAATATTAATAATTAAGCTAGTTTCACTGATACTCTATGTATTTTGTGGTAACTTAGGATGATGTTTCTAATGATACCCTGTACATTCATATCCGTTATATCTTTCAAAAGTTATGGTGCAATAAAAATACTCACATACATACATTAATTCTAAAAACAATAGACTCCTTTTCGAGAGCAGTCGTTTAAAATATTCGGGAATCGATAATGAATCTCACCATAGAAATACTAAAATAAATACAAAAATTGGGAAAAGTATCAAAATAGCTTGAACGTGGTTTCAACACAGTATTGTGGACTCGTGACCTTGAACAAGTTCTCGAGAACTCAAATCACAGAGTGAAAATTTGTCATATGGCTCTTAACAATTATCTTAATGAGAAAAAAATAATTTTCGGTGACTTTTTCGACTATAAAAAAGCGTTTGATACCCTTGAAACAGAGCCATTGTTGAATGCAATAGAGTGGAGTGGGTTGACCATTGAATAATTAGTTGCGTGATTACCTCACTTCGCGCTCTTTCCGTGTCAGGCTGGGCGAGGGATATAGTGATAAAAAAAGGAGTATGATGTGGTGTGGCATAAGGGTCCGGATGCGGTCCTATCTACTTTTTTATCCAGGTAAATAGCCTGAGCGGTGTACTTCGCCACACCTCCGCGTATATGTTCGCTGATGACCTGTGCGTGTTGCGCGCGGGCACAAACCTACCGCCTACTCCAAAATGATGTAGACGAAATAGTTAACTGGTCTCACGACAATGGGATTGTGCTTAATGCTGACAAAACAAAACGACTCACTCTCTTTATATAGAATGACCTGATATGTCTCAATAGTAGCTCAAAGTTATGATTGTTGTGATAATAATTTAATCACTTGTTATTGTGAGTCAATAAAATGGGTTACAAATATTACTTATCTTGGAATGGTAGTTGATGAGCAAGTTTCGTGGTCAAATCATGTAAGTCATATTTGTTCTAAACTGAGAATATTGTTAGCCAAATTTTGCTATTCAGTTACAGAGTTCAAATACATTAAAATGTTTATATATGTCGCTAGTCAATTCCATATTGGGGTATGCAATCAACACATATGGTCTTACATTTTATACTAATATACAAAAACTAGAATCTTTGTAATTATACTTTTGGAAACTACTCGGTAATTAAAAAACAAAGAATAGCTGTAAGGGAGTTTATAAAAAGTTATTTCAAATTCGTAACATTCTCCCAGTTAGTTTAAAACTCAATTATATACTTATTCTTAATACAGCATGCTTCAAAAATCCACTTGGTCCCTGGGACCCTGAGATAGGATTCGAATCCATGATCTTTCACAATCCAGGGGACTGCTATAACCGCTGAGCTACCCAGGACCTATCAGGACTGACGAATCTTTTATGACGAAGCGTTTTGTATTGACTATTTTTCAGTCTAGCATTGTGAATGCAAAATTGATCAAATATAAAAAATATATACTTGCCATAAATAACCATAGTAGTCAGGAGTGTCACCCATTGGTCTCGCATAAACATAATACTATAGCAATTGCAGTAGGTAAATATGTAGTTACAGAGTTAACAATTATTATGGTGATACTCTAAACAAAGGAGTCCCTGACAAGATTAGACATGAAAGTAAGGTCAAAATATTTTCCAACTTACTAAAGAACTATTTAATAGATAGCCTGTAACATCTATTGTACTTAACATGATTTTGATTTTTGATTTTGAGACTTCTAGCCCTCCATATTAGCCTAGCCTTCCCATAGTCAAACTTTTAATATAGTTTTGTGGGACTTAAGATTATCTAAATTTTGTATTGGAAACAATTAAATAAATGAAAAACATAATGAGATATTATTATAGTATTAAAACTTTAAGTCTGATCACTAAATTCAGTTTCAAAATTGCCACCATTGTGTAATAATAGCTTATGTTAATTAGTTCAGGGAAGGTCTTGCTACAGTAAGGTCAAACTTTATAAGGATAGTATAAATAACTCAAGGTTGTATTAGATCAAGCCAAAAATGACCTTCATATCTAAAAACATGTTTTAGCAATAAGCAAAATTTTTAGAGACAATAAAGAATCGCAATTGAAAATAAGTAATTTTTTTAAAATTTAATATAACTGATGTTATATATAACCAACAATTCATTTCCTTTATTCTTCCATAAGAATGATAACATAAAAAAACGAGCTTACTTGCTGGATATTGAGGAGTGTAAGGACTAGAAGGTCCTACACCACCAACAGCTTGCGAGTAACTTGGAGGCGCGGCTGGTGGAGGCTGCAAAGAATGACCATTGCTCCAAACGTAAGGAGGCGGATTTCCACCCTTCTCCATGTTGTTAATTATCTAAAATAAAATGTAAACAAAATATACATTGAAGTCAAACGTCAGTTACCACACCTACAACCTAAAGTATGTCTTTACAAAGTAAATGTAAATCTCGTGTGATGCAATAAACTCTTGACGCTATTTTTAGACATGATTACACCAACCTGAAAAACGCCAGACCAGTAGACAATATAAAGTCGCAGTTCCGAAAATAAAGGCGTTTACAGGATACACAAATAGGGATTTAATTGTATAATATTTCTGAAAGTTTAGATTTATAATTGCGCTCAATAATTAGAGTTGACGAGTGGCATGAACGAGATGAAAGACAAATTATAATCACTACTAGAATCGATTTACAATTAAAAACATTTTATCCTTGATTGAGAATTCACTCACAGACCGAAAAGAAAAAAACCTTTTTTTTTCTTTCATTCACAAATGAGAGGAAGGCAAAGGGTACTATACTCATACAGCTCATACACTCATACATGAGTTTCTCTATGGTCGCACCCAAAGAGTAAAGTATAGGTCGCATTGCGTTATAGTATGAGGAAGTATTTAAAAAAATAAAGAAACTACAAAAATATATGTCACTAGATGGCAGCACAAATTGTAGGATCTAAACGTCAATTCATGATGTTCAAACAAAGAGAATAGAATTTTCAGTGTTGTTATGGATCTGAAAACTCGGATTAATATCGAGTTAAAATTTAATTACTTCGAGCTACGCAAACGCAGCTCGATTAAAACAAAGTAAGTTTTGAATATTTTTTTTTATTTGTATAGACGAAAATGAAAACTACTATAAGTGAGCACAGAAAAAGTTTTTTTTTAATTAATGGAAATTATATGAATTAATGCTGTAATATAATTAAAAGTGGCATTTAGATTTAGCAATTTTTCATTATAATATTTAACAAAAGTTCTGAAAACAATATCAACTAGGCAAGTTAGTTTTATTGCTATCAGTTGTTTGTTGAACTTACAACAACAAAACCACATCAAGTCTCAGTAATATTTTTATATTATGTATGATGAATGAACGAATAGGGTTTATCAATCAGCAACAAAAGTCATAAAAACGATAATCATAATAAAAAATACAAGATATTACTAGGTATTCGTACAAAATAACATGAATTCTGGCTAAAATTACGTTTATGTAGAGTGTAACGTGCAAATAACATGTGCTTTCGAAATAAAGAATTTAAAAACTATGATCAGTTATTAAATATTATATTCATAATTAAATCATCTTAATAAACATTCAGCAATCAACAAGAAACGTCTATTCTAAACGAACACAAAGGTTATAACTTTAAATTTCAAAATCACAAAGACACATACTGTTATTATACTATTAATATTGATCTTGCACGTCGAGCCATGTGTTAAGTACGGTGGGTATGTGCTTTTTGGTTCTTACAATAATATTGTTAATAATAGATTGACTTCCTACACAACCTACTCTAGAAATCAGTTTTATTGAAATATATTACTCGTACTTACTTAGTACCAAGAGTAGTCATGCTCTCTTAAAATCTCTGTGGTGGTGTTGTGTGCCTTAAGTCGTTACATTCCTTCAAATATAGTTGAACAAAGCAATGGCTGGCTCATGCGTCAAGCTCGTCAACGGGTGCTGCTAATGGGGTGAGTCTGCACAGGACTACTTCATTTCGTTCACTTTCTTTTATTATTAATTTTGATTTGTCAATGAGTATGTAGGATTTCTGATGTAATGGAAAGTGACTTCACATTCTAATTAAGTCACATTCCAACAGGACTTATCTGTGTGAAATAAAACATGGAGAAAAAAAGCAGCACTTGCTGAGTTTCTTGCCGATTCTTGTCAGTTTGCTAACGATTGGCAAAGTTTTCGACTTTTACAAGTACTATGTAACAGCCTAGAATTGATTGATTTTGATATTAATATCATTCGTCGTGTGGATGCATAATGACACATACAAATACAAGCTGAATTCTGCGGTCTCCTTTTTGGTTTTCATTCCAAACCTGAATTCGGATGAAAGTTACGAGCAATCAATAAGTTGGCTCATTACTAATGTTGACGCATAAACCAAACATCGTTCCTTTACACGTAACATAATAAACAACTTAAAATCTCGAATAAAATAAATTAAAATTAATTTCAAAGTTAGATATTAGAAGAAACACAAAACTATGTCTTATTTATTAATTTTTGATACTCAATTTACTTTTATTACGTCAGAAACAAAACTTGAATGAATTTCATAAACAAAATCCAAGCACCGTATGATTTCGAGAACTAATTTTTATTTTTTAAATACTTCCTCATTTCAAAATCACAAAGACGTACAGTTAGACTGAATTGATTTTGATATTTATATTAATATAATTCGAGGCGTGGTTGCATTTGTGCAGTATTTCCATATACCATAATGGCACATATGGAAATACTGCACATAAAAAAACCAAGCTGAATTCTGCGCTCCACTTTTTGTTTTTGATTCCAAACCTGAATTCCTGAATTGAGACAAATAAAGTTACTAGCAACCAACAAGTTGGCTCATCACTAATGTTAACATATAAGCCAAACATCGTCCCTTTACACAAACATTATAAATAACTTAAACTTACGATTAAAATAAATTTGAAAGTTAGATATTATAAGAAACACTAAACGTTGTTTTACTTATTAATTGTTGATACTTCATTTACTTATATTACCTCAGAAACAAAATTTGAATGAATATCATAGACAATATCCAAACATCGCTAGTGACATCTAGTCTGATTTCAAAAACTAATTTTTATTTTTTAATTACTTCCTCATTGTGATTCTAAAAGTAGCTCGGCGGCATAGTGGATAAGCGCCGCGGCCCGCGATTATAGTCGTTAAGCAGCTTTCGCTAGGGACCAAAAAATTATTATCTCGAGCTACTTCGTGCTTCGGAAGGCACGTTAAGCCGTTGGTCCCGGCTGCATTTGCAGTCGTTAATACCCTCCAATCCGCATTGGGCCAGCGTGGAGGGTCATGGCCCATCCTCCTTAACCATCCATAAGGAAGGCCTGAGCCCCTGCAGTGGGGACGTAAAAGGGCTGGTGATGATGATGATGATGATGATGTGATTCTAAGGTCGCATAGCTAGGTCTCTGGGTCGCACCTATATGGTACATTACTGTTTGTTCTCATGTGGATCTCATCCACAGACTAAGGTTGCATCGCACTGTTACTCTTTTACCAATAGTCTGTTTCTTATTACATAGTTTGCTCATTAGTCTATCAACGATTCTTCTTTGTAGTCTGTGGTAGTTGCCGATCCTACTTAGATCGCGATATTTGTATTAAAATTATTTTCAATAAAATTTAGTTTTTTATGAATTGAAGTAAAACATAAATCATGTCGTGGTTATTTGGATATAGTACAAAACCACCACAGCCACCATTAGACGACCCACCTGCTGATAGCGGAGGAGCATCAGCTCCACCAACACTTTCAAAATCAGAGAAAAAGGCAATGGAGGCTTATCGTTTTGATTCAAGTGCTCTGGAAAGGGCTGCTCAAGCTGCAAAAGAACTGGAAAGATCTAGTTAGTATTTACTTATTAACAACTTAAGTCTTAGTCACATTTTTGGTATTGCATAATGCGACCGCATAACCTATAAACATCGTGACTGATTTCTGATAAGAAACCTCCAACTCTAAATTGTTGATTTGAGTACAGAATTGGTTATAAGAATCCCATTATTTTTTATTTTAAATAATTATGACAAAAGAAGATAACTAGTACTGGTACTGATTTGATCTGTTCCAATATAACTGTATGGGTATAGTGTGGGTACTAGGCTTGCCAGGTGTTTGGTATTCTACTGAACCTTTCGGTCATTTAGCATTATGGTCGGTATAACAAAAATACCGAAGTATTTTTTTTCCCTAATAAACTCCCTAAATAAACCTAATAAACAGCCGTCATGCAACCGCTCATAGTTTTTGAGCCATTTCGTTGCAAAGCGTGCATCATTTTCTTACGCGCGAAATACGTGAAAGCTTATTATATATATGTTGTAATTTCAGTCAGGTTTTGCACTCCAAATTATTAGTAAATTTTAGTGCTATTGTTCTTCTGATGTTTTATTGAGTTGTGTAACATTTTTTTAGATTTTTTATATTTAATTGAATATTAAAAATAATTAGTTTGCATATAAACTTTTAAACTGTTGCGTTGCATTATATTAGATTGTATAAGACATATTGTATAAAAAGGGTATTAACATGATAGATTTTGATAGTTAGGTTTTTCACCTACCTATATTTCACGATGTTTCAACCTAACTGTCAAAATACCCGTCTTATACAATCTAATATAATTACTCGTAGTTTGCATAATTAGCATTATATAATCGAATGTTTAATTTTATCTTAGTATTAATGTAGCATCTGTTGGCAGACCTTAATAAATGAAAAACAAAAAATTAAGATGTTTGTTGTGTAATATAATAACTGAAACAGTGCCACAGGTTTACATATCAACACTGGAAAACAAACATGTAGTAACCTGCATAACTAAAATTGTTCTTCAGAGCAAAATAGCTTTTTATTTTTCCAAAATAAATTCTTATGAACATCCATGGTAATAAACATGGTAGTCCTTAGTTGATTAATAAAGAACTATGATTTTTGATATGAAAATAATTTTGGTTTTTCAGGTTACTACTATGTGTTTGCTTTTCAGAACCTGAAAATAGTTTAATTATAATTATATTATAGTAGACCAATAAGTGCTGACATGCCCTAGTTTGCACATATGAATATATCTAAATATTGTCACCTTGTGTAACTTTTACATAGTTCTCATGAAAACATATTATATGTGCACTAGAGTAGAGGAAAGAGTGCATATCTGAAAGAAAATTATGCATTTAATATTTTTTGTTTTTTGTCAAGGACATGCAAAAGAAGCATTGGAACTTAGTAAATTACAAGAAGCTACTAAGCAACAGGAGCAAATGGCTAAAATCAAAGAATATGAAGCTGCAATAGAGCAAGCTAAAATGGATCAGAAAAAAATCGATTATGAAGAAAGACGTAAAACCCTACAGGTATGTCAATTTAATTATCTTATTATGCCAAAAGGTGATTGGACAGCAATGAAATAAAAAATTAAATTGTGTGTGGTTAAAATGCTCTTAAAAGTTTGAAGATTATTTGCCAAATGCTTTTTGCTAAATAACAATTATTTATGATTTTAAATCAATAAAACAAAACATAATTTTTCAATATGTAGTCTGTGTCTCACGTCAAATGAAATACCAATCATGGAGCGTGACGTCATTTGTGGGTTTATTGGTAGTAAATGTAACTTGGAAAAGTTCAGGAAACATTCAAAGTGCAAAATAATTAAAATGTTTTTTTTTATTTGTAACTGGTTTCAAGGGTCAGTTTACTGTTTTACATATTTGTGAGTTTATATAAAAGTACTGCAGACAATGATTCATTTTCCACTGACAATCCCATTTGTTTACCCCACAAATTACATCACGTCCTATGAGACGCCGTTTACGCGGTTTTTTAAACAGTTAAATTTTAAACTTAGTTTTGAGTACATATTGTGGTTAATTTACATAAAATATATTTTTTGGGAATAAGCACCAATCATTATTAATTTAAAATACTTTTTAGAAAGTTGTCCGATCCCTTATTAACCTATCCCTAAAATTAATATACCTTATACAATTGTAGTTATTGTTATATTCTTTTTGTTTTACTAGGAAGAGACAAAGCAGCACCAAATGCGTGCACAGTATCAAGATCAACTAGCTAAAAAGAGATATGAAGAGCAATTGATACAGCAACAAAGATCACAAGAAGAAATTCTCCGAAAGTAAGAATACTCTTAATATATATGATTTATATTATAGTAAAAACACTTATGATATTAATGGCTAGAAATTATCACACCTGAATATTTTTCTTTCAGACAAGAGGAAAGTGTTGCTAAACAGGAAGCATTGAGAAGAGCCACCATTGAACATGAAATGGAATTGCGGGAGAAAAACAAACTGAAAACAATAGAGGCTGAAGCAAGGGCGCGTGCAAAAGCGGAACGAGAAAACAGAGACATTACGCTTGAGCAAATGAGACTGAAAGCAGCCGAGAATAGACAAACTATCCTAGAAAGTATTAAGTGAGTTATTCCTAGATTTAGTGTTTGTTCATGTTACTCGTATATTTGTTTCTGATATTTGACACTAGGAGATGTTATGTCAATGACAGATATTATGTTTTAAATTAGGATGCATTTATTTAATATTCAGTATAATAATAAATAATTAATGTTATTTTTTATCACAACAGAACAGCAGGTAGTGTTATCGGCACTGGTCTGAACGCACTGGTGACTGATTGGGATAAAACGCTAGCAGCTGCTGGTGGCTTGTCATTATTAGCTCTTGGTGTATATACTGCAAAAGGCGCTACTTCGGTAGCAGCTAGATTTATAGAAGCTCGCATTGGTAAGAATCTGCATGAAAGCTCTAAATATTATTTTGTTATGCTTTAATATAATTCACTTAAGAGAAAAAGTTAAACCAATTAATTTGTTTATGAATTTTTAGGTAAACCAACACTTGTTAATGAAACATCGCGATTTTCATTATTAGAAGCAGTTAAACATCCAATACTTACAGTGTCAAAGGCTATATCTAGTTTCAAAAAACCATCAGATGCCCTGACTGGGGTTGTTCTAGCACCAACATTAGAAAGAAGACTTAGAGATATAGCCATTGCTACCAAAAACACCCGTTTGAATAAAGGCTTTTACAGGAATCTGTTGATGTATGGACCTCCTGGAACTGGAAAAACACTATTCTCAAAGGTTGTATTTTTTAATCCAAAGCTGTAAGCATTTTTTATTTAATTACAAATGTAATCTTACAGAACTACTCTTTTTTATAGAAATTAGCTAAACACTCGGGTATGGACTATGCCATTTTGACTGGAGGTGATGTTGCTCCAATGGGAAAGGACGCTGTTGCTGCGATTCATAAAGTTTTTGATTGGGCAAATACTAGTCGGAAAGGTAAAGTAGATATAATGTAGAAATTCTCAATTTCTTAAAGTATAGGTATAAATTTATGTACATACTTACTAATGTATTTACTTATTTGAAAACTGAAAGGTATGATTAGCTTCCTAGCCATCTGTTTATCCAGGACTCTTGTCCTACTGCACCCAAACTTCTGTTACTTTTCATTTTGCGTATTTTTATTATATTACAATTATTTCAATTGACTCCTTTTTTATTCGACTGCCAAGGGAGGGTTACGTGTTTCGCGCGTATCTTGGAGGCAATATTCTTTATTGCCTCATAATTAAGGTATTGTTAGATTTGTCTTAGTAGCCCAAGTGTTCTTAGATAGGTTATGTTAAATCATCAAATATGGCGGCTGTGCGATGCCATTATATGTAATGACTTTTTTTTGCTTCAAATACGTAATGTAATGTAACAAATAAATGGGTTTTAAATTATAGAGCTCGGTACAAGGATTCCATAAAGTTGTATTATGATTATCATTACCGTAATACAAATAAATATAATACAATATTAATATTTAAAAGTATGGAGCTTGTTCTTTCATTTTCTGAACCAACCTGGTAATTTGTTATACCTTTAACTAAAGAGACTTATATAAAATTATGTTTAAAAAAATCAATAAGCCCGCCGTCGTGAAAAACGACTAACTGAAAAGGCTGGAACAAGCTAAAAATAATATGCAAATTTATACATAACATGCAGTCGGAGGCATGCACAAAGAGAGAATGATTTTACTTTTTATTAAATTTCATGCCTCCGACTGCATGTTATGATGAATATGATGTTGCATATATATTTTTTGTCTTGTTCCAGCTAGTTGTTTCTAGTCAGTTGTTTCTTACGTAGCTGGTTTTTGTTTTTTTTTTTTACATGACATTTCCAACTTAAGTTCCTAGTTTTTTAAACTCAAGAACACTAATTTATAAATGTTAATACAACTTAAGAGGTTTGTCAAAACGAATTTAGTCTTTTCAGATATAGTCAAACAACTTTGAGCAAGATACCCCTTTTCCAAATACGCACAATGGACCGATAAGAGCGCCTATGTACTGAAAATTGGGACCCCCCTAATTCCTTCATAGAGTCAACTTGAATAATTTTTAAACTATCTCTAGTTTTACCTATTCACTCAAATTAGCAATTTGAAAACTATTAAAAATCACTTAAGTTAGTAAATTTGACATTATTTCCATAATAGTATAATTACAATAACATGCTTAAAGGCATTTCACATTTATGTATATCTACATTTATTTCAAGGTGTCCTCCTGTTTATTGATGAAGCTGATGCATTCTTGAGAAAACGTTCGTCAGAAAGGATTAGTGAGGATTTAAGAGCGGCTCTTAATGCTTTTCTTTATCGTACATCAGATCAAAGTAATCGCATAATGTTAGTGCTTGCTTCTAATACTCCTCAGCAGTTTGACTCCGCTATAAATGACCGTCTTGATAAAATGATAGAGTTTGGACTTCCTGGTGTCGAAGAACGAGAACGTTTGATTCGTCTATACTTTGATACATTTGTTTTGAAACCTGCATCAGAAGGAAAACGGTGAGAATCAAATAATTCACATAATCTATAGTCCATTATTTATGTTGGTGCTAATATTTTAGATTAAATGATGCGCTAATTGGTTATTGTTTTTTGTCAGGCGTTTGAGTGTAGATCAATTTGACTATGGAGCTTTGTGCTCGAAATTGGCTGCCCGAACAGCAGGGATGTCTGGTCGAGCATTATCTAAACTTGGAGTCGCATGGCAGGCTGCTGCATATGCTTCAGATGATGGCCGTCTCACTGAACAAATGTGTATAGAAATTTGCGACGATGCGGTCAGGGATCATCGCCAGAAGGTAATGACAACCTTTTCTAAAAGTTCATCCTTCCTATTAAAATTATGAAATTGATATTTTGTGTTTTTATATTATTTATTAGAAGATTTTGTTATAACCATCTTTCAATGTTTCAGATGGAATGGTTATCTGCTGAGGAAAAGTCTCGCAGTATGATGCCATATCTCTTAGATTTACCGCCTTTAGATAAACCAGAAAACAACGTATCAAAGGCTACAATCACTGAATTGCCAGATAAAGATGATACCAAAAAGAAAAATGCATCGAAAAAAGCATCTGCTGGGAAAGAAATTGAAACCGAAAAGTGACACTTCGAAATGAAAGAGCCACCCAGAGCAGACACAATATATTTCAATAACGGCAGTAAATCTAACTGTGATAACAACAAAAAAATTGTGTATGATTTTACGATTTCAAAACATCAAAAATTTATTGCACTGACAGATCGAGACATGGAAATATTGAGGAGTATATCATTAAAATTGAAAAACTAATGGTGCAATTGAAATAATAGCAATCAAATTAATGCAAATAATTCTAAATATGTACAGAGCAATTTTCAAATTAAAAATTCCTTTTGAAAATAGAAGCTACAATGAACAGTTGTATATTTAGAAAACTCACTTTGAATATCATAATTTTTGGGTCATTTCTGTGGAATAAAAGTATTCAGATCGCACAGTAATTTTGCGATGGGACTCTTCTATGAATATATTAGTAAAATTAAAAAAAAAAAAAAACCATGCATTTGTACAGCATTTTGTCAAATCTTTTGTACATTATAACTGGCTCACAGTCACTTAATATAAATTATTTTAATAATGTTTTGGCTGAATAACTTTGCTTTATAATTGTATTGTATATAAAATCCAACTCAAATAAAATTAAAATGTAATTAAATAAATTACCAACAAAATAGGAATATAATTACCTCATTGTGTCTTCGATTTGAAATGTACTCATACATTTGCAAGTGCATTTGGTTTAGTTTAGTAAAAGGTCGATAAATCAGTTATTAAATAAGTATAAAGGCATTTGATCACTCCAATTAAACTTGGTTAATTTTTTATAACTACCTATTTTAAAAACACTTTATTATAAATTTTCCTGATTCTATTGCATCATTGTTATTATCAGATGCGTGAACGTGGGATGATAATAATAGTTTTGTGTTTCGACACCTATTTAAACACGTAATTGTAATCATTTTACCAATTTCACAGTACATTCCAAGATTTTGAAATTGTTTATTGCCATTAATAAAGAAGTTAAATATAGCAATATATACATAATGTTCATAAAAAATATCAATAAATCAATAAACAGTTTGAAAATCGTGTTTTTACTGCACTGTATCTTTAGTAAAATGCAGGATTTGATATTAAACATAGAAGGTGGCAGTTTATTACCATCAAAGTTAATTGGGTGGGAAAGTAGATCTAAGGGTGGAGTAAATGAGAAGTGTGTAATATGTACACTATATATTTTGTGTTGTGTCTGAACGTTTATTGCATAGTATAATACTTGTCTACAGCAATAGTGTAGAATGTAAGGTACGAGTATGTATAGAGAAGTGGACATTCGTTGCTTAGTTCAAATATGAACGTTGTATACAATGGATTTGTTATTTACTTTTAGTTAATTAGAAAGTCTCACAGGTCAAATTTTGGTTTTATTTTTCATAATACCTATCGTAAACTTTCTCAAAAATTTGTAACATAGAACTGCTGTGTAATAAATACCTTAAAAAAATCTATAAATGAAAGGATAGATAATTAAATTGACATCAATTTTATTTCTTAAAACAATAATAGATATTAATGACTTCCATAGTAAAAGATCGTCGGTATTGAATAAATCACATTAAAATAAATTTAAGGCCAAACATAGCTACCAATAAATCTAATAACAATTATTATTTATCTAACTAAGCATTGTAACTAATTAGAATATTTTTTATAATACTAAAGCATAATCTTGTTCAATATTTATATAAAATCCTTTTGATTCACGATATATATTTTAGCATCAGTAATCCGATGACCTTATAGTTTATAATATATTTAAATACATAGAAAAGACAATATATAATATAGTAACATATAAAATTTATGACAAAGATAATTTAATAGGTATACATGTAAATAGATTTGATACACTAGATAGGAATTAGCACAGATATTATAAGTACCTACTTTATTAATAGTGAAGATTAAAATTTACACTCAATTCAATAATGATTAAAGGTTTGGAAGAATGGTAACCTAATTGCAAAGACTTGTATGTTTTAGTTTGTCTAATTTAGTAAGTAATAAAATTAATTAGTAATCCAATAGAATTAATCTTGAAAGTAACAATGTTCTAGAATTAACTTTTAATTTTCTCAACTGTATAGCTATCCAGTTTGCTTACTTTCCAAATTTATGTCTATCACACCTCTCAAGAATATCCTGGGACTTATGCAATGACTATTTTGATTCGTGGTTTAATTTGCGATATAATTGTCAGTTATCAATATTTCAGAAAAAAAAGAAGAAACAGAAGTAAAAAAAATTGGATGAAGTTGTTTGTGTAAGAATCAATATATAATGTCGCAGAAACGAAGCATCAATGTTATATTTTAATATGACAAATTCACCCTTATCTCAAGAACGCACATTTCTTTCGAGATAAAAAGGATATGGATATAAATACAAACATTCTAGAGCTTATTAAATAAAGCTCTTAAGCTAAAAATACAAATCGTTTTAATTCTAAAGAATTTTACATTTTCTTGAGCTCCAGCATGAATTGACCTATAATATTAAACGGATAACTATGGGAACCCTCCAATGCAGTAGTAGTTGTAAACGACAAGTTTATGCTAACAGTTACGAATTATTTTTGCAGCTTATATATAACTTTTATGTCAATAGATTTGATAACATTTTTGTCTTTAATGTAAATACCACAATAATTTAAAATCTTAGTGAATTATAAATATAAGCTTTTTAAATTATTTCTTTACCTTTTCTATTCATATAGATATAATTATTTTAATTTACAAGACACAAATTTCATGCCGAGCATAGAGAAATAATACTATACCTAGTTATCTCAAATATCTCTTTAACATTAGGTAGATCTTACCTAAACATCATTGACTTAATCAAAGAACTTAAAATGGGGCTTCAACTTCATCTTTAAATGATTTTATTATAACTTTTAATAAAGTTATATTTGGTTATTGGGAAGCTTAATAAAGAAATCTTAAGCATGTTATGCATTATGTAGTAGGTTTCCATTATATACCGTGAAGCACTAACATAATGCGATAATTTTAACTTTAATAAATCAAAGTTAATAGATTTGATGGACATGAATAAATATACATTCAACATAAAATATTGTATAGTCAGATACTTTTCATTCAAATATATTCAAATGATTATATATAAATTTCATATGGAACATTAATTTGACCTTATTGAAATGAGATAATGGAAAATTAACTTGTTTAAATTTGAATTAAATATTTTCTTAAGAAGTAAAAGATATAAAAGGTTACAGCTAACCCTGTAAAATAGGACTCTTCGAGGTAATTTTTTTACAAATTATGTACTGCTTGCTTTTCATTCATCTGACAATGGGAATAGAATAATAATTTAAATACAAATATATAAGAGCAATTCTCGCAGTCTATATTTATAGAAACTAAAATTACCAATAATCATCAAAGTCTTTTTGAACAAGTTACAACACAGCAATAGTACTTGACAATACAGTTACATACAAAAAATATATAAATAGCTTCTTGCATAAAAATTACTTAATGCTCATTAAGAACTCGCATAGGAATGACTTATGTTAAATTTTTCCATTTAATTCCAGGTGAGAAGATTGTTGATAATAAAACAGTTTATCTATTAAACACCCACTAACAATTTGATTTCAAACAAAGTTTTTGCTTATACAATATGACAATAAAAAGTAATATGTAGTTTGTATAATTAATATCAGTGTTCCTTTGCTAAACAATATTATTTCTTATCAATATATTGTGATAAATATATTATTCAGTTGCTCTTTGAACCGGCACAGCAAGATGACTGTACTGGTGCTTCATCATCTACTACTAGTACTCTTGATGTCCTGGTAACCTCATTCTGAGCATTTTGTTCCAATTTTTCAGTCATCTCTCGAGTCAATTCAAGGAAGAGGTCTTCTACTCCTTGATTCATTTTGGCTGATGTGTAAAAATGCCTTGCACCAACCATTTTGGCATAGCTGGGAAGAGATAAATAATCTAAAAATATGGCACTGCTGTACACATTTCAAATATGTAAAAGCAAAATACTTTACCAATGAAAGCCTATTTTTGTGTAAAAAATAAATAAATAGGGATGATGACAATTCTTTTTAGTCTGTGATCAGGTAGATTATTGATGAATATTTTTTTAGGCTTTCTGCCAGTGGCTTCGCCCGCATGTACATGATACAGATATAATTACAATGACATATTGAATAGTAAACAATGGTTGTTATGGTAATGTTATTATACAAGCTTTCACTCCAATTTTCATCCCTTATATTGATGTTTAATCGCACATGATTTATATAACTTCCTGTAGGTAAAAGTATTTTTAAAATGAATCCAGTAGTTTTGAAGCCTATTTGTTGCAAACAAACAAATATTTCCTCTTTATAATATTAGTCTAAATACAATACATATTTTTTTACAAAACATTACTTTTGTCAGATTGATGGACTAACTATTACTAGACTAACTATCCAGGCATAATCACAATAATCAGTTGATATTATGCCTGGATTAAAAAAAAATAATATAATGAAATAAAAAATATTTTTAACTCACCTTTCTGCTTCCTCAAGGGGTACAGTTCTCTCATGTTCTAAATCAATTTTATTTCCAGCTATGACTAACACTATTTCTGACCCTAACATCTTCTTCAATTCTTTCACCCAATTTTTCACCTGTGAATATTTTATTTTTACTTATGCATGCAGATTGAGAATAGATTAGCCCTAATATATTGTTTGTAGAAATATCAATCAGACATAAAGGGGGTGGGGGAAAGTTGAGGGTAAGCCCTTAATTGTAATTAAAGGCAGACAAATTTAGCTTTTGCGCAGGGCAGCTAAATTTATAGATTGGTATCTTGGGCCACAATTCCCTTAATAAGTTTTTATTAAGCAGTGTTATATGAATCCATTTCAGACTGTTGTCATAGCATTTTGCTACCACTAACTGTTACTATAGAGTAATGCCACTGCCAGAAGGTAACACAAAGATTTCCCTTATCAGCCCTTTTTACATCCCCACTGCAGGGGCTAAGGCCTTCCTTATGGATGATTAAGGAGGACAAAGATTTCCTAAATGTATTGACATTCTTACTAACCTTGCCAAATGAATCTTCATCAGTAATATCATAAACAAGAATTGCACCATTTGAATTTCTATAATAGATTGGACCCAATGCATGAAACTTTTCTTGTCCAGCTGTATCCCAAATCGAAAGATTTATACGTTTACCATTGATATTTAACTTCTTATTTAGAAAAGTCGCCTAAAATAAAACAAATGAATGAGTATGTAACGCAATATTAAGAAAATGTCACTAAGCATTTGGTTAAGTCACATTACACTACAAATTTTGGATCTTTTTGGACACTACATTTTTGCTCTTTTATAGTTATTAAAAGTTATTAAGGATGATTATGGTATGCATAAAAAACTACTGAAAACAGTTAAATCATAAATAAAACATGCTTAAGACTACATTCAAGAGGTTTTTGAATTTAGATTATTAAGTTTGTAATTAATTATGACTAGTTGATTTATGAAAGTAATTAAGTTTATTTTATATTTTAGTATTTACCTGGAGCGTAGTGAGGTGTTTGTCATTGAACTTATCTTCAATATAACGCAATAATAATGAAGTTTTCCCAACACATCCTTCTCCTAATAGCACTACTTTGAAATTGTACGTTGTTGCACTCGTATTAGTCATGATTAATGTCTGTAGGCTTGTTGAATTTTTATTTAACAAAAGAATATTAAATTAGTGCGAGACGAGACAACAAATACGTAATCAAATAATGCTTATCTCACTTTTACGTTGATGATTTAACAGTTTTTGCTTTACATTACGTTAAAGCTTTAAAGTAATTAAATTATTGATTGTTATACTGCGGCGCGATTAGGTAACGCTTTTTTACGAAGACTTAATTGTTCAAAATATTATCAGCAAAACATTGATTCGCAAAACTTGTCATCATTTCTGTCTGTCACTGTCATGTGTTTATCCCTTATGATGCCACATATAGGTATCGATATTTTTTTCGATACGGTGTTGGTAATGACGTATCGATACCCATTCGGTATCAAAGTAAAAGTAGCGATACTTACTTTTATCGAATAATTTAAAATGTCTCACCTTCTACGTAATTTTTATAGGTTTTTAGAGCAGATAGATAATATTGATTGTCAATAGCAATAATCTGTTAACGGAAGAAAGAGAAGCAGGTCCAGGCATAAAAAGGGATGTATGTATAAAATTTTGTTGGCAGTGTCCTCTCTAAATAGATCTATAACTGCATAAAATTAGTAGGGCTAAGGAATGCTTATTGTCATACGCCAGTGACGCCGCGCCTGCGTGAATTCTTCATGAAACAGTCTTTTGATACCTTACCACAAAGTAGGCAATCATAAGCCCGGAAGTTTTTTGACACTCGTCTGTGAATGACTGACCAATTACTGATACAAATACTTACTTCATGATACTACTTATTACTAGGTTCTGAAGACTCTATTCCAAAAGTACTTGGTATCAAAGAAAAGTATCGTGTAAGTACTTGTATTTACTCGTATCGTTTCATCGCTAAAGTTATAACTGGCACCGACAGAGGCCATCCATAAATTACGTCACACGTTAAGGGGGAGGGAGGGGGTCGAACGAAGTGTGACATTGTGTGACAAGGGGGTGGGAGGGTCCTAAATTTCATGACGTGACATTTCAAAATCTATTATAATCTAAGTGTTAAAACATGAATTTTAAATTATTACTTTACAAAAACCTTGCAAAATATGTGACATCACACTAGTAGGGGGGAGTCTTACAATGTGACCAGTTGTGAGTAGGACGGGGGGAGGGGCAAAAAAATCATGAAAATCGTGTGACGTAATTTATGGATGACCCCACATAAGATCACTGGTCATCAGCATAGGTAGACAACATAGATTTATTATTTTTATATATGGTCTAGCTGTTACCACTACCGCTCAAGTGGTCCGAAGGTATTGTGTGTACCAGGGGCGTAGTTACCGCAGTATCTGCCGTATAAATTATACGGGGCCTCCGGACCACGGGGCCCCCAACGTGCGTAAGCAAAAATTAATAAAAACTTCCCATTTTTCTTTTTATTTCAGAAGTCAAAACGAACAGTTTCTTTTTCTCGCGTAAAGCATGCGTTTCAAATTTGGCAACACCCTACATCGGTTTTCGCTGGTTTCTTAATTTCTCCATTTAAGCCATTTACTTCAACAGGAGAATCTCAGAATAATCGATGTTAAAATTCGCGCAGTTTATACAAATATTTATTTTCTTTTGTGAGAAATCATTACCCTTCATAAGTGCTCTCAAACAAATTTTTAAATGGGGGCCCGCCAAGGTACGCTACGCTACTGGTACCTATGTACACTGGCCAGATATAACTGATGTCTTAAGCTGCTCTTTAATTAAAAATCTGCCAGTGAACATCCACCTTTATCTCATCATCATTAGCTTTTCAACACTCCACTGCTGGGGCCTATCACAAGATATCATAAGACATGCCTGTCATAAGACAGGCTTATGTCCTTAATGGAAAATCTACCGGTGTTTTCATAAAACAGTCCAGTCACTTTTCTTTTGCAAATAATACAAACAAATGGTTTCTATGAAAAAGTTTTTACTTTTGTAACGGTGAGCCATACTACCGCTTATTTCTTCGTAAGTTTCAGCATGCAAACTATTTGTTTAAGATTTTGACTAATCAAATGCTCTTTATGTATGTCAGTTCGTAAAAATTTATCTGTTGTGAACATGTTATTGTAAATCTTTTTATATTCATCGTTTTATATCATTTTTTGTTTGTTACAGTGTTTTTCTTTACCTTTTACTTATTTACCATAAAATAAATCAATTCTCAAGCTTAGTCAACCTTTCATTAATTCGCCCAAGCATCGAACCCGTCACACTTTATTAAATAATTACTCATATTTACGTATTTGACTCCCTTATGTGCTTATTTTGGAGTTTCAGATAAAAACTTTCATTATAAGGGTTTAAAACAGCCTGATGCTTTACTTGTACAAGATTCTACGCCTGATCTTCACAGCAACTTGATGGTCCGCTTGTTCTTGCTTTCTCAATTCAGCATTTTAAGAGATTTTAGTGCGTGACGCCAAATTAAATTTTGTCAAAGGATATTCTGCCTGCCATCTCTTTTTGAAGAGAATTTGAAGAATTCGAACTTGGTTTTCTTTTTGAAAAGAATTCGAACGAATCTAGTTTGGTCAACTCAGTGTATTTTTGCCCAAGTTATTATTTTATCTGATACTTTGAATTTAAGTTGTTATTTTAGATAAAACTTATTCTTACCGTTAGTAGCTCATTTAAAGTATTTTATGAGTTTTAGTCATTTATAATTATCAGCAGTTAAGTACATTTATCGCAAATATAATTTAACGCCCCTCGGTTAAGTATTAAAGTATCTCTTTAATAGTTCCCCAAATATTATTTTTTCCTCCGATTAGTATTAATAACCAGGCAAGAGCAAGTCAGACTATTAATTTCATTAGCGTATATTAATGTCGCTTATTATTAAGCCCCAGATTCCACGGGGCTACACGAGGGAACGCAAGTGTGAGAATGAGGACGGTGCGCACGGGTCACCCTTTGTCTTCCCTCGTCTCGCCTCGTTGTCGCTTCGATTTGCGCTTGATTTGTGTCGGTATTTAAGGCGCAAGATAAAGGACACAAGGGGTTGAGGTAAGAGAATCAACAAACTCTCGCGATCGCTCAGTTTGTTAAGAACTGTTCCAGAGTATTGACGTCATCTACCAATTTCTCCGTTTTAGCTTTCTATTTTTAGTCATAAAACGCAAGACATTATAATATTGGTATTAAGAATTCTGAAACAATGAAATTAAAGGCTGCTGATTCCGTGGAGAATCGGTATATTTGACAAGACATACAGAAAAACAATGACTGCTATCAAAAGGAAAACAAAATATAAAAAACTATAAAAACATAAATAATATCAAAAAGTTTGTGCTTCAGCACAATTGGTAGGCACATAATGTAGCTAACACAGTCACTTTAGACATGTCCATCTTGTAATAGACGTAGCGGGCCACTGAATAAATCGAGAATGTATAAGGCCAGCACTCCTGCATCCTCCACTCGTCAAGATTTGTGTCGTGAGCTTCTAGGAGGTGCCTCGCGAGAGTCTGGAGCCAGCAGTAGATATTTGATTTGAGGGAGGCGAGGTAGACTCTATGACATCGCGTTTTAGACAGAGAAAACATTCTGAGGAGAAAAAAACAAAAAACCTTAAATATCTTTTAACTCTCATTGTAAAAAAATAAATAAGGCAAAGAGATTTTAGCTTATATAGGCTTGTCTTCTGTAATATTGGTTTTATATGCAAAGTTATATAAAATCAATATTATGATTTAAAATTTAAAGTTTCCGTATAAATGTAAATATATTTACATATACATGCAAAGATTAAATACACATACACAGCGCATATATCAAAATAAACCAAAGTTTTGTGAATGTGACCACAAATCATTTGAAGGCAAGTCTGATGGACCCTTTATTTTAACGGTGGGCAAAGGCAACCTTAAGCCGGGTAAAACCTGCTGCGAGTACCTTCCCCGGACGATGGGGCAAGGACTCGGGATCCGGCAAGGAGCCCAAGTCTGGTGGACCCTATAATTAACTAAAAGGTTTGTAAATGTTTGCTCAAACTTTGTTTCAAACTGGGACCGTTCTGTAGAATATTTGTTTCTACACTGTATTGACAATTTTGCCATAATACAACTTGTTTCTTTCAAATCCGTTTTTGTAAATCCGTTAAGTCTTTTAAAGTTATGACGGAAAAAAGAATTGAACACATAAAAAAATAACAAATAAACTTCATTCTTAAATCCAATATGGAGGAGCACCGGAGTTTGAAGACTATTCTATCTTTCAGCACTCTCATAGTAATACAGTATGGAGAGAAAAGTCGAAATAGTTTACTGAGAAGATTTCGATAAAAAACTAACAACACCAAATATTTTATATGATATTTATTTAATTTTAATAACTTATCGAACATCACATGCATATTGCAGGTTGGCCTTTACAGTACATTTTTTTATTATCACAATATCTTTAGGTACTTTAATCACAATCACCAAAAAAATAAAATAGTCTAAATGTATTTATATTAGTCTTACGTAGAAAAATATTTTTATCATAGTTTCAAGATCGAATTTCACTGTCTGAAACGGGATTGTTTACATGTATACTGCAGGGACTGTTCAAAACACTTGACTGGAGAGAACAAAGGCTAAAAAGAGAATCCAGATGGCCTTGCTCGTCTCTGATCGGCTATCTGCAGACCGCATGTCGACAAGCAAGAAGGTAATGTAGAACGTCCTCCATTTAGGTAGACTGATTTTAGGAAGATTACGTGTAGAAGATGGCCAATTGATACGAAAAGCAGGGAAAATGTAACGTTTTGGGGGAAGTCTATGTCCAGCAGAAGACTGCTGTAGGTTAATGATGATGAAATTGGATAATGTAGAATTACGTGAGATCTTCAAAAGGTGTGTGTTCAAAATAATATTCCGTTGCTGCGGTGGTGAGTATTAAAACGGGGGGACTGCCTTTCACAAGTTTCTTTTTCATTTTTTCTTTAAACCACTGCATGACATTTGTTGTTGGTGGAGCAACTTTCATATCGATGTGACTTACAGATGAAGATAATGTAGATGATTCATAATGTCTTACTGAGGGCAGACTGGTAGATGTAGCTGTCAAAATATCCAAGTTGGCGGTGATTGCAGTGCGCCGATCGCGTTTTGTTGTTGAAACTTTTGTGGTTTTTTTACTTGTCAGCCTCGGTGTAGTTTTCGTAAATGTTATAGAAGACAAGGGCCCGTCACGTCGTGAAAACGAAAATTTTGTTGTGTTTGTACTTATTGGTCTCTTCGTAAATTTTGTAGTAGATGAACGCCAGTTGCTTTTTGAAGTCGAATTTTTAGTTGATTTTTTACTTATTGGCATGAGTGTGGTCTTCGTAGATTTTGTTGTGAACAACCTTTTAGTACTTTTATTTACCGATAAAAGTTTCTTTTTGTGATTCGTTACTTTCTGTGTTGCTATTGTTAAAGGAATGATTTGAGTGGATTTTTCTGACAATGGTATTATCGTGGTCGTAGTATTTTTGATAACTTTAGCACCAGCATCGATAGAAGATAACAAACTATCATCTTTTAAACTATCTTTTCCTGTTCTAAAGTAATATAATTTTGAGTCCACTACATGTTTTGTAACTTGTATAATATCATTTTCATGTAGTATTAAATCTCCTACTGTGTCATTGATTATATACGTTGTATCATTTTCATTATTGATAATTGATTTTATCCAGTTGTGATATGGTTCTAATGCCATAAATATGATTTGCATCTTTCCACATTGATGTGGACCAATTTGTGATGTTATTCCTATCACTCGTCCGCGTACCAGAAGAGGTGTACCTTGTGCTTGGTGACAAATTTTATACTGAGATGGTTTTTTCGAAGCACATACATTCCATCCAAGAAGAGGTTTTTCACATTTAGTTATAATAGTGACTTGTAATCGAGGTTTAATTGGATCTAAAATAGGGATTAACGCTTTGAGTCCGACTACCGATGTTAATTCTAAAGCACTGAGCATTAAATTATTACTACTTTGTTGTATCTTGTTTCTAGACACTTTATTGTTTATAACAACCAATCCGATACCATAGCCCTCTACGGTATGTTTTAGTATTTTGTAGTTTCTAAACTGCGTATTTACAAACACTTTTTCAATATTTGAGTAATTCATTATATTTTTTACATATTGGCAAGTCAAAGCACAGGATGATGTGGTTAAAATAAAGTTTGGTAATATCACAGTACCTATACAACATTTTTCAGGATGAGGTTCACAGATATTGCATTTTAAGTGTACAATCGAGTTAAGCGATATTGCTTTGTGTAACGATATTCTTTGTAAAATCAATAAACTACAGAAAAACATAGATTTTATGCTCATTTTAGTACTACATGCTTTTGGAATGTTATTGACTATTACCTATTTCTTTATCTTGAAATTTTACACATAAAATGTTGGAATTAAATATAGAACATAACTATGTTATTTATATAGTGTTAGAAGTCCTTGAAAAAGGTTTGTGTCCTACAAGTGAAAATACAGGTTTTTGTTTTATCTTCTGAAAATATTTTTCACTTATAAATATTTAACAAAACAAATTTTAAGTCACTGATTTAGAAAATATTAGGATTTGGTAACTTAAAAAAGGAGGGAAAATATAATATACCTACTACAAAAATTCCTAAAATAAATAAGGCATTAATTTAGATACATAAAATGTTACAGCTTTGTTACAGCTACAGTTTAATGTTACAGCTATAAACAAAAAACGCACAAATAACAAAGATATTACAAAGAATGCCAAGACGTTTTTCGCTACTGTAGCACTGTGTGATGTCACTTAGTGCCTTGAATTTGTAGGAAGCGTTTTCGGCCGACTCCACAAAAAGAGCACCGTATCTCCGAAACTATTCATCGCAGACATGTTGTTACTTCTACATTATTTCTCAGACATTAATGAATTATTTATTTATAAAGTAAAAAAAGTTGTCCACTAGCCTATTAACACAAATGGGGAACTATGTATATCGCTACATAATTTACCATCGTAAGCATTTTCACATATAGGAATATACTGGACAAGTTTTGATTTTTGAACACAAAGGGCAAAACGACGCTATTACTTAGACTTTGTTGTCTGTCTGTTTGTCACCAGGCTGTGAACAGTGAAAGTCAGACAGTTGAAATTTTCACAGATGATATATTTCTATTGCCGCTTCAACAATAAAAACCGGAATAAAATAAATATTTAAAGGGGCTCTCATACAACAGACGTGACCTTTTTTCCTTGTTTTTGCTCAACATTGATAACAACGACAAGTAGGCGCTTGAAATATTTACAGAATATTTATTTATGTAGAAACTTTAAAAATAAATAATTAAATTAAAATTAAACAAATATTTAAGGTGGGTTCCCTTAAATATTTGTTGATCAAATATTTATTTTTTGCTATTGTATTGTAATAAAAACAGCTAATTATTTTTTTCTGAATACGAGCGGTATACTATTATCGGAGGAGCATCATCGTTTATATTAACTTCCGTATTGTTATTTCTTGAACTCAACAATTTGGTTGAGTTCAAGAACTTAGTTTATTGTAATATAAGGTTATATACTATAGAGTCCTTTTTTGTCAATATTGTAATGTAATGGTGCATATTATATTCAACCTTTTTTTTAAAGTGTCGAAGTCCTAAAGATGTTCGTTTATAATTTAATTCAAAGTTTCAAACTATCTGTCGATCTTGTCATAATATTTTTTCTATTGTTAATTCGTCGTGAGATTTTCAAAAGTAAAGACCAATTTGTACGTACCTACCCATTATTATAATTATTAATGTTAAAATATATTATTATTTTTTGAAAAAATTATTCCACTTAAACAAAACTTAGTGATTTTGAAGAATTTTAAAAGTTGGTCCACAATACACAGAGAAATTGGTGAACATACAAATTTAGGGTGCATGTCAAGTTGACACAATATGTAACATTTCTGCCATTGATTTTGAGCTCTACCCTCAAAGTATAAAGATTTCAAATCAAGTGGATATATATGACAGTCTCGTATAGTGCCATTGACTGTATACGTACTCGTTGAACAAGAACCTCTTCCTCATCAATTTGAAGTCAAATAAATATTGTTAAATTCAATCAAGGCGATCCTTAAATTGACCAAGACTTTTTGAGGATAAGTTAAAAATGTAGTATTTTAATTGGATATCTAGGAATTTTTTGTTACTTTTTACCTAGATGCTTTCTTTTTCAAGTTTTTTACGTAGTTATTACCTATTAATTAGCTGGATCCCACGACTGTCATGAATACATTATGTAGTGATAAAAATCCTTCCAAACGCCTTTGTGTGACGCAAAATTATTAAAAAAAGGTGTAAGTCATGAAGAAACTTTAAGTATATTTAATTCATTAAGCATGTTTGTAAAGTAGCAAAAGAATGTGGTTGTTGATAAAGTCGTTACAATTTACAATAAATTATAATTGAATACCGGTGGAGCTGGGACCGGTCACTCCTATTACATAAAAATATGCCGATTTACGTTTCTATTATTACAGTAAAATCTGTGTAATTATCGATATCATGGAGTAGATTGAGATGAACGAACTGTATTACCTAATCCCGATTAACACTCCTTAACAATTAAATTTATTTATCTCCATACTTGATTAAACATTAAATGTCATTCTAATTAATCATTATGAATCATAATTTTTATATAAATAAAACTGTTATTAGAATATTAAAATAAAGTTAATAATCACATGACTTTATCTTGTATAATTTGTTATAAGAACTAAATATTATTAAAATTCAAAACGATTCGGTTTCTAAAACGAATGGAGCTCTTTATCGAGTATAAAAAAATGATTACATACTTATCTTGTTGGATCACTGGCGCCTCGGAGAGTGCATCCATGAATATAAAGTCAATCAACGTCTAATGTGCGTTATTAAGCCATCACGGGCCACTACCCAGAAATAGAGACTCGCCATTCACAAACAATGCACATCATGAATGAAATACCAACGCTCCGGCGCATTACCAGCAAAATTAACCTCAATGTAGTTCTGGCTTGCTCACTGGAGAGTAACGATAAATCAAGATAACGTCATGGAGTTATGCGGATGGGCATGCTATTAAAATTCCAATAATGTGCCAATTTCGATTGCATCGACATGTTTTGATTCAAAACAACACAATCAGCTGGCGTTCCTTGTGCGTAGGTCCCTCCTGCTGTCGTCATCATTTCGATTAAAACAACGCAATAAGTATTTACCTCTTGTTCGGTATAGGTACTAATTATTTTAGATATTAATGCTTGGTTATGTTTTATGACCTACATTATATTAATAAAAAGTTTGAATGTTTGATGATAGTGCAATCAAACATTCAAACTTTTTTATTTTAAACGCGATTTAATTTATTATTTGGAATGTATTTGTTATTAAATGACATTAAAGGTTGTTAATATAAGATGAATATACAATAAAAGATATGTAAGTATTATTGATATAAGATGTGAATGTTTGAACAGTAATCAGTTATAGTTAAACTATAGTAATATCTGCATTATTTCTTAATTAAGTTTAGTTTGTTTGTAACAATGTTTGATAAATAAGCAATCACAAATCGTAAAGTAAGTTTATAAAGATATTGTGTCATTAAATTGTTGATAATACTTATCTATAGTCTGCGTCTTACTTTGCAATCAAATATTTTAAGAATCTTTGTCTTGTCAAATGAATTGATTGTCAGACGAGCAATACTTAATATTCGTACGCTAAATTGATCTTATTATGTAGAGGTATGTAGAGGTGTTCTAAGACCGGATTTTATATAAATTTCAGCCCGAAGATATTTAAATATGGCAAATATTTGTATGACAGTTCTTTGTTTTTGTATGTACCTATGCTATAAAAATTGCTAAATACCAAACAGTGTGCAGTTTAAGACCCTGGGTAGATAATGCATTTAATTCCAAGAACTAGCATTTAAAGAGATGTAAAAGAGAGTGGAAGCTTTTAAGATTCACAATGTTACCATAGTAACTATTGTTTATTATTTAATTTTTCATTGTCATTAGGGTAGGTAAAAAATGACACAAAAAATATAATAAAAAAGTTTTTAAAAACTACTTTTATTTTTGCGTTTTAAAACGTAAATAATAATTTTATGCAAGACAAGTTCATAAAGTTAATGTTAAAGTACGAGTATATTCCTAAGATTTGATTTGTCAAAGAGAATAAGATATAATGGAGTAAGAATATTGTAGCTTTGCTGATTTAAATGACGTCAAGTGTATTCTAAATCGCCCTTTAGGGTTAATGAATTGCGTAACCTCCAGTTTAAGATTAAAATTAGACGTCATGTAAAATTTTAATTCAATATATCGCTGTAATTTAATGATTACGAAAATAATAAAAAAATGCGTTTAATATTATTCAGCAATCTACCTGACGAAAACAAAAAATTGTTGCCATCCCAAATTATACAAAATATATCTCTTATTCGGTCAGTTAATCGTATTCTACAAAGGGAAAGAAAAAACGTAATTATTAAATTTAAAATGGTTTATTTTACTTTAGAAATAAGCTCTTCATATTTATAGAATTAACAAATGTAATTTTTATATGAAAAAGTCTTTAGCATTGTGTTTACCTTATAAATTCTAAATAAACTATTTTACTTTGAATTTAGGGACACCATATGTTTCGTGAGGTACGCCTTGACTAGCCGAAATCGTATTTGCGCTATCGTAATTAGCAGTAGACGAAGAAAAAGCACTAGAAGCACCCTGATCATTTGTCTCTACTGCGGATAAACTAACTGCTCCACTCGTTCCACTACCAAAAACAGAGCTAATGTCAGATTGTAGATTTTGTTCTTGACTCTGACCTGTTTGTCCAAAAGATGATCCAAAATTTGCTAACAGCTGACTCTCAGTTTGTGTAGATGCGATTTGCCCAGCTCCTGCACTTGTTTGTTCACTGAAAGCTCCTGTCGATGAAACTCCTGTGACTAAACTTGAGCCTGAACCTGCGGAAGATACTCCTGAACCAAGTGCAGATTGACCAGTAAAAGATCCAGTTGAAGCTTCACCCCCGGCATTGCTGAAACTTGCAGACTGTCCTTTTTGGTTGTAATCATTAACAATATTGTTAATGACTGACTGAGAGTCCTCTTTGCTATTGTATTTAATGAAGTATACTTCCGGCTTAGATGGAGGCTTTTGTTCTACTTTGGGTACCACAATATCTTTGTAATCTTCGGGATTCTTCACGAGAACGTAAACTATGGTTTTTTCCTCGTTTTGCTGTTGCACTGGTATATATTGAGGTGCAACTGCGGCTTGTGCAGGTGTCTTGATGAAGATTATTTTATAATGCTTTTGTGGAGCAGGTAAAACAATTGGATTGCGTGGTTTGGCTGCCTCAGGTTCTTCAGGAGCAGCATGAACATAGTAATGTTTAAACACTTGAGCAGGCTGTTGTTGAATTTGATATTGTTGTTGATATTTATGTTGGTATTGAGTTTGGTATTGATTATATGTTTGGTATCCACTTTGCCCACCGTTCAATCCTGATACATAGTTAGGCTGTTGAAAAGTATTAGAGACAACACCAGAACTGGCGGTGTTGGGCGATGTATAATATTGACTTCCCGAACCTGTAGTTTGGTAGCCACCACCCGCCGTTTGGTAACCAGTGCCAGTGGCTACTCCACTCTGGAGACCAGTATATCCTCCTTGGTAACCAGCATTTTGCTGTCCAGCTGAAAGGCCTTGGTATCCGGATTGTCCTTTGTAAAGGTATCCGTTTGATCCACTAACGCCAGATGAGCCGGTGTTGTAATTACTACCTACTTGGTAAGAAGGAACACCGTATGAGGTGTGAGGCACTTTATACTGATAGCCCAGTCCTATATCCGCTGAGACTGCGCCGAAAGCAACCGTTAGTACCTGTAAAAGAAAATAACAAATTTTAATGTTGTAACATCAAATTTTATAATTTTCAATTATATATCAGCAACCAAATATTGTAACTTATTTGGGGATAAAGTTACTATTCTATTAATTTGCTTATACAGAGAAAGTGTTTGTTTGTATCAGATATCCCCATTCACATGACAGCAATGACCGGTCGGTGGTCAGATCGTTGACCGTTAATACCAAGAAATGTTGCAATGATCGAACGCATTCCAGTGAAATTAAGTAAATATATTATTGTTTTACATGTAAGGTTTGGGTCATATACATAATAATATAGGGGTAGGTGGGATTTTTGGTGAATATTTTCGTATTAGTTATGGATCCGCCTATCAAAAGGAAAAACCTTTATAACATCAGACGATAATCCGTCCTACTATAACAGTTGATTTTCTGTTATAATACTGAACTAATTGAGTTGATATATGGTACACATATGTTAGTTCGTGTAATGTTTACATATAGGTATTAATTTTAAACACGGACGACTCTTGGTTGTTTTATTAGAAAATAAAAGCGTAAACTTTACATTATATTTATCTCAAAATTCTTTGAGGAATAGGCACAGAGGTGTGTGTGGCGGTGTGGTGGGGATTATAGAGCTATCTACCAAAATTTTGCTTGTAGTCAACTTGCATATGTCCACAGCAACAGGTGTTTGTATTAAGAATAGAAAGTTAAGGGCAAGGTCACGCCGCCCACGTGGTGCGTATCTCTGCATCAGTCCGTTGTCTTGTTACTCAGAGGTTAGGAGTTATGCAATGGACGTAACTGAGATTGGGTTTACGCCGAGTTTAATGAACTTTAGCGGGCCTTCAACTGAGAAAAATTGTTTTTAAGTCTCTAATGCAACATTGAAAGTACAAATTTAAATATTGACATAAGTGCACATGCTAAATAATTACCCGGTAATTACACGAATACTCAATGTATTCAAAGATAATAAAACGAGATTAAAATCTCATGTAAGTTAGGTAAGAGGTTATAGTAGTTAGGTGCACATATAAGAGAATTGCGGAAATTCCAAGTGCTTAAATTTGTTAAAACTACTTTAACTAATATTTTAGCCGAGGATAGGATGGTCATTAAATTGTTGCATATTTTGCTGGTTTTTTATTTATTAGATGTGGGTATCTACTCAACTACATAGTCCAAATATTAGATTGTAGAATATATTATATACCCGCGCCGCGCGTCCATGTCTAGCAGGGATTTAATTAAAGTAAGTTTAATGAAGCTCCAGAGTTAAACTTTGGTTGAAAAGTCTCAACCAATCTTCAATTCAAAGTATGAAAAGATGTTAGGAACTTTGCACATGCTCTTTAATTATTATTTTTTACACCTTATTAATAAACCTTATTCAATATATGATATAGAATATTTGCTTGCTATGATGTATGATGTACATCAGATGTGTACGTAATTCGTATCAAACAAATATTCTCACAGTTTTAATATTCTTAGTTTTTCTTGGTTCCTAATTCAATTTTAATTATATATTCTAGCTGTACATATATCAAAGGAATTATGCTTGATTACTTTTTTTTATAATAGAATAAACGGAACTCAATATTATACTTGTATCAGTAAAAATAAAGACGTGTTAATTTATATGATTAATATTGGCATTCAAGTGGTCAGCACAAGAATATTGTTGACAAAAAAAAATAATAACAAATGCTTATGCCGAGTGTTCGGCGAATTAGCATCTTATACTATGTAAAGTTAAAATATTTAAATGTCAAGTTCACCGTTTATGTTTCTGGTGACCGCAGTGTGGCGCGTAAAGCAAACTACTCATAGATGATGTAACAACTATTATGACATCTATTGACTCGACCACTTATGCTGGAGGCTTCATCGAATTTATAGATTATAACTGCCTACCTTTAACCTACGCATTTGTCATTGTCAAATTTAGGAAACTCTTGGTGCGAGCAATTAACACTTCCTATTTTTATTTAAAAAAAAAACTGTTTATTTAAGTGCTACATACTTAATTTATCCGGGTTCTATTTATGTATGATATAAAAAAAATCTAAATATTATACAACTCATATAGGAGTTAAATTGTTTCAATTACAAAATGTATTTGATAATCGAATAGTCAATAATACCTATTGGTTATAATTGAACTTGCGTTTATATATTAATTAAATATAAAACATATTATTATAATTAAAAAAGTTTTTTATATAAAATAGAACCGACTTCAAACTTTTAAAAAGTGATAAATAATATTTGTCTCAAAAGCGACTTATTCAAGAAAATGCTACGTTGGGCGGAGGTTTTCTGTAGTTTATTAATTCAATGATAGGCTCCCAATTTTAATAGCATTTCTTGAAGGAGTCGCTTTTGAGATTAGTAATATTTATCACTTTTTTAATGTATTAATTCGGTCCTACTTTTTTATAAAAAGTTTTTATTTTATTTTTATTTTTAGTGATATTTATATTTTTTATATACTTAATAGGTAACACTAAAATATTTTAAAGAGAAAAGGTTTGATTTCTTGTTAGTTTCTTTATATTGGATAGGCCCCGAAACTATTGGACTGATTTATAAAAGTCTTTCGTCTACGGGACGGTACATAATTCGCGGCGGTCATAAGCTATTATTTATGCAGGTGAAGTCGCAGAAGTCGCAGGGAAACAACTGATAGAAATTGGTTCAAATTTTAGAAAAAAATCATACCTACACCTATTTATATACTTTACTTATCGATACCTACTATCTATATAATTAATAATTTCAGAGGTAATCAACAGCTGTCTTATATCCGATGAAAGACTAAATGGATTACAATATTGATAAAAGGTAGGATAGGCAACAACAGGTTCCATGCATTCGAATCGATAAATTAAAATGGCCCCCATTCAATATAATTCAATTATAATAACAAAAACTACCCCATTTAAGAAATATATTATTAAAAAATTTTACAATAGTGTTATTCTTAAATTTCTTTTCGTAATCGACACCCTTTAATTCCTTTTCTAAACAGCGGCTCATTAAATTGTGTGGTTCAATCTAAAAATTAAATCGGCTCATAAATCATTTTTTCTGCGACTTTGCCGTCGTTAATTTTTATTTACTTTTAATAACTTACCTATAACTAGCTATATTACGTATTAATTATAAATAAATATAGAAATAAATAATCGTTTTAAATTTTACATAATCTTTATCACTATGTTTAGTTATTTTAAAAATAGTTTCTTATTGCTTTAAACAATTTAAAATTGTTAAATATACGTATATTTTTGTAAAATATCTATGATAAAATTAATTTTAATCAGTTTTTGTATTATTTCATTCTTGTCTGTTATATGGAAATTAAGTAGATTTGGAATAGGTAAGATGCGGCTGTTTAAAGTTTTCATGAAATCATAAGTAGTAACTATATCAAATTTGTTAAAAATAATAATTTTATATGAGCCCATATCCTTTATGAAAACACACTAAGTGTTTTTTAAATTACTCGAATAAAATGTCGAATTCTCTTGAATATGTTTTTTTAAGGGTTACCTCTTGCTTTTATGTTAACTTGCTTAGTTTTTGGATTAAGACTGTAATATAAAACAAAATTATAATATCTTCAAGCATTTAAAAAAAGGTACACATTCATCCTTGCTTACTTCTTTTTTGTTATTAAAAGCTTAATTGAGTTGCTATTTTCAGTTAACCGCGAACAACCATTTGCGAAGCGAGTTTATTTGTCGAAAATACATTTTTTTTTGTAAAAAACATTTAATTAATAGAATTTGCTTATAGTTAGTTATTCTATCCAATACCGGATTTATTTCTAATGATATGTTTTTCACCACCCTAGTTAAACTTACGTCCATATTTTCAGCTCTTATGATTGTTCTAAATTTGAAAACTATATCGGCAATGTCGGTTTCAAAAAATGCAACTGCAGCTGATACTACGACAGTGTAATATCTACCACAAAAGTAAAAGCACTCTCCGGCACATTGTCAACTTTGAGACAGAGGGTAAGAAGAATTTGTTAAAAATTATCGCCATTTGTGGAAATCATCCTCTGGTTCAAGGAGTTATTTCGTATCTTTGCCACCACCTTGACTATTTATGAGCGTGTGTAAATCAACGTAAGAAACATTTATTTATTAACAATGTTTAGCTTATTATTTATATATCATAAAGGTTTAACCTTTATAAATATATACAAATTACATGGACTCGCACGATTTGATATAAAAAAATAATAAAACGATTCTGCAAAAGATTTCGTTCAAAGAGGCTTATAAAATACAATAAACGTTTATGTGTGAAGCAAGAATAGCAGATAAATATTAATGGTTAGAATGCAATTAACGCCTAACAATAGGTCAAATGCCCACATAGGCCGGCTTATTCCAAACACCAACAAGCAAATTTTAAAATACGTACTGATAGTCGCTAAATACATACCTATAATTATCTTAAAAACGGTTACCTTATAACAGTTCTAAGATAAAATATACGTATGGCCTATGTACCATTTTTCGGATTGGAATGCATTAGGCATTACCTCTGCCGCCTGGAAAGTGATAGAGGGAGTGTGGGAGTTCCTTTGCTAGCCACAAGGTGGGCTAGCCACACTACCCACAAAAATCCCTACGGTGTACCTCTGGGGATGAGACCCGGGAAAACGTCATCGAGTCACCAGGACACTTACCCCTTATATAACAAACGTACATTCTTACGGTAGGTTCTCGTCAGTGATACTAGATTATCTGCTATTAAAAAACACACACACACGCGCATACATATACACAAAACCTAAACAAATACCAAAACCTACAGTCGTAGGCTTAATTAAGATAATATAAAGAAGTTTAAAATAAAATAAAGAACTTATAAAATACAAATAGTTATAAAATATATTGCTTCATTAATACCAAACTATTTTAAGCACAAAATCATAAAGAAATTAAGTAGAAGAAAATATAACAAGGAAAGATTTATTGACGGGCAGTATATATACATTATGATACAAAGATTTAAATAAAAAAACGGTCGAAGAAAAATTAACTTGTTTAGTATTTATTATGTGCGTATCGCTTATATATAACCTTTGAACTTGTGCTGACTTGTTCTGTAATATTATAATAATTATTCATTTTTGATCTTTTAAGATGCCTTAATATTTAAACATTTTATAATTTAATGTTTAAACATTTTATAATTTGACTGAATATTAATAAGATATCAATTGATTCTTGGTTTTCATTATAACAGCAATAATGAATAACAATATTTAAAAGATAGAATCTAAAACGGTTGTTTTATAATTTTTTTTTAATATTATTACTATAATTTTTAGTTTAATGTCCATAGAATAATTTTGAATTTACAGATATATCATTAACTTCATCCTAAGTTTTCTTAAGGTATGAGTAATTTCGACGTTTATGAAAGTAATGTAAATAATAAAAGTAATATTATTTATATTTTAAGAACATGCAGTTTAAGAAAAATATTCGCACAGCATTACAATCGTCTAAGTAGCTTATTACAAAATCAAAACATTAAAACATTTTCAATCACTTTTTTTCTTATTTGTTAGTTAGTGTATCTTATAAATTATGAAATATATTTGTGAATAAAAATTAAATTCCAAATGTAACTCTATAGAACAGCTAATGAGTGTATTGATAGAAATAAATTGAACAATGAATATTAACGTTGATTAGTGATATAGATGCATTTTGATTTTTCTGTTTAAAAATAATTAATCCAGTCCATAATCAATTAAACTATACAAATTAAAAATATTAACCATTGTATTTCAGCTTATCACATTACACTGAATTAAACACACGAACTTAAAAGTTCACTTAAAGGCGACTTTAGTTGAGTTATTTAATCTCAGTTTAATAATTGATTAAAATCACTTGAGTTATATTTAACTTCACTGTTCTATCAATCAAAGTAGGCTCATGAGTATACCGTGTTAGGTACGTACCAGTAGTGCGTTCATGGTTGTGATGTACTCCCGGGCCGAACCAGCGGAGCAGCAAGTGTCGCGACGGCAATCGTACAGCCTCTTTTATATAGTGGAGGTGCGTCTGCCGCGGGTTGTCTACCTGACAAGGTTATGTCAACCAGCGTACAACGGCCGGCTCTTCTCCAAGATACGACACTATATTTGAACCGGGTTGCATACGTTGATGTCTTTTGGCTGCATCAAAGGCCAATATTCTATACGCTATAATCCTGGCTCTATTCCCATGTTACTTTATTCAAAAAAGTCTATTTTCAAATAATGTTTCCGTAGATAAAGATTTAATAGTGTAAAATTGAATTATATGCCTATTAATGTCGTTTGGGACAATATTTTGTTTTTGGAAGAGTGAAATCTGTAATATTGTATAATGTACATTTCTGATTTATTAAATTTTAATTAAATATCCTACAAAAATGTAATTCTGTTATATTTATGAAATTATTAGCACTTCCTGAGATGGGTGTCCTCGTTCTTTCTATTTAACTATAATTAATTATTATTTCGAATCGGTCAAGTTTTTATGTTTAATTTATAAGTATTCTGATGACTTCATATTAGTACAGTATCCGCAATCAAGTCTTTTATCTAGAAAAATACATAAAGAATTTATATATGTCTAGGTAGAGTTGTAATTACTCAATAAACACAGTTGTGTCTATTGAGTATATACACAGTTGTGTATATTGAGTATATACACAGTTTCATATTAGTACAGTATCCGCAATTAAGTCTTTTATCTAGAAAAATACATAAAGAGTTTATATATGTCTAGGTAGTGTTGTAATTAAATTAATATACGATATTGATTTCATTCCATAACCATGACCCTCGTGATGGTAAATTTTCGGTCACCCATCTCATTTTCGGCGAAAGGTGCTTATCTTCTGGATCGCAAACTGAACGAGCTAACCACTACATCATCGACCTCACAATTAATTTGTTCAAAACTCATAAATAATAATTGTCAGAAAAGTTAATTATCGCCGGTTGGAGATTTCCATGAACTTTGTAAAACTTTTATTATTTTGTATTTTAAATCGTTTCGTTTCCGTTAAAAAGTCTCTTCAACGTCGGTCAATAACAGATTCAAATATATGATATATGGAATAATGTTACGAAAGTTACAATATAAAGTGACCGAGTCGTTTAGATTTAATGCACTCGAAGAATGCCAGCGAGCCAAGGGTCATGTTTTTCTAACTACTAACGGTTGTTTGTGCACTCCACGATACTTATTTGTTCTGAGCTGCTATTATGAAATTGAGTAACACTACATAACGTTCCGAAAAACCAGATTATTTCCTCACACCTAATATAGTAGGGCTGTCAAGTGCCGCAAAGTTCTATTTAAACAAAGAATAATGTTTTATTAAAGGTAAAGTATACTTAATAAACACAACTGTGAATATTTAGTAGTACTCAATAGACACGGTTGTGTCTATTTTATAATTATATACTCAATATACACAGTTGTGTCTATTGAGTATATACACAGTTATGTATATTGAGTATATACCTACACAGTTGTGTATATTGAGTGTATAATTATACAATAGACTCAACCGTGTCTATTGAGTGTAAAATTGAAGTGCTGGAAATTAACTAAATTCCGTTTTAGGATTGAAATATAAGTTTTTAATTATGAAGCTTTCTATAATAATAGCCATTTTATTCAGTAGTATATTATTTCCGGCTGATGATATTCAGTACAAGTTCTTTTTCTGCAACTTCGCCCGCCTTAATTGTAGCCTATTTCAGACGTGTATAATATAGTTTCATGTAAGTGAAAGTTTTTTTTTATATCGATCCAGTAGTTTTGGAGTCTATTTAAATAAATTATCAAATCTTTCCTCTCTATAATATTTGTATTGATTACCGTAAAGCTACGCTGAATGCATATAAAGCTAATAAGCGCATTTTGTTCTTCATCCGTGACAATCTCGGGTTGTCCCTAAGTCTAAGTTTAATACAGATTTTATAGACAAATACAAAACAATTGTATCTTTGGCAGCCCTACATAAGAAGTATACTGACACAAGGTAGGTACAGTCACACTTCTAATGAATCCAAAGTTATTTTGCTATTATTATATGACGTGCGTAAGCCATTAAAAATTCTTTAAATATTGAGAAGATCTTTGGTATTTTTGAATGACCTTCGCGTAAATAAAGTTGAAGGTCAGAATTAGACCTTAGCAAAATCAGTGTAAATTGGTCGAATGTGTTCATACAAGAATCTTCTAAATAACTTATAAAAACAATAACCACAAAGTGGTTATTTTAATTTGCTAGAACACTATGAAGATACTACAAATAGAAATGTCCAAATAAAATATAATATATGTACTTGCAATATGGTTTCAGAAAATGAAATAACTACTGAAGACGTAGTTTCAACATTGTCTCTAAAGCAAAAAAATGTATAACTGTATTTTAAAAAAATAAAAAAATGATTCCGCTTCTATACTCAAGCTCGTGCAAAAGTTGGAAAAATAGAAGGCTTCATAGTAGTTCTAGTTGCTTAATTACAGGCTTTTTATAAAATAGGAAATTGTAGCCGGGTTACATTTTTTGAATTTATTTTTTTATTACATATTTATATCAATTTATATTTATATGTATATATTGCTAGCGATTTTGCTTAAATAAACCTGAAAATTAATTAAATAAAAAAATAAATTCAAAAACTGTAACCCGGTCCATCAGGTGTGTTTTTTCGAAAATATAATCTCCTCTTTCTCGATTTTGAAGTCGGTTACAAATATGAGAAAATGACGATTTACGTATATTAGCTGATTTAAATAAGTACCTTCATATTTAATGCACCTTTTTTAAACTGTACCTGACAAAAACCAATGGGTTTACATAGAAGCTCAACACCTATTTATCCACTTTGATGTCCTGTAAAAAATACAGCATCGAACACAGTGCTGTCACAGAATTAGAATTAATCAAATTAAACCAATTAGCTTTTAAAGTAGGTCTTATTTGATTAATACACAGTTGCACAAACGTATAGATTTTCATTTGTTTAAAGCGACATTACTGATACACTGACGGTCAGTTGCACAAACGACCATTATGGTTTAATGACGCCTTTAAGCTGTAATGAATGTCAAATTTGTATGGGTAAAGTCGCTTTAAATTAATGACAATTTTAATGTACGTTTGTGCAACTGGCTGTAAGTCGACTTTGAGCGGAGCTCAGGCATAGTACAGAGGTTCTATCAAATAATGCCTCGTTCAACAGGTGATAAAGGACTTATTTATTTGGAGCTCTGTAATAGATGACAGGATGTATTATTAACAGAATAACACGCTCTGTTGGGAGAACGTTTTGAGTAACCAAGAACAATCATGGGCTCTCATTCTAAAAGTTACAAATGTGTGTGTAATTTTGTTAACGTTAAGATTTTTATTTACAACAAATACTGTTGCTCTAATTTTAAGCTATAACCAAAAGTTTTGATAGTCTATTCTAATGTATTTGATGTAATCAATTCTAGCTAATTAATTTATAAATAAATACTGTAGTACCAGATTAACAAACAATTACTTAATTGTAACACAAAAATATTTTGCTTTTAAGAATTTTGTCTGGAGATATTATCTAAAATTATTAAGTTTTTTTAATCGGACATAAAAACATTCGACGGATTTATTAGTTACAAATTTTATGAATAGTAATTAATATAATTCATGTTAGTTATAAAAGAAGCGATGTGAAATTCAGCTACTTTTCTTCCTTTACGTGACATTTTCGTTATCCCTCTGTTTCGCAAGAAATGTAAATATGGGTAATATTAAGTAAACTATATTAAACTATTTTTTTTCCGAAGATGCAACGGTAAAGAATTTTTTCCTTAATTATCTATACATTATTTCAATCTAATAGGAAGTTCATTTTGTACCTTTGGGATTTAGATTCGACAAACTGTGAGAAAGTATTTTGAATTGCCTCCCGGCACAGATATATATAATCTATATCTATACTCGTGGGAGGAAAATTTAATACCGCGTAGAAAGTTATCCAAATCATGAAAAATGGTGGTGGTGGTGAAAAATGGTGGAAAAATGGGTAGTCGATCGGAGCAAGGTCCGGCAAATACGGAAGATATCGTACGGTTTTTAACTACAGCGCCTATAAACTTACAACGGTTCCTTGTGCAGTGTAACATTTTGCATTATTATTATGTAGCAAACCTTTCCTCTTTATATTATTAATGTAAATGAAACAACTAGCATTTCTTTATATTCATTTAACATAAAGTACGTGTCAACTGCAAACCATGTTTGTGTTAGTCACGGTCTTGTCAGATCTCAAATCGATCCAGTTCTGCATACAATTGAACAAAGGTAGCCTATTGCATTATGTAATTTTTAAGTGCCTTGTGCGAAGTAAGTGTACTTATCCATCCCAAGCAGTCACGTGCTTTCGGCAAAGCTTTGTTGATCGTGTTTGGTGCAATGACAACAATTTGTCTGCTCGGGTCAATGACTTTCTATTATAATTTACTCTGACGGTTTGAAATTTCATCGCTACATTTCAATATAATACTTCCAAATAATTCGCCCTTTTGGGGTACCTATTATACTTATACTATGCTTAGCATTAAGCAGCATTAGCATTATGTTGTGTGAGTTCAGATGTTGAACCTATTGAATTCTAATACATTGGCAACTCTTTGGAACGTCTTAAAATCTGCAACTGGGTTGCACAAACTTTATAAAAGTAAAACCTCATGTACGAACACATGTCGCCTCAGTGATGATTATAGTTCAGAGACTACGTTGCAATGGTTATTTATTATATATCACAGGATAAGACAAAAGAAACCATTATTCACAATCGAGTATCGCGTGATTATATATTGGACTAAATTGGACTAAAAACTGCCTAAATGACTTTTCTCAGTCGTTATTAGTTTACAATGAGTAATAACCTTGTTGTACAGCTATAAAACGACATAATGTTTTACCGTTACATAATTATTCATCATATTAAGCAACATCTATAGCTGAGATTGTCAAAAGTATAGCAGAAACAACATTAACA